ATCTACAACATTAACTCTTTATTGACACTATAAATTCTGTGATGCGTATTTATATTTGTATTTTATTCTCAATAAATACAAATAGAATGATCTCATCTAGGCATCAATTTAAAAAAAAAAAATTTATTCTCATAAACCCTAGAAATTTTTCTCTTATTTTAAACTGTCACTTGAGAATGAATATCATTCTCGAACTAATTCATTAATATTTCAATGATTCAAGCCTCAATAATTTGATTAAAATTTTTCCCTTTTCATTCGCATCATTGTACAAATATTTCGACGTTAATGAGTATGTATTTAATTGATTAGAAAAAATGTGAGAATTCAATTATGAATAAACTACTCACAAAATGATTAAATTTTATTTATTAAACTCATCAAAGTTAATCAAAATTTATTAGTAATGAATAATAAATCATTTTTGTTTATCAGCTGTTTAATAAATAATTAAAACACAACAAATGACATGAAAAAAATAAAATATAATATCCATGAAAGCTGACGAGCGTGTAAAGTTTGATAATGAAGTGAAAAGACATAAACGAGAGATTTCTGTTGAACCGCGAACGAGTGAGTATAACGTTGGCACGGCTGCAAAATGGATTTAGATATGCCAAGAGCGATTGCTCCTTATGAAGAAAGGGAATGGTAGTAGCTTTCCCGTGGTTAAAGGAAAAGAAAAGAAATACGAAGTACTGCCACCTGCATTTTATTGCTTCCATTAAACTTGATTGCTGTAATGCCCCTCTTCGAAGTAACAAAGACGAGTCTTTATTTTTTTCCATCTTTTTTATTCTTGTAATTACCTGACAGTTAACAGCTCTTACCTTGCTTATAGCCTCTCTGTCTCACATTGCCTCGTTTCGTACTTATTTTTATTATCGTATTGATAAGGAATATAATAATAATAACTAGAGATGTTATATGATGGAAAAAAAAATTTTAATTAAGTGTAAATAATATATTTTATTTACTGCAATTCGAATAAGTTTTAGTATCTTTTTTTTTTTTTTTAAATATCTGTTGAATTAACTTCGATAACTGGAATTATAAATTGAATACGTGAAACTACCGATGGTTATTAGTTTACTAATAACATGTTTATCAAAGTATTGATAGAGTTTTTTCCAATTTCCGATATTTCAATCATTTTTTTCAATAGTTCTCTTTTCTTTAACGAGATTTTCATCGTTAACGAACGAGAGTTCAATGACAAAATACTTGATAAGCTAGTTAACAATATTTTATATTACACTAAATAAAAAAATTCTGTGTCATTAAGTTTATTGTCAATAAATATTTATTATCAGCAGTTATTTTGGTTGTTAACATATCTTCTCATTATTGAACAAAAAAAAAAAGATCTTTCGGTAAAAATAAAATTTCCTGTTTGAATATATATTTATTTATATTGCTTATCAGCAATAAAATGGATACAAAAATGTTTCAAAATTAAAATATTGTTTTTAATAGGTAAAGAACGATAAGGTTGAATTTTGTAGTGCATCTTTGAAATAATTTATCCGCCAAAGAAATGTAAAAAGGTCATTTCTTGATTTTTTTTTTCTTGTTTCTGGAGGGAATAAATTTTGTTGTAGATGTCACGAAATAATTATCGCAGACAATGTCTTTCCATTTTTCTTCTGTAAAAAGTATAAAAGGATTATACAGTCCTAGGATATACATAACATAGCGTAGTATTTTATTTTGCCCTTGGGTCTTTTCTGTACGCTGCAACTGCAACTCTGTTGAGGTTTTATCGCTGCCTTCCATCGTGATTGCACGTAACGCGGCAACCTGGCCGGTAATTGGTCTGCAATTAGCCAGCCGGGCTACCGTTTCTATTTCCGGTGTTGCTCAGAGACATGAAGTAGATGTAATGTCAACGCTAATATGTACTATCAATACTTGCTTACATTTTCTAATTAATATATCAGGGTTTAATATTCTACTTGAAAGCATCAAGACATCTAGTTAGAATTTATGCTGAACATGACAGTTTAATGATGGAATTATTTTATTTATACGCAATGAAGATGTTATCACGCTTGTGAAAAATTGTCCACTGTAAATTTTATTTTTAAATGAAGTATCAAATAATGACACTTTTAAAGTGATAGTTAATATTAATATAACACACTCACTTATTGCTAACTGTCGTTCGATACACACAATTTTCTTCTGAAATGTATAGACACACTCCTGAGCATCGTATGTCTGCTATAAATCCATGAATATATTCATGAGAGAGTGAACATGGCTGCCGAGTGTTAAAGAAAAGAAGGAGGAAGACTCTCAATCTTCTCTTCTCGGGTTTACTCCAAACTCGTCTTTCATCTTTACCTTCTTCTTTCTGCCAAATAACTGACTCACTTTCCTGTTTTTTACTCGTATAATAATCAGGGATTATGAGTTCAAAGTTCTCTTATTTTTCTTTTTCCTTTTTTTATTATAATAAAAATTCACATCAAACGAATAAGTTATTTTTTCTGAAAATCCTTCTCTCTTTTTGTGATAAAAAATTATTCAAGCTGACTATAAACATTAACCTGCTTTTTTATGATTTTTTTGAACACTTTCAATTTGGAGTTGAATTAATTTTTTACTCCAAAATTAAAAATAAATTGAAAGTGAATATGTTGATGATTAAAAAAAAAAAGATCTTCTTAATCAGAATAAATATAAGATAATTTATTTAAATTATACTTTATTATATATTATTTTTTATAATTTTATTTATTTTAATATTCGAATGATCAATTTTAAATTCTCCCTTGAATATTTCACCATTTCTTCTAAACCCAGTTTATCTTTTGTTTGACTTGATAAAATAATTTAACAACTTTTCATCAGGGTAAATATTTATTCAATAAATTGAAATAGAATACATTAAAGATGAATATCAATTTCTGTGGTTCAATAACCACAGAATGTGTAAATGTAGCTAAAGCCTATTCTCCATCTCATCTATATACATTATATATCCATGTATACACTTAAACTCTTACTAAAAATATTTTTTATCTCTCCAATAAAGACTCAAGTTTGTTGTAAGCACCACAACATTTTTCTTCTTTTCCATCATCTCTCTTACTTCTTACTTGATAGTTTATTCTTCTTTTGTGCTTGCCATAAAATTGTTTTCTAGAATTTTTAAGGCAGACAGATCTCTCTAAGCAATACAATTTTCTTTTTTATTCTTATTCCCTTTTCCATCAGATGAGTATAACTTTTTCTTTGAAATAATCCCATTAAAAATTAGCATTTTAAAATAATGTATTTGTCTTGTTAATTTATCTACAATTGTTTCCTACTGTCTCAATCATTTTGTCCATCATCAATAAAACTTTGTCGTACTTCACATCGATATCACTCAGTTATATAATACTTTTTTTTTTTTTCTTTCATCATCATGATTTATCTCCATTTCTCCAGATATTTCCTCTTTCATTTGTCATGGCTTTTCTATGGGTCTAGTACTTGGAAAACTCATAAACCTTTTTCGACGAGTGATCGTAAAATACTTACGCCTCCACATCACGTATACCTTCATAAAGCTCGTAATCCAGACGAGTGTAAAACATCCACCTACAGATATATATATATATATATACTGTGCTTTTGTTATTCACTTTTTGTTTCATTGTAATTCTCTGGACACCACCAATTAGCTTAATCGCAAAAAAATTCACCAGAGTTTATGACGTTGAAACATAATAAAAGATAAACAAATCCACTTTGCAATACATAAATATATCTTTGAACAATGACCAATTGTAAACATCCAATTTTCAACAATAATAATGACTTTTTTTTTTTCGTCTAAATTAATTTTATTTTGTTGCTGGAAAATTTAATTTAATTATCCTGCTACTGGACGAAATAATTTGAGATTATGTTTTGAACTTTTTACTTTTAAAGTCAATATATTATTCTCATGGATAAATGTCAGAGCAGAGCAGAAACTTTGAGTAGACATGAGACTAATGAAATTTTGTTAATTTTCCTGTTTTTTGTCAAAGGCAACATTTTTTCGTTGCTTTGTAAGTTGTATTTTTATTTTATATATTAATTAATCAAAATATTTTATCTAAAACAAGTTTTAAAAATTCCACTGTTATACAGTTTAAAAAAAAATGGTGCATCAAATAAAAAATTAAGCTTTAAAATATTCTCTTTGATTGGAATAAAAAATTTTCTAACAAACAATTCATCACAATTTTTCAATTAAATAAATGACATTGTTATAAATTAGTCGTAAATCTGTAAAATATTATTCTCAGTAAATTTGAAACATTTTCGAAACAAAAGATACACTCTCGTAGAATTAATCCGCTAATGTATCTACTTTATCTGTATACGTAGTTTGATAAAGTAGCCGAAAATGTTCTTCTGTAATCCAATAAGTGCACATAAACAATTTCACAATACAGTACAACGCTGAAGAGGCGTGTCCTTAAGTATTCAGTATTATAGAAGTTAACGGTCGCTTCTATAATTATGGAAGTCCTGGTACAAACTCACCGATTTGCATTTCAAACCGCTATTGTAATCCTTAAGAGAGAGAGAGAGAGAAAGGGAGGAAAAGGAAGATGGAAAATGATGTAGTCACATACATAAAAGGAGAGAGAATCAGAGTAGAATGAGACATAATAGCAAATATCTTTGTCTATCAAATGGATATGCTTTCCCACAATTATCCAGCCATATGTTCAATTTCCAACCACTTATTAGCATTTCTATAATCTATGATAATAATATTTATAAAAACAATATCATTTCACATTTGTTACTTATTTATTCTCACTCCAGGAATTTATTGAAAAGTTGTTTTTTTTTATCCGTAGGATCAATAAGGGAGAATTATGATAAATTTGTTGAAAAAAAACAGACCATTTTTGAATTTTATTAATAATAAAAATGAAAGAATTATTTATGAAATATTTTTTATTAAAGTTTTTGAATGATAAAAATATTAATGATGGATTATTTTTCAGGATATGTCGGACGTGTGTGTAGGAACGAGTGTGGGGACCATAACAGAACCTGAATGTTTAGGTCCTTGTGAGCCTGGAACGTCGGTGACATTGGAAGGAATAGTATGGCACGAGACAGAAGGAGGTGAGTGTTTATATAATAATTACTTTAATAATAAAAACAATAAAACTATGAACAAAAAAAAATGAAAAGTGAATAATAAACATACTAGAGTTATAAAGTACCTGATTATATAAAATAATTCTTTATATTCAAGATAAAAAATATGAGAGAGATATATCTTATTATATATTTTCTCTCAACTTTTATTTGCGGAGAAAACTTAATGGAAGTATGAAAATTCCTCTGGAAAAAAGAAAAACTTTTACGGAGCGTTGAAAATGGTAAACAGAGATGAAGAATTGACTCTAACTCAAGTTGAATGAGACAGAGAAAATCGTTGAAAATACTGTGCTCTGCTCCGGATGAAAGCAAATTTCTACTCTTCCACATTTCTTTCTTGAATACATTTGAATGAGAAATTAATTTGCTCTCGACGAGCACTCTCCAAAAGTTCAAATCTCCACCTTTAAAATTTCTATTCTTCATATCTTTTGTCTCTCGTTGTTTCCTGTCAACTATTTCAATGGACTTGTATATCATCAGAATTTTTTTTACTCTTCATGTCTCTCTTGTCACCACTGGAATTAAAAAAAAAATTCATTTAGTATCAACAATTGAAAAAATATCTATTTTCTTCTCTACTCATAAAATTCACATTATTGTTGAATTTTACTGCAAGATTGTTGTTGTTGTTGACCTGGAATTTATTTATTCCTTTTTTTTCAGTCATTATTTAGATATAAAAATATTTTCTCTAGTATTTTATAATTACCTGTCAATTTACTGCTATTCTATTTTATATATAATTTTACTGCTACATAGTCAGTTTATAGAAGCCTTTAAGAAAATAAGGAAACATATAAGGATAAAGTAATATTGAAGAAAAGTCTACATCTTCTATATTTTATGTTACAATTTGAGTCATGTAATTTGTAGTCTCGAAGCACCGACACTCCTCTGGGATGGGTCTGAAACATGACATCCGCAGCAAAGTTGCCTAGACAACTTTTGTACATTACTTCTTATTCATTATTATTCTTGTTACATACTCTCTTTCTATTTAAACCACACTTACCAGTTTACTTAAATATTCAATAATATCAATAATTTTTTTTGCGTACTTATTTTAAATGTTATTTTATACACTCGGAAAAAAAAAAAAATATGCATCGGAAATTAATGAATATTTATTTATGATAATTACTTCAATCATAATTCTAGAAATAGAAAATATCACTTCAACATTTCTAACAAATCATTATTATTTCCTATTAATTTTCTTTTACTTACTTCAAAATACTTCAATAAATATTTAGCAGTTTTTTTTTTTATTTATTTAATATATTTGATGAATATTCTTCAAGCTTTCCCCAGTTAGAGTATCATTTTTATTAGTAAGGAATTATATATATATATAGAAATATTATTGACCATTTAAAAGATAAGATTATTTATGAATTTTAAATTTAAAATTATTTATACATGATGCAATGCATAATCTCATTTTAAGTCTGAACTTCAGAATTCATAATCTTGTTTTCTTAATGGCCAATTAATTTTTTATTTACATCATTCTTTTCAATATGATTTAGATTATGGCAACGCCATGTTTGAACAAAAAATTCGTTTTTTTTTTTTAAATATTTAATCCAACATCAATAAATTATTTATTACTAAAATAAATTTTCAGCTTATCTATAGTGTATGAAAATAGTTTTAAAAATTCAATAACTAATTTTGCCATGATTTAGTCTAATGTAATTCATTTATTTTCACAAATTCAATGCCTGTAAATTTTTTAATCACGCAATAAATCAATTTGAAAAGTAAAAATGCATGAAACTATTAAACTCAAATCATATCTCTATGATATTTTTATTTATTTAATATCAATTCATAGCTTATAAATAATGCATCTTGATACACTGTAATGCTAATATCTCCAATGTTCTGGAAATAAATAAATGTTCACATCATTTTATCGCTGAATGAAATATTTAGTATAAATATTAGAATACATTTAATGTCATAGGTCAAAGATATTTATATGAATGAGAAGAGTATTAGGGAATCTATATATTTATTGAATCTCAATTGAATACTTGAGCAATCTGTCGATGTCCATCATTCCTTGGATTTTATTCAACCTCTGTTGAAAACCGACTACTCCATTCCCAACTCAATCTTTTTGCTTTTAACTTTTTTCATTTCTTGCTTTTATATTCCTTCACGTATAATTTTCTCCATCTCTTGTACGTTGATACTCTCTTTCAGTTTCTTTCTTTTTTAAACCTGCGAGAGAAAAAAGGAGGAGGAGGAGGAGAATGAGTGAAAGAAAAATGGTAGTAGGACCCGTTCCAATGAGAATGTGAGACGTTTCAATAAAGAAAAGAAAACGTTAAAAATTCCTGAGTCAGTCTTTTATCATAATTCTTCATCCCTTTTTTTAGTCCTAATTCACATTGATGAGAATTCTTCATGATGTTCATCAGTTTTCGCGCTCAAGTTCGTGCCAACTTTCAATTAGAATTTAATCGGCGACAAATTCATAAGATTCTTTATGACTGGAGATTATATATTTTACGGCTGCTATTCAAGCCAATAAAATCTTTTCATAAGCTTGAAAGTACATTTTTTTTGGCAATGTATAAAGTAAACTGAAAGAGAAGAGTAGAATGTAAAAATTTAAAATGTTTTTGAAAAAATATTTATATAAAGAGTAACAAATATTTGTGTAATATAAAATGAAAAAAAAGCGCAATATTCTATGAGCTTGTTCTACAAACAGGATGTATGATAAAAGGTCTTCTGTGATAGTTTGAAAAGCTTTGTTGTCGATGTCGTGGACGTTGATGAAGACGATGGAAGTAGAGATGGTGGTAGAATATAGTAGGTAGGTAGGAGTTTGCAAGCGAGCGCAGCTCGTTATCGATCCTCTGGCGCTTTTCTATCTCACTCAGTCTCAGACAAAGATAGAAAGTGATTGAGTCTTCTTGACTTTCTTGCTTCTCAGTGAACGCTGATGAGGATAAAAGAAACCTCCGATGTATTTCTTTGAAGTACACTACTCGTCATCGAATTTCCTGTTAGTAATGAAATTTTTTCATATTTTTTATACCTGCTAATTTAAAAGCATTCAAAAATTATACTAAATTATTCATCCTTAGAGAATACATTTGATGAAATTTCAACAAAAACTGGATTTTCATTTCAACAGTTCTCACAGTAATCAACATTTTATTCAACATCCTAAAAAGTAGTTGAAAAATAAAAAAAAACGAATACTCCAAACGATACTCATTGTCAATATTTATTTAAAATAAAAGTCAAAAATACTTGAAGTGTTTTTATCCCACTTGATTTTCGCTCCTTTCAATCAAATATTTAATTCATGACTTAGTCTCTTGAAAAATCATTGATTATTCAACATTTACTCAAAGAGTATTTGATTTATAGTTAAGATACTGGACGATTTGAAGACAACAATAAATCGTCCAGCTTGATTTCATCGTTGGTTGTATTTGGATGCTGGAAAATTTTCGCTTGGGATTGTACCAGAAGGTGAGGTCTATATAGCGACTGGGTCTTTATTGGAAGCCAAGCCCCTCGGCACTCAAGAGCGAACCCCTCTCATCCTCGTCTCCAACTCACTGATTCCTCTTTTTCCTTGCTTCAAGCGTGCTTCTCATGTTCCTTCCTCTTCTTCCACTTATCCGGTCTCTTTTCTTCTCTCTCATTCACTTATACTGTTCATTCGTCTCCACTGCAGTGGAGAATTCTCTTTTACTCATTCTCTTGTTCATTCTCTTTTGCTCTTCGCGAGACCACCTTTGCTTCAAAGTCTTACTCTCCAACACACTGTGAGCTTTCTCTGAGATTTGTTCCCACACCATCAAGTCGTTCCGTCGCGGTTCACCAACTAACACGACATACAATCGAACTTTGATGGTATTCCAAGACGCGCAGAAGTTTCATCGAATCACATTTTTCATCCTGAGAATACTCTTGGCGTCATACCAATTACATTGCTGATATTTCTCAAATTCTATTCATTTTTTCTCCTCACTTCTCTTCTATTTTAACATAATACTTAATTTTTATTCTTTCAATGTTGAAATCCATTTAGCAGTAAGTAAAAGATAATAAAGAAAAAAAAGTAAAATATTCTACGGCTTCTCTATTCATTAGTCATGTCAAAGCATTCATCGCCTAGTCGCGTCTCGTTCGACCTCTGTAAATGGACACTCGTGAACCATTAACGGCTATTTATCCGCCTCGTTGGTCACACGTTAAGCGAACATTTTAAGAGTATACTAGAGAACGAATGATGCATGAGAAAAGAGCAAGTAGAACGAAGACAGTTGATTACTTTAACTATTCTATATCGAGCATCAAGCTACTCTTTTTTTGCTAAGACTCTTTTAACCTTTCTATGAGTCAATAAGAGTGATGTAAATAACTAAATTTTAGTTTTTATTACAATACATGAATATAAAGTAATTTAATTCTCAACTTCTTTTTTAAATCTTCAAATATATATTCACTTTTCATGAATAGCTTTATTGTTTATAATGATACTAAAAGATAAAAATATTTAAACAATACATAAATTTACTATTTAAGATGTTCTGTTTTTTGCTGCAGGTGTATTAGTTGTGAATGTAACGTGGCGAGGCAAAACGTATGTCGGTACGCTGTTAGATTGTACACGACATGACTGGGCACCTCCACGATTCTGTGATTCACCTACAAGCGACCTCGATGCGAGGACACCGAAGGGTCGAGGAAAACGTGGTCGAGCAGCAGCAAATGCGACGCCTGGTAATGACCTCAGCAATTTTACTGAAACGAGGAGTTCAGTACATAGCAAATTAAGGAATGGTGGTAAAGGACGAAGAGGTCCTCAAGGATCACCAGCTGCAAGTCCTAGTCCTGCAGCATTTGTACCTCCACGACCTGATCCCGCAGCCAAGCGGAAATCTCGAGCTCCTGAAGAAGAGGAGAAGAGTAAAAGGAGAGCACCACCGCCTACGCCACCAAGCGGTTCACCGCCAGCGAGTCCGGTGTTGCTAGAGTGCCCTGAACCTAACTGTAGTAAAAAGTACAAACATATTAATGGACTAAAATATCACCAGAGTCATGCTCATGGGTCTGCAGATGATGAAGATACCAAGGAAGGTGTCACAAGTATGTCGGAGAATGATGAAAGTAATATTGAAGCGCCAAGTCCGGCAACACCTGTTAAATCACCTGTGGAGAAACCAGAAGGTACGCCAGTTCGAGCAACGAGTCCTCCAGCTAATGCAATACCTTCTGAAACTCCAACACCACCACCTCGAGTGCCGTCACCGACGGCTGATCAACCTACGCCACTTCTTGCAGATAAAACGAGTATAGTTAAGCCAGGAGTCTTGAGGTTTGGTCAAGAGGATTTACCCGCATCGACGGCCGCTGTACAGCAAAGTCCAAGGCCGCAAATTCAACAAGTTCCACCTGCAAACCCGCCACAAAGTCCGAGCCCGCATCCAAGTCAATCGCCAAGGCCTGTACCGTCACCTCATCCCAATCCAAGCATTCCTCAGCCAATAAATATACCTCAACCACCTCAACCGACGCAGGTGGTTCAGCATCAAACACAAAATCAATTACTTCAAGCTCCACAAAATTTATCAAGTCAAAATTTATCGAGTCAGTCATTGCAACAGGGACAATCGTTACAAAGTCCTCAACCACAACTACAACCTGCACATCAACTTCAACCAATGCAACATCCAGTTCAAACACAGCTCGGACAACCGGCACCTGCGCATATGGTTCATCAATCTGGACTTCAACAGCAACAACAACAGCAGCAGTCTCAGCAAAGCTTACAAGCATTAAATCAACATCCGGGTCTACAAAGTCTTGCCACGCAAATTGGCCAACAACCTGGTTTACAAAATACGACACCGACTGGTCATCCAGTGCAATCTCATATGCAATATCCAAATGTTGGGCTTCATACGAAGATGCCACAATTCAAAGTCAAACCAACAGCAGCATTAATGCCAGAGCAGGATAAAAATAAAGATCCACGCACGCCAAAGCCTCAGGGTTATAAGAAAAAATCGAGAAAGTCTCCAGGTGGTAGTCCGCATCCTTCGCCATTAGAAGCTCCTATTGTTGATTCAGCAAGAGAAGATGTACAAAGTCCGGCGTATTCTGACATATCAGATGATGGAGCGCCTGTACTGGAAGTTGAGTCAGCAGACAAATTGAAGCAAGGACAGGAAAAGGATGTAAAGTCTGGAACGCAGACTCATTTACCTCCACACTTTGGTATGTATCCTTATTACACACAACCACCTTATCTGGTACCAAGTGTACAAGACAAGTCTGGTGAACAAAAACCCAGTGACTTGACGCCAAAACAAGATGTCAAGCCACTGAATATACCACAAATGCCGTCGATGGCAAGTTTACAAAATTCTGAGAAAGATAAAAAAGAATTAAATCCACCACCTCAACAACAATCTCATTATTATGGTGGTTATGGAAGTTATATACCTCCAGGTTATTCATACCAACCTCAATCAGTCTCACAAGCGCCTCCACCACAGCAACAGAGTCAACAAGAGGTTGAACATGAACAGAAAGCGAAGATTAAACAAGAATCTCAGCAGCAACAAACGGGTCTTAAAGACAAGCAGCATGAGAATCATCAAATATTGAAAGAGAGTATAGAGATGAAGAGTCAAATGAGTCCGTATCATGTTTACCACGGCTCACAAAGTCAAAGAGCACCACCAGCACCTGGTCCAGTTCAAGATGACAGAAGGTATTATTTGTATCCTGGTGATCAAAGGCGGAAAGATGAGCCAGTAAAAGCACCACAACAAGCGAAACCTCCTCCACCGAGTCCGAAACATCAACCAAAACAAGAAAAACCTCAGGATCTTGGGAAGAGTGAAGATTCGAAAAATAAACAAGAAGGTGTTAAGCCAACAATGGAAACACAGGGACCACCACCACCACCTACGTCGCAGTATGCGTATATTCATCCTGGATATATGCCACCGCAACATTATGGTGGAATACCATTCGATCCTGGACACCCAGTATATCGAGGTTTAAGTCCAATGCTGGTGCCAGGACCCTATTCTGGAAATCCCTACCTCCATCAGCTTCCACGGTATCATGCACCAGAAGATCTCAGTAGACCGCCAGGTGGAAAAGCTCTCGATCTTCTTCAGCATCATGCCAGTCAATATTATTCAACGCACAAAATTCATGAACTTCAAGAGCGTGCTTTGAAATCACCAACTCCAAAGACGTCAGCCGCGTCGGCTAGTCCTTCAGCAGCGGGTCCAACGCCTGCTAGACCACCTAGTGGTCCACCTACGTCTGCAGCAGGTGGTCCTGGACCACCTCCTGGTCAGGGTCAACAACAAGGATCTAAACAACAGTCTGGTGGTAATCCTCAACAACCTGGACCTGGTGATTCCGGTAATGGAAATCTTGGGAAAGATAATAGATCACCTCCACCTCAAAGGCATGTCCATACTCATCACCACACACATGTTGGATTGGGATATCCGTTGTTGACAGGACAATATCCCGCGCCCTATGGAGGTAAGCCACTTGTCAGACCCTGACAGTAAGGCTTCCGGCGATCCGCGGCTCCAACTCAATGAATTCGTCGATTAGCAGGTGGCCAAATCCCCGAAGCGTTCTATGAAGACGCTACGTGAAAAAATAAACAGTTGTAAATACTAGTAATATAGCTAAAAAAAAAAAACTCGTTGTGAACGCGACAACCAAAATTAGCTGCACAAAGACAATTTTTTTCAGTATATCTAGAAAGAAAAAAAAAAGCATCGAAACATTTCATGTGCAAGATAATAATACGAGTGTAGAATAAACAAAGTAATAAATCGTATATTAAATATTGAAGATTTATAGGCTAGTTCAGGCTGTGATAATTATTTGTCGTTTATTGACTTTGATAATACCGTCAAGTGTAAAAAAAAAAAATTAAAATATTGAGCACGAGTTTTTGTATTCTGTCCAAGCATACTTACGTATACCTATATATAAAGTGAAACGTGATAGATATTAGGTGGATAATCGATAGAGCTTATCGCGTGCTTCATTAGATACTTTTTAGTCTTCCACATGAATTTTTTAAGTCTGGAAACTCAATGGAATTTTATTAATTTACCTTGATCGGAAATTAATATAAATTCCAATTGTATATAGTTCCAAAAAAAGATTAAAAAAAAAGGAAAACAAAAATCAGAGAGATTAGAATAAATTGAAACAGTTTATTGAAGCGTGAATCAAAGTTGAATAGATTAAATGTAGCGTTCACTGCCAGGATTCTCGCAATTGCGGATTCCCTTTAAAATGAATTACTCGCGATTTCCTGAATTCTGTCCCACAAGATATAAAAGAAAACTCATTGAATGATTTTCTTCATCAATTCCTTTCTACTCTCTATTCTTATCCCATCATTGTGTCCTTAGCATGGCCAACCGACGGCGTTGTTTGACACGAGCTGGAGTCGGGCGGGATTGCTGATAATTAATTAACCAGAAAAAAAAAAAAATGATTAACTTTTGTAACATTAATTTTAAAAGACGAACTCGAAGACGACTAGCGATTCGACATTTTTAATTTCCTTTTAAAAAACAAACTCAAAGCTGAATGACTTTTTTCTGTAAATAAAATTTTTAATTAACTTTTTAACGATGTGTAGTAAATGTTAACAATTCATAAAAAAGATAAAAAGCATTAAAAATTTTGTTTTATACGATTGAATAACATATCGGTGATGATTAAGCAGAAATAGCAAATAACTCACATGGCTAATAAAGATATTAAAGATGTTAACGTTATTTAATATGTGTAAAATGATAGTTATAATGAGCATAGATGATTGTAATTGGTATTGGATGTTCATTAACGAGGCTAGCAAAGCATGTCGGATTGCAGTCGTGCACGAGGTCGAAACAAAGAGCCATTAATGGTCTGACGTGACGTCTATGTATGTGTGTTGCAGCGGCCGTGCTGGCGAGTCAGCAGGCTGCCGCAGTAGCTGCTTCGGTGATCTCGCCCTTCCCACCCAAGTGACCCACGGCCCCCGCTCCCGTTCCCGCCGCCGGAAACTCTGCACAAACCCACCACACGCATCCAGCCACCGTAACTGGTGGTGCGGGACACTCGCACGGGAACCCCGGCAGGCAGCAGTAGGACAGATTTTTGGTTGGCTACAAAGCCCCCCAAAGGGATGACAATCACAACATCATGATGAATACAAGTCTGAGGATCATAGTGATAAACTAGCATTCATCAATGTGATCTGTGTTTATGCCACTAAATTATATTTTTGGATTTGCGTGGAACTATGCTACGAGGTCGTCCTAGTCCTAGCTTCCTTAGTCCGGGACTCTCCAAAGGTATACGTATGTGCGAGGAGTCTAATTAGTTAGGCATTTTTTTATCTTGTCAAAACGTCTAATTATTTCTGTTCTCACTTAAATTAAACAAAATTGTTCGTTTTTTTCTTTCTTTTAGAATGATGAGAAAATATTTAAATATTGATAATTGTGAAAGATACAAAGATATCATTAATTCAATGACATAATTAATGAATTGTTAATTGATTAATTATTTAATTAACTAACTGATAAAAAAGATCTCGGAATTAAAAAGCAGCTTAGCATATGTGCGGCGATAATTGTATACTTAAAAATGGATAGTAGACATTAATAAATGAAAATTAATGTAAATTCAATTATTAGGAAGATGAAAATAATTTTTATTGCAAGTCAAAGTTTTAATTATTAATTGTTAGAAAAAAAAAACAGACAAACAAACTCGCTGAATGATTGATAATTAAGTGTCTCAAACTCCTGGCATTTATTTTTAAATATTTAGACAACCAAGGAGTAGAGAAACGTAATATAAAAATTTTTTATTATGTTGGGAGGATTTTTGAGGGGACCACACTAAATTCCAAAGCACTACATAAATGTTACGTGACCAAACTTCTTTTATGAATAATAAATAAGTCACGATTAGAATCTTCAGCGGGAGGCAATTTTTTAGTGAATATTTTTCCTTTTTTTTATTATTGTAATTAATTTGTTTTTTTTTTTAGATAAGTTTTACTTACATCACTAGTCTATTATGATGAGACATGTGACGTATTTTAATGGAATGAAAAACCTCGCAAATTTTTGTAGAAAAAAGAAAAATATAAACGGCGATTTGACAATTATGAAAAATTTTAACATTAGAGGAGAATTTTGAAATTAATTAAAAAAGAAAAATTCTTAACAATACTCTTGTAATGAAAAATAATCATTTCTTATAAAAAAAAAGGGACTGAGGTCCGGAAACCTCACCTCGAGGAATCAACGAATCCTCTTTTTTTGTAAATAATGTATTTAAAAGAAAACGAAATATGTTTAAGTATATATATAAATAAATGTATTCGTATTATAAAATGTAACTATACATAAATTGTATGAATGCTTAAAATTTTTAGTAATTAAAACAAAAAAACTACATTATGTATAATTATGAAACAACATGTATGTATATGCAAATAATTGCAGAGATATTCGTACCTTTAAACAGACATTTCACAACTATAATAAACGAATAAAAAAATTTAAAAAAAATCCTTGTAATTAAATTGGCATGATGCTAAATGAATTAAACGGGGAAAAAGCTATACGTTAAAGAAATGTTCTGTTATTCTTTTTTATTAATAAAAGAATTGAATAAAGGAATAAAAACGAAATATCTCAACTAGTGTTGATTAAATATGAATTGTTTAAGACCTGCTTTTTTGACAAATAGCAAGTCTTGGTAGACTGAAATTCACGAATATTATATACATAAAATTCAAACATAATCGCATTCCTATTTGGTAGTTTGAATTTTTGTATTAAAATGTGGGACTATTGATTGAGTAGTAATCTATTTAAATATAACTGACAATTCGTGAGTTGATACAATATAAAGATGAAATAATTATTAACAAATTGTTTTCATTGTAAAATAAAAATGTGAGAGTGTTTTTAATTTTAAGATGTATGAGTAGACAAATAGAGAGAATGATAAAAGTGTGATAGATTTAATAAAACAATTCATTATCCGAATCAATGTATTTTATTGTAATATTGTAAAGAATAATTGCATATTTCGATTTTTGTAGAGAAACGTGCGTAAACTTGAAAAAAAAATTTTACTTGTAGAAAATTTATTATGTAATATTAACATAATAAAAGAATATATAAAGGATATTTCGTAAGGGAGAAATCATGATTCTAAATAATTAAGAAGCGTTAAGTAACCTGTAAATCGAAATGTAGAATGCTATTTGTTTACTAAAACAAAAAAAAAAATTAATCATAGTTATTGATGCGATAGTAGAAATGATGATGAATGAAAAAAAGAGTAGTAATGATGAGATAACGGAAGAAAAAATTTAAAAAAAATCGTATTAATTATTATTATAAATATACAATGATAAAATTTAGATAAATACATAATATTAGGTTGGTAATTAATTATTATAACTATTATTTTATTTTTATTATTATCATTGCCATTGCGAAATGACAAAAAAAAACGTATGTACGAACTTTGTATATCCTGTACCAGAATATATAAAGTTATAGTGGACTGCATAGTGTTGCAAATGCCAAATCAAAAAAGTGCATGATTTTTTTAATTAAATACAACCATTTTACAATAAATGCTGAAAAGAATAAAATTAATTATTAAGTAAAAAAAAGAAAAAAAAAAAAAAACTAATAGATTCATGTAGAAGCAAATAAGTGTCTCAGTTTTAATGAGGCGCTTAGCGGAGAAAGGGTAGGCTTTAAAGATAAATGCTGGTGCTGTGCTGTGATTTTTATAAAAGAAAAAAAAAACAAGGAAAAAAAAAATATGAATGAAGTGAATTCGTCGATGGTAGAAAAAAAATTAAGATGCTTTTTATGAAAATATACAGATAGCCTAAGTACCTGGATCCTGCCCTACATCTCCGCCAGTAAAACGGAGTTTATCAAAAAAAAAAAAAATAATAAAATAAACAAATAATAAATCGTGTATCAATTGTATAGGCTGTATAATGTATTTGCTTTAAATAAATTAAATATAGATTGTTAACAAAAACGCTGTTATGAGATAAAGGAGTTATCTCCAAACGGTGGTGAAGTACGTTTTGCTATTTTACCCGATGATATACAGTCCTTGCATCAAAGCCTTATTGTACCTACGAACTATAAATAAAATGAATAATTAATGATTTAAATAAAAATATAAAAATTAGTATAATTGTCAGAGAGTAATGTGTATCCCTTGTATAACAGAGACGAATGTAATTAGACAGAATATGTGAGTAATTAAGATTTCATTAAAAAATAACATTATTATTGCAGTAATATTACATAATTAACTACGTGGAGATTGTAATGAAAAAAAAAAAAATTTTAAAATTAAAACGAAGATGACTGAAATAAAAACATTATATATAAATAATTAAAATAAAGACATCCAATTTTTTTCTCTCATTTTTTAGGGTGAAAATAGTAAATCGTTGCGCTTTATATATTACATTAATCGAGTATATAAATATGCGAATAAAAAATCATTACGTACAGAAGCAAATACAGAAGTACAGACATCTTGTCGTTAAATTGTAAGATATTGTGTTCAGAATCCAGAAATGTACTCTGACCCCTTCCCAGACTTATTATTATATATTAAATATATTGTGCACTATGCTCCGACTTGTCCATACAAATAAATATATTAAAAAATCTCATTTTTGATCTCATTTTTATTTAAATAAAATATACTAATCAATATATATATATATTAAATTTTTATTCTTTATTATTATTACATTTAGTATTTATATTTAAAAATACAATCGAATTTATACAAGAGAATGAAAATATTTTTACAAGATTTCTTTCAAATGTAAATTTAAAATTTCGCGCCGTCGCCATTTTGTTTTGTAGTTTCTATTTGTACCGTTAGGTGGTCACGGATCAGTGCTAATCACATGTTTCGGTAGAATAATAAACAATAGATATATTGTTTAATTTTTTACAAATAATTATCGAACAGTATATTTGTAATGTTATTGAAAATTGTATTTATTTACAAAATATAATTATGGATGAAATAGAATATAAATTGGCATCAAATAATCCCATTCTTATAACCCATGTAAGTAATCAAATACTATGACTAGCAATTAATTATTCCAAACAATTATAATTATAAACTTTCAGGGGATATCTAAAATTTTGGAAACTGTTAAAAATAAATTAACAAATAATGAAAATGATGACACTTCTAAGGTATTTAATTTTTCGAAGTATTTTTGTCTTACTGAAATATTTAAACATTATTTCCTATATTAGATTCCAGAATTATGGTCTTTAATTGCAAAATGCAAAAATGAAAATGCTCTTGTAAGTTCAGTAGCATGTCAAGCATTAGTAACACTTGTTGAACGAGGCCATTTGGAAACATCTTTAGCTTTATCAAAACTAATAGCAATATTAGGAGAAACAAAAAATTATTTAGCAGTTACAACAGCAATCTGCAATTTATTAATTCTAGATTTGAAGCAGAGAAAATCTACAAATAGATACACATGTCCGTTCTCCATAAAAGCACCTCAACATCCATTAATAACAGTTTTAACTCAAAACACTGATGCATGGCGAAATATCCTCGGTCAAATGCAATCAATATTGCATCACTGCGAACCAGGATTTGTTTTGCATCGTGTAGAATTATTACGACCCGTGTTTATGTACATTTTATGCAATCCAAGTATGAATCTCTCGGAGAATTGCAGGCACCAAACCTGGCATTTATTAATTAGAACGCATGAAACATTAAACTTACAATTAGAGATCATTCAGTGGTTACGTACAAATGATTTAACATCATGTATCAATACGAACCATTTGGTCTTGGAATTAACAGAATTATCTTTAGCCACAAAACATAAAGAATTATGTACATCATTAGCGCCATTAACTATGGCATTAGCATTTGATCTTTTGAAGCACAATTACGATCCTAGATCTAATATCCTCATGATGGAGAACATTCTCGAGCATTCTAACGATTGCATCGGAAGCATCATGATAAGCCTACTGTCTGATATGTTATTAATTACACCAGTAATTTATTTGCACGATATAATGCGATTAGGAGTGTTGATACTGACTAAATTAAGCTCTAACGAAGTTATAGCTCACTCATTACTGGCATCAATTTTGCCTTGGATGGCTTATGCTACACCTTTGTCTTCGAACGCTTTAGATGTCGGCAAAGAATTGATTAAACTGATAACTACTAAATTAACACCTAAGAATCATTCGAAACAAATTTATTCTAATAAAATATTCAGTATAATATGCAATGCTAATCAAGATATTCAATTTTATGCAAATCTTTGTGCATGTTTAGACGATTTAGATGAAATGAATATGATTTCATGGCTTGAAAAATTATCTGAAATACCCAACGATTTCCTTTATAATTATAAAAATATTTTAGGAGGAATTATTTCAAAATTTAAAAATGTTTCAATTACTTCTCAAGCATTGAAATTACTTTTAAAAATAATCAAGTTCAAACCAGCATCTGCAGGATATGTGTTATCATTAATTCTCTACAAATTGTCGAATATTGAAGGAATACAAGAGACAAAAGAGCTTTTATTTGCACTACCACAATTAGCCGTGTCAAAAGAAAATATTCCAATCATAGTACACACTTTTCATACGTTATTGAATTCTGAAAAATCATTAAAATACCTAGCAATAAATCTCTATTTGAAAGCATGGGTAGTTGAACCTCGTTGTCATCGGCATTTGTTCTCAGCATTGATAGAAATGAGCAAAAATGACAAGACAGTAATGGCATCTATAGCTTGTGCGAAAGCAATGCAATTCATTTGTGAAACTAAACCAGAACATGGCACTGAATTGGTACCGTTGTTATCACAAACATTAAATCATTGTACTGATACTGCTGGTAGTGCGGCAAGTGCTCTCGCTCTTCGAGGTATTTCAGCATTGTGTGTTGCTGGAATAGCAGATGTTTGTTCAACGTGGCGAGTGCTTTCACCCAAAATGAACAAAGAAGTACGACCAATTGTCATAAAGAGCATGTGTAAATTTTTTGCAGATATTCCATCCAATGCTACTCATGCTGATGAAGAGTATGATCAATTACTAGAGCAGGTGTTGGGAAAATTATGGACATTTGCGTGTTTTGAAACAACTAGAAATATTGAAGTAGTTGAAGCTGCTTTTAAAGCTTTAACGGCTTATAACCTTAGTCAAATGAAGCTTTCTTTTTTACCAGAAAAATTTAAAACAAACCTGCAATTACCACAAAAATATGCTCAAGCATCAACAGAGACGGGGAAAAAGCCTGAAGAAATAATGAGTTATGTTCCAGGAAGTTGTTGGATCACAATGCTTGAAACAGTGTATGAACCTACAAGATCAATGGCTGGAGATTTTTTAATTAAACATATCAGCGAAGAATTGTATGGATTTAAAACAGGAATATATATGTGGTCCATGGGTGAACCAATTAATTATAAATATCTTTCAGAAAAAAGTCCTATTCGTGCAGTTGGAGAATATCTTCGTCGTTACGAAGCTATTGATCATATAAACAAACAAAAAATAATGCTAGAATGCTTACGAATTTTTTCACACAAATATCTAAAAGCATTACCACCCATTAAATGGGAGCTTTTGAATCCAGCAATTAATATGTCAGATGAAGCTCGAGCTTATGGAATAGCTTTAGCATGTCATCAAGCATCAGTTTCACCATCAGCCAAAGAATTTTTGAGCAAATATATATCAAAAATGACGAAAAATTGCGCTGAAGTTAAAACAGCATCAGAAGAATTCAAGAAGATCAGGCTTTTATGCTCACATCTAGAAGATATTTGTCGAGGAGTAATGTCAAATGTTTTAGGACCATTTTTAGATGTTGTAATGAATTGTATTACTGAAAAAGCAATTAATAATGATAAGGATGGAGTAATGATCTTTAATGAATTAATGGAACATTATGCAAACATTCTCAAAGATGATCTTGTTCATCATGACAATAAGACGTTAATAACTGACATTCTGGAGAAATTATTAGACCGAATTCAAGTTGAAAATGAAATTTTTCCAGCTTATGTTAAGCCAATGCTTGAAATGTCTATTGAACAAATTGAAAGAATAACTCTACCAAGTGTTTGGACAGAAGTTACGAATAATAAGTTGAAAAAAGCTATTGTTATTAGAGCTGGACTCGTTCTGAAAAGAGATAATGCAATTCCATTAAGTTGGATGGATGTAATTCTTTCAGTTTCATCTTCAATTCCTGGGTAATCATCTATTTACACTATTCTATAGCTTTTTTTACATATAAATTTCAATTTATAAAGTTAATTAAAATATTTTTTAGGATTCAAACATTTTTATTAAGTCATTTGAAAAGAATCCAATCTCAGCTGAGAACCGATAAGTCAAATTCTACCTGGAGTCTAGATTTAATGTGTAAAATTCAAACGACAATTCTTAATACCAGTGAAGAATATTCTACGGAATCTTTAGCATTTTTATGTGATGTCTTTTTCGTCACCATAATTACTTTTGCTTGTGATGATTGTTTATTAGTTGATGATGAAATCATTGTCACATCACATGATACAAGAGCAAGACTTTTTCCACATGCATTAGCAACAATTATTGAAAAACCTCATTGGATGAATAATGCCCTACAGGTATAATACAAGCAATAATTGTACTTGAAAAAATTACTCATAGCAACAACATTAATTATTATCTATTAATATCAGTCATTTATTAATCATTAATATTTTCAGATAATGGAATGGTTAAACTTTATGAGAACTAGTGTTCTTTCTGATACGTACAAAATTGTTTTTCACAACGCTTTAGTATCTCTAAAAAAAGAGAAATGTCTAGATGAATTATGGACAAGCTATATTTCTATTAAAAGTCCTATAAATTTATAAGAAAAATAATTTAACAAATATTTTTAAAAACTGGCTATATTTTGAAACATATTGTATATTGTGCATCAAGCGATAATATACCGCTCTTTTTTAATTAATTATATTCTTAAAATAATTTCGTCACATATGTTGTATGTGACGGTATTCATAATGCTAGACTGATGTTTCAGTGTTGTCCAAAGTCATAACTGTGAGTGTATTTGGACGAGACCCAGTCAATACTTGTTCTTCAGGTGGTCTCATTCTTGGCTCCAATATATTTCTTTTTGTATCGACGTTTTTCTTTATAGGTGTTCGACTTGGACTAGATTTGCGACTATTTGGGTATGATTTCAGTAAACGGGCACTATTTTTAAACATGAATTATCAAAAAAATTGATATCTCCTAGGATTTCTAATCAGTTATAAATTTGATTATTTTATAATTATTTAAACATTTGTACTTACGCATCAATCAGCTTGAGCAACAGTCTTGAATAAATTTGATACTCTTCATCAGTAAATTCAGTCGGATCATGCCTAGCATGCTCATACAAATCACAAAATTGATGAATTATTCTCTGTCCACTTCCATTTAAAGGAGCTGCTAAAGTGGTGAGTAAATATGCACGTAAATTTTCTGTTGGATGTCTTTTCAGACAATTGTCATATTTTGTAATTTCTGCTTCTACAAAAATTTAACAAAACTGTTATATTATTGGCAAATATTTTTATTAATTAATAATTTAATTCCTTACCAAGTGTTTTCACATCATCTACAGCTTTAAGTCGATAATAATGTGATGGCACTTGACTTCTAGGTTCCATGATCAACCTAGGATCACTAATAAGTTGAGCTTCATATTGAATTCTTGGTATTACTTCTATTCTCCTGTCAATTTCTCTTTTTAACGACTAAAAAGAATATTTTTCAAGGTAACTATTGTATTATATTTAATCCAATTTGATGTTCCAAACATAAATAAACTATTAACCTCATTAAATACGAACCTTTTTAGCATCATGTCCAATAGGAACATGAGGTCCTCTTCGAGATCTTAAAGCAAATCTCATAATTTGTCGTTTTGCAAAAATGAACAACAATAAAATAGTAAGAACACCAGCGGCAATAAATATAACAATTGTTACACCTGACAGTTCTTCTGTCATATTGTCAACGTGAATTTTGTGTTTCCAAACCAAATCAGCTGATTTTATTTGGAGATAACTGAGAGAGCTCATGTCATGAGGACAGAAGTTCAACTACCATGATCAGTCGATATAGTAGTGTACAATTGTAGTAAGTAAACAGCTTGGACATGAACCAAAAATGTGATTTATCCTATAACCGTGGAATAATCAATATAATACATAGAAATTACTTTAATTACACATATTCATCCATTGTTAATAATTATAAGTATGCTGGATTCGTGGTCAAAACACCAGACTTTGATTTTGTCAAGCAGAGTTCAATACCAGTCTCAACCAATTTTTGTTTTTTTTTTAGTGAAATTAAATGTAATTATAATTTTGATGAACCAAAATAAATTTTTAATAATGAATTACGTTTTTTATTTAATTATTCCTTTAATTAATAGACGCTAGAAGGACTTTTGAGGTAAGAAGAAAAAATTCCTCAATTTTGATAATCGGAGGTTGCTCTGTACGTTTCAATATTGAAATCGCAAAAATACAGAACAAACTCAGAAAAACAAGTAGAAGAAATTTTTTCAACGTCTTTTATAGAAACATCAAAACGAACAAAATGAGCCTCCAAATATCAAAATTGTAGGATTTTTTGTTTTTACCTCAAAAATAGCAAATAATCGTAATTATGCGTGGATCATAAAATCATTGATGCCATTGGAAAGATCATGACAAGACGGTTTCAAAACACTGACTATCGACTGTATTTGGTCAGTAAATCCAAGAGATATTCCTGAAAAACTGCGATACATAGAAAATATGCATAACTTCTATGCAAATGATGCTACGGGGGTAATCGAGGGCTCATATGATAGATCTGGACCTAAGTAAAGAATTTGAATCCCCCTATAGGATATCCCCGTCAAAAATGCCGTATCTCGCTTAGTTTTCGAGTTATGAGCGTTTAAAGGTTTTTCTATGCTTCATCGTAGCATAGCTTTGTTTTCTGTAAATAACTCACGATCTACAAGACCTACATAGATTATGAGCATATTAATGGATTCCCGAGAGCAAGAGCTTTCCATTGATGTAGCCAAAATTATGATCCAAGCATAATTTATGCTGAAATTATAGCCATTTCCGGTTTCACCTTTGTACTTACGTGCATTGGGAAAAATTTCATTTCAGGTGATCGCATTTTGAATTTCTGAACATCAAAACGTACAGAATAACCCTCGATTATCAAAATTAGAGAATTTTTCCTTCTAACCTCAAAAATAGCAAATAATCGTAATTATGCTTGGATCATAAAATCATTGATGCCATTGGAAAGATCATGACAAGACGGTTTCAAAACACTGACTATCGACTGTATTTGGTCAGTAAATCCAAGAGATATCCCTGAAAAACTGCGATACATAGAAAATATGCATAACTTCTATGCAAATGATGCTACGGGGGTAATCGAGGGCTCATATGATAGATCTGGACCTAAGTAAAGAATTTGAATCCCCCTATAGGATATCCCCGTCAAAAATGCCGTATCTCGCTTAGTTTTCGAGTTATGAGCGTTTAAAGGTTTTTCTATGCTTCATCGTAGCATAGCTTTGTTTTCTGTAAATAACTCACGATCTACAAGACCTACATAGATTATGAGCATATTAATGGATTCCCGAGAGCAAGAGCTTTCCATTGATGTAGCCAAAATTATGATCCAAGCATAATTTATGCTGAAATTTTAGCCATTTCCGGTTTTATCGTATTTTAAGATTAATGAAATCGATTTTTGGTATCTTTTCTATTAATAGCGCATTCTCAGGCATCGATAGAATGATCAGAAATTATGCTCGAATCATAGCACATCAATTTCGGTATTCTTGACCCAATACTATATTTTTCAGCATCAAGACAAAATGAATGAGTAGTTGAACATGAAAAGCATTCCACGAGATCCCGAGATATTTTGTAAATCGGTAATACCTGGAAAAACATGCATATCTTCTATGCTCAAAGTATAGGGCATTGTAATGTGACACACTTTATCGATATCACAAATATGTCATACCTGTACACAGTTTTCATACGGGTTGAGCATTCTCCAAACATGAATGACTGTGGTCAATTGACATGGTGCTGTCATCTATTGAATTTTTTGAAACTTTTCCCAACGAAAATCTTATCAAACCGTAGTTTTCTAATTTCTTTTCAATTATTACATTTCATTATCTGAAAGAATTTTTTTGGAAATTGTAAAGATGGCAAGAATAGTCCTAAACAACATTAAGGAGCTTAAATTACATCTTGGCGTTGGAGCACGATGAATTGACTTATAATTATTCAATTTTCTTTTTCATTTTTTAAATACAAAAATCAATTAAAATATCAAAATTTCTCTCTATCGCACTACAGCATAATACAAACTTTTATTTGAGACCCAAATTTTTAGGTAAAAGCATGAATTGACGAAAAAATCAGAAAACTACGATCCCGTGTGTGTAAATTCCCTAGGGGGGGCTATTATTCCCTAGGGGGAATCAGATTGCTTTCTGACTTGAGCCCAGTCTCGAAAATATAATCAATTAATATGCCATAAATCACGATGATGGTACATATTTTGTAAGATTTTTTCGATAGCTTTTTTAAATATTGTTTCATTTACTGCTGCAATTTCATCTAGATTATTTTTTTGTTCTTGACTGTACGGTGGATTTGTTTTGATAAATGATAAAATAAATTTGCCATAATTCTTATCTTTAGAAAATGTCGTTGCTTTTTCAGCTAAAAGAGTAAGCAGACGATCTTTCAATGAATTTTCTACTTTAGAATCAATCAATCCTGGTAAAATTGATATATGCCAAAGTTTTAATTCTTTTACATTCATTAGAAAATCTCTGAAAATAATGAAATTGATTATATAATTTTGTAAGTGATTTATTTAACTAATATAAAATAGAAAAAGTACTTACGATATTATTGTCATCTTCTGTTCTCCCTGATAACTCTGAATTATTACTGACATTATCGAAGTTTCTTGCAGGTCAACATTAATTAATGGAATGTAAATTAACGTTTTTATATCTTCTGAAAATTTCTTTACCATTTTAAGAATTATCACAGACAACTGCCTCGAAGGTTCTTTCAATTCTGTTATCTACAATTTTAATCAAAACAATGTTGAGCTATAAATATTAATTCTTTTTAATTTTGTATTCATTAAATATACCTTTGGAAGTAAGAGTTTGGAGCAGATAATTTTTATATATTGTATTCCTTCATCAACGTCCATCTCACAGATTGAATTACAAAGATCAAATATTCCTTTAATGTCTAACCTTTGTGATAAATTTTCAAAAACATTCAATAGTTCTTCATCACTTAAATTTTTCAAAATATCAATATCTAGAATTTTATTCGTTTCTAATGATTCATAAACTGCATTTATTCTGTCATCTAAATCAGACCCTTGACTTCTTTTAGTACTCGAAATTGGAGAATTACATTTTTTGACTTGTGTGAAAAAAAATTGTGATGATTGCAATAATGAACTGTTCGTGGATTCTGAATGATTTGTTGACAGATTAAGATCATCAATTTCCATCACAGATTCTTCTTTATCATTATTTAACTCTTCTGGTTCCTGAAAAATAATTATTATTAAAAAATTATTCCAACTCAAGATGCTTTGAAGTCATACTAACATGTATAGGAAACAATTTCTGCCAAATAGAATTAGAATATTCAAGATCTTGATTCAACCACAAGGTTTCATGAATCTTCAATTTATTTTTAGATTCTTCTGATAATGAATAATGCTCGAAGTCTTCTAGATCCATTATATTAAGAATAAAAATAAATAATAATTTGAAAATTAAAGGATCAAACAATTCAAACCCAAGCAATTAAAACCCACAACTAATATGATTCAATCAATCGATTTATCACAATACTCGATTATTATAAAATCGATTAAAAAACTAGTCACATGTATATTTTATGTGAATGTATATTGTGCATAATTTGCTGATAAAGTAGAATTTCTGCTACTACATCACCTGTTATCAATTATATATACGTCAATTACATGTATACATGTGTATGTCATTTTTTCTTTACAACAGTAAGACAGCAACAGTGAATCCGAAATTTTTTTACTCCAATCAAGTTGTGTATGTATAACAAAGAAAGTGACTTTTTATGTTCAAAGTGAATGATTCATTAATAAAAGTCTATCGAAAAATTGGTGGTTTTCAACAATAAAAGTCTAAACATGAATGGATTGTGAAATAAATGCGGAAGTTACGATTTAATCAAATTTCACTTCACACTAAACAGATTTATACTGGATAGCAATTACTGGGTGGTGCTGTAAAATAATACAGCACAATATTAATTGTAAACATGAGTAAGATGTATTCAACAGCTAATTTAACAGATAAAGAATTGAAAGAGCAGGGTAATCGTTTATTTGGTCTTCACAAATACGAAGATGCAGCCAATTGTTATTCTAAAGCCATTGTTAGTTAACTTAATAACTCGTTGACACTCTGATATATATATATTTAGTACACGTAATCAGACTTTTTAATCTGAATTACATGTTTATTTCTTTTAGATCAAAAATCCAACTCAAGCTCAATACTTTACAAATCGAGCACTTTGTCATCTCAAACTCAAACGATGGGATTCATCCTGCCAAGATTGTCGACGTGCACTAGATATAGATCCATGTTTAGTAAAAGGACACTTTTTTTTAGGCTTAGCTCTTTTAGAGTTGGAGTCATTTGATGAGGCAATAAAACATCTACAACGTGGTAATTATTTTATTGTCTAGAGATAATAGAAGCACTAAGCATAGGGAATAAATTTAATATTAATTGATGTTCCAATTTTACTTACAGCTGTCGATTTAGCTAAAGAACAGAAGCTTAATTATGGTGATGACATGACTAGTGCTCTACGACAAGCACGTAAAAAACGTTTTCAATTGCGAGAAGAGCAACGACTTGCTCAAGACATAGAACTACAGACATATCTAAATCAATTAATTCTTGAGGATGCTGAACGAAAATTAACAGCTCTTAACGAACAAAATAAATCTAATATCGAAATTAGAAGTTCAGCTGATCATGAGGAGTCGACTGAATCAAATAAAGTATGCGATTCTGATTCATTATCGGCAGCTCAAGCTTTTTCAGCAGCAAGAGAAGAAATTGAAAACAAAAAGGAAACTTCGATTGTACGTCTGAATGACCTTTTTGCTAAAGTTGATGAAAGACGACGAGTAAGTTAACTACATTCTTGTCATTTTTTAATTTGAATTCGTTATTTTTCAGCTTATTTAATTATATTTTATTTTCAGAAACGAGATGTCCCTGATTATTTATGTGGAAAAATTAGTTTTGAAATTCTCCAAGAACCTGTAATTACACCCAGTGGAATAACATATGAACGTAAAGACATTGAAGAACATCTACAACGAGTTGGTCATTTCGATCCTGTCACTCGAGTTCGGCTTACGCAAGATCAATTGATTCCAAATTTGGCCATGAAAGAAGTAGTCGATGCATTTTTGCTAGAAAATGAATGGGCTTTAGATTATTAATAAATTAATTTGTTATATTTTAATACGATTTATCTCGCTGCATTATTAAACGAAGGATCGATAAGCTCGGTCTCATGTAATTTCATCTGCATGCGTTCACAATACTTGGATCAAATTCTATCATTTGACCTCAGACATATGTAAAATATACTATATAATTATAAAAATATATCTCAATAATCTTAATAATAATGATAATAATAATTTTTGTGAATTAATACAGATTTAAATAAATGAAAATAGTTTATTTTATGCGAATAAAACGACGTTTACTAATTTTTATTAAAAAAAATACTATCAAATAGTAATTTTCTATAACTGTTTTGCTTTTGTACAAATTCTTTCAAGTTAGAATAATCATGTTTCATGCTATCTATTTTGATCATCAGAAGTATCAGATGTTTTAACGAAAATAGATAAAAATACAATACAAGAGATAAAAATTGCTACCACTGGTGGTATTGTCCACTGATAAGTAGCCGGATTTTTTGTCGCTGCCATTAATAGTAGAATCCAACCAAGTATTCGTTCAACAACTAAAATTAACTGGATTTTTATGTCATCATTTTCTATGAATGGAGTAATTTTAACATAACCAAATGAAGCCCATCCAGTTAAAGTAATCCAACTGATAAACATAGTCGTGTCTTCTGTTGACAGTCGAGTTTCATAACTGAAAAATAGTTCATTCTTATAAATAAATTACTCTCTTATTAATGTGTTTGATGAATAAACTACTATTTACCTAAAATTTTTCGCCCAAACAAGAGCTGTTGGAATGGCTGATGCAGCAGTAAGATACCAAGTAATAAATAATAATAAGTGATTAATTATATTAGTTGTTGGATCTACGTCTTCACTTTTAGTAATTTTTTGTGAGTCGTTTTTAGATTGTTTACTTGATGATCTTCTGAATTTACGAGCAAAATTACGTAAAGACGCCATAAACAATTCTTCTAAATAATCTTCATACATACGAGTCAACTTTAAAAAATAAAATACAACAGACAACAACATAATAATTGCAGCACAGCTGCCAGATATTAAAACAATAAAAATGAAGCTTATAAAAATTGGTAAGCTATCCAAAGTCTGACGAAGTAACCAATCGTACCAAGCGATTGGAAAATGAGCCAATGCTCTTGCCAAAAATCTGTAATTATTAAAGTATTAATAATACCTTCAAATACAAAGTTAATAATGAATTTTCTTACCTAGCTGTTAAATTATGAACTATGGATCCTGAAAAAATAACAGCACAGCACGTAGCAATAGCTAAAACAATCAACAGTCCAATGGCTACGCAGCTTTCAAACAGTAGACCAGAAATTAAACTAACAACAGAAGTAACTCCGAAAGTTAATAGAGTTTTGTATTTGTTGTTATCCATTCTCATGGTAATCATGAGCAATAGTAAACCTATAAGTATTGGATAAAGACGAAACCATCGATCTCTTACAAAAATAACTATTCTATCAATAATGCCAGCTCGGCGTAAGAAAATCTTGTATGAAAATCTAGGATCTAAAGTTACTCTGATAGCAACAGTATATAATGAAGAGTTATCATTAACTGGAGTTTGTAAACGAATGGTATTTGTTCGTCCAACATCAACTTCTGTAAGAGTAGAATATTGACTTATAACTGAATTTGAAGGATTCCATAATTCTCGTGTTTCAATACCAACACTTCCGAATGTATTGATGTATTCTCCACCATCAATAGACTGTAATACAATATTTATTGCATCCGGAATACCTGTTGTAATGAAATAATAGCGAAGAATACCCGGTTCAGTAGTTACAGTTGAGCTTTTCGACGACCCAATCACAAAATTAATTGGTACAGGAAGCCAACTTGGACTATCATCGTCGATATGTACTTTTCGTTCTTTAAAAGAATACATATCGATGTGGATCAATACTGGTATTTTTTTACTCATATCTTCTGCTGAAATTTTTATTATTATGTGTGTTGCTCCAAAAACATTACGTGAAGTATTAAGGTCTAAATCAACACTTTTTCGTAGTCGATACAAATGATCGGGAAATAATTTCGTGCGATTTGTAAAATTCCATCCCCATTTGCACAATGAATCTGACGATAATTCTGAACATGCAAAGAGCCAGTCTGTAGTTTCTAAGTCAATAGTATCCACACTAAGATTATCATAAGTTATAAACTCTTCTTTAATTGGAATCATTAAATATATTGGACGATCATTTCTTTTTCCTTGGTAAATCTCACTATAATTACTGCCATAAAAAGTATACTGTGGAGAAGTGACAGGAATAACAATTGCATTGGATTGAAATTGAGATTTATTCTCATAATGAGGCAATTTCTTTCCAGAATATCGACTAGATAGATGATAAGTCAATGCTTGTAATTTGGCCGAAGAGTCAGACTTTATTGTAGGAATTCGTCCTGAAGTATCTACACAGTCGAATAAACTACGTACTAAAACTATAATCAACTGTTTGCACCATAAAATCGATAAATGATCTTGCGATCTCCATACATTAGGAATAGCTGAAGATAGAACATTTAAATCTGCATGAGGATCGATGGTTTGTGATGAAGTGACTAGACTATCTCGTGGACCTCCACCAATAGAAATAACAGTGGTTCCCATTTGTTTCAGTTTTTCAGCTTGTGCATTAACTCGATGATAATAATTGGCAAATGTTCTATCAAACGCAACACTTGGAATATGAGGACTAGCCAAGTTGATCAAAATATTAGCTAAACTTGTGTTCGAAGACACATCTTGTAATAAAGCTGCTTTGGCAACAATACCACCCATCGAATGACCAATTAATAATACTTTATCTACATTTCCACCATAAAAATTTAATATATGGTGAATACAATACTTAACAAACTGTGTCTGTTCATCCAAAACACCTATAAATAATAGTTTTATTAAAAGGTGAGAATAATAAATTGATTATGATCATTAAAAACTGAATTACCTCCATAAAGAGCAGAGAGACCTTTTGCTAACGATACTGTGAAGTAATCAAAGTGAAAGGATGTTTTTCGTTTCAGACTCATTCTCAGACTTACTGAAGCAATGGACCTTACTAAAAAATTAATTGTTAATTTTTATAAAATTATGATATAAAAGGAATACTTTACCTTGTTCATGTGAACCAGCATTTCCAGGAATAAATAAAACAGGTATTCCAGAAAATTTCATTCGTCTTAACTTTTCAACCATATAACCTTCTCCATAAACATACAAACCAAACTTTGGATAATTTTTTTCTATTTCTGGATTTAGTTTTATTTTCTGTAAACAAATAATTCAGTTTTTAATTTAAGAAGCTACATGAAATGAATGAAAGGTTATTTAAATACTTTATTCATATTTACCACATATTGGGGATATTCAAACATGAATGTCATATCACAAGTATGAGATTCTAGAGTAGTTAAATAACGTACACCTCCAAGAATGTAAAGTATTAATGAAAATAGACTAATTAAAGATAAAAAAAGAGTTATCACCACAAAACCTTTTGCCATATTTTGAAAAAATAGATCTGTAGATATAATTAATCTTAACTATTTTCTCCACAAAAGATATCTATTTGTTTAAGCTTGGCATTGATCAAATAATTTTATCCGACAGATGTCTGTTCCATTTTATTTTTACTTCCATCATTATTGTAAAAACTTCATTATCATTCTTATGAGCTAATTAAAATAGTACTAATTAATAGGATTGGCTGATAAATTTTTACCAGTCTAAACGAACTCATTTGTATTTATTGTCAAACTACTGAAAGAAGCTAGTATACTCTCATTCTGTTACCTTGGTTCCCCTACTATGAATGTAAGCTTGCTGATAGGTTATTGAATTTTTGGTGGGGATGACTAATCCATCTATACATGATATTTATATTTCATGGCATAAAAATGTAAATAAAATTATTGTAATAAAAATCTATTTTAATAAAAGAAGTCTTATTAAAAATAAATAAATGACTTAATTATTAGTTATTTATTTCACTGAATTAATGTAAATTAGCATCTTTATTCAATATGAAAAATGAAAAAATAAAAATTTAAGTAGAAAATTTTAATTGTATTAAATCAATTTTTTCATTAATATATGCTAGTTAAGAATTGACAAAATTTTCGTGAATTATCACACTTCTTAAAATAACAGTAGAATTTTGCAAAGGCAATACGCTTATTGGTCTGCATCATCCTTTGTTACAGAGAATGGCTCTGGAACTTCTACTACTTCACAATCTACAATAACCACATCATCAACCGGTTTATCATTTCGGCCTGTTGGAGTTTTTTCTATTCTTCGCACCACGTCCTACACAAAGAAAAAATTAGTCAGCATCGAAAATTGTTTTTTGGTAGTATTTATGATGATGATGATTATTATACATACCATTCCTTTCAAAACCTTGCCAAAAACAACATGTTTACCATCGAGCCAAGGTGTTTTCTTTGTCGTGATGAAAAATTGAGAACCATTGGTATTTTTACCAGCGTTAGCCATTGATAGCCAACCGGCTCCAAAATGTTTAAGCTTAAAGTTTTCATCGTCGAAACGATCACCATAGATACTTTTTCCTATAATTTTCGATATTATTTATAAATTAGTTAAAATTTTATAGATCTAAAAAAAAAATGTTGAGTTTATTAACCTCCAGTTCCATCTCCTCTTGTGAAGTCACCACCTTGGATCATAAAGTTTTCGATGACACGGTGGAATTTACTGCCTTTGAAACCTTCGCCTTTAGGTGCTTTTGCTAAACCTACGAAATTGGCAACAGTTTTCGGGACAGTTTTTCCAAATAATCCAATTTCTATTACTCCAATGTCTTCTTTTCCAATTCTCATATGAAACCGAACCTAAGTAATCAATCTTTTTGGTTAACTCTTTGTGCACAATATGGAATAAATACTAGCAAATTTAAATAATAACTGACCTTATCTGTAACTTTAGGTCCATTGGCTTTATCATCACCATTGACATTCAGTGATAATATTGATAAACTTACAATAAATATTAATAATTTCATTGTTAACTGAAAACACTCGAGCCGCTAAAGAAACGAACGTTTATACTCTGAAAGTTGCTGAAGACTAACGATATATATATATATAGGTATGGATACATATATAAAGGCAATCTGACTTCTACATTCAAAGCTCTTCAAGTGCACGCTCTCCAACGGCACACCAACTTATCTTGTGCACGTTCTCCAGCCCCCAATTCAAATAATATGCGACCAATCACGTGCAATAGTTTGAGTTTAAATTCATTTTTAAATTCTGCACAATGTTTCGCACAGAGAGAGAGCGTTTGATTGAATAAAGATAGCTATAAGAGTTAGAAGAGTGGGAATGAAGCAGATTGTAGGGGAAGTATGTGTGAGGATGGGCCTCGGTCCCGAGCTGAGGGCTTCGACTGTACAACTTTTATCGTCAGAAACAGACAATATAGGCAGTCTATATTTGTATCTATACATATATATATATCCTTTACCTTCGAACTGCCTTGTCAAGATTATTATCGTACTCATGTTTTTAACGTGGACCAACGTGATAGGTCACTTGAATGCAGTAATTATTATTATCATGTTTTAGATTTTTAATCAAATAATTACGCTCATTTAATTTATAATATTATTTAATATCAACATTCATACTTATTTTTTAAATCAAATGATAATTATTTAATCTATATAAAAAATAATAGAGCATCTGATAATAAAAAACTATTGGATTTATTAGACAGAAATGATTTATATATAGGAAAATAAGGATATTAAAGTAATAAAACACATGCTTGTCACAATTTTGATATGATTTTTATGTATTTCTGACTATCAATAAATGCATAAAAACACATTCGTATATGTGACATAGGATTTAAACTTATTACAACATTTACTACCTTGTATGTTTCATATGAAAAGTAAAATAATTTTAGGAGATAACGACTAATTCATTATTTTTATAATTTTGTATTATAATCTTATTTAAGAAAATTTGATAATGAAATTTATTTTCCTTATATCTATCGTTCATAGTCCATAAACATATTCAATTATTTAAAAAAATCTGTTTTATATTCAAAATTGTATTTCTAGTTACATATATCTTCAAAAAAAGATACTTGTATCTAATGTTTTATATAAACAAAGTTGATGTGAATATATATATATATTTTTATATATATAGACATATATATTTTTATACTTAAAAATTAGTCAATTTGATAAAAATTTATTATTAAATTAATTGCAATTTCATTCACATGATTTTTTTTAAAAAACGATCTTCATGATATATAAAATAAATTTAAAATAATCAATAAAATGATAAAATGATAAAATAAAATCAATTAAAAAGTATAACTATGACGAGTTTTGTACCCATAATTTTTTGTGCATTTTTTCATTCTTACCAAATTGAAATTAATTAAATTAGCTTATCTCACACATCATAGCACATTTGCAAATTGAAATAATAGTTTTCAAATTTATAAATGAAATAAATTTTAAAATAATCTATCATTTGATGTATTTTTTTTATATATTTTAATCACATTGATGGTATGTTGCCCTGTTACAAACATTTAATACAGTATAATAATGAGAAACCCAAAAAAAATGTAAATCATGGAAAAATAAAATCAAAAACAAACTAATATTTACCTTTCTTTACCCATGTTTCTGCGCGAAAGACGTCTCTGTCGATCGTACATTGATAAAGTATATCTTTTAGTATGAGAAGGGTTTGTTCTCAATTCTCGTAAATCGGTAGTCTTTGCTTTTTCAACTTTATCCATAAACTTGGATATTAAGTCGGGACAATTTAAATTGCTTTCTGGTTCCCATGTATCGTCAGAAGGTTTAAAACCTTTCCAACGAATTAAAAATTCTCTACTTTTATTTTTTTTAAAATGGACATCTATAATTTTTTCAACTTCAAATTCTTTACTCGATTCTTCTTCACTATCATCAACTTTAACTACATAAGTAAATGTGAAGAATTAATTATCATCTAACATAAAAATATCCTAAAATATTCCATAAACAAATGATTTAATTACCATCATTGTCATTGTTGTGTTTGGACAGCCTCGTTTTCTTTGGCTTTTTTTCAGTAGAATTAGCTTTTTCATCCGTCCCATCATCATTTGCTTCAGACTTATCTAAGTAATTATGATATGAATGTAGATAATCATAATAAAATATTAGCTACTTACTCCAAAAATATTTAATTTACCATCGCCATTTTTTTTTACAGTCTTTGATTTTCGTTTTCTTTTAGCAGCTCTTGGTGATTTGGTTTTTGCTGATTTGCCTGGTTTTTCTTCTGAATTCTGCGTAACTTGATTTTGCTGCATTTCTTCATCAACTAAAAAGTCTTCTATCAGTTGAGGGCAATTTAAATCCTTCTCATTTTCCCACGTATCGGAGCTTTCGTCATATCCTTTCCATCTAACTAGGAATTGACGCCGGCCTTTGATAGTGCGACGTGAGACTATTTTTTCTACCTTTAAATAATGTAATTCAATTTGTTTATTAATGTCGGATAGTATTTTAATAATTTATTCTCATAGTTTAGTTAAAATTGATGGAATTTTAATCAAATTACATTTGGCGGGAAAAGAAACAAAAATCTGATTTGTAAGTTCATAATTAGGTAGGTATAAATAAAGAGCTACATAAAAATACCTCATATTCTTGACTACTATCTTCCTTTTCTTGAGAAGTAGTGGCTTTTCGGTCCTCCTTTTTTCGGCGTTTATCACCGGCGCTCTTGGTGACATTTCCGTTTTCATGCCGGGACGAGGTATCTGACGAATTAACATCGACCTCGTCGCCTTGTTTTGTTTCTGTTTCAGCATTTTCTTCTGCGGCTTTACTCTCTCGTCCACGAGGCGTTTTACGTTTCGATTTTACCGCATTTTCGCCATTATCATCGTCAGGTTTAGCTTCATCACCAGTGACTTCGGTTTTGTGCGCATTATCGCCATTTTCTTCAGACTCGGCGTCACTCGGGCTGTCGGACTTTCTGCGTTTACCCTTCATGATTCTTCGCATTATTTGTTTGATATTCGATTAAAAAATAATACAACAAAGATTGCCGAATATTTATTTTTATATTTTTATTTAGAAAATACTACATGCCGCCTACCTACACTATCGCTTGAAAGATAACAATATTACTATATGCACTATCAAATCGGAGTTTCAGCTATAACCGGTTAGAGATCCTCTAGTGAGGTATGGGAACTACACCGCCATTGTTCAGACGCCTGGAATTTAATCGTCGATAGAGCGGGAAAATTTAAATTATTCCATACTTATTCGTTATTCGTAAAGATAATTTTAATTAAAATCAAATATTTTATTACTGAAATTTTCATTATTTATCTTTAATCGAAAAAAATTGCCGAAAAATAACTAAAAAAAGGAATTTATTTAGGGTCCCTAAAAACTGTAAAAATATTTGTGCTTTCTATTCTAGGGATAAAAATTTTACTGGTCGCCAAAGCGCCATCTATTGAAATACCAACTAAACATATTTAAAATTTCTGGCGGGAAAATAACCGATATTATTGACTTTATTTATCAATTTAAGATATTTAAGGTTGCAAAACTTATATTATTATCGTATATATTTTATACTCTTATTTTTTAAGTCATTCTAAGCCATAAAAAATTTTTAATTGACTTGAAACTCCAAATAATCTGTATTCTTAGAATCTGTCACTCTTAGAGCCCCTAGATATTTTTTTTGTTTGGTAAAGTATTTTTTGTTCATAAAAAAAAAAGATATCTATATTATAAAGAATCAAATACAACTTCCAAACCTTATCACTACGTTTCGTCATATACATTGAATAAAAATGAGATATTTAATCAGTTTCTCTGATGTATTCATCATACATATACATTATTCAAATACTGACTTTTATATATTTTTCATAAAATAATTTGAGAAAATAAATAAAATTCTCAAAAACATAAAATGTATAACCTTCGAAAAATATTTTCTCACAGGTACAATTTAGTTGATGTAGTTTATAAAATATTAGAATTACATACTCTTAAATGTTTACAGGAAACAAACATTCTTCTCAATAGAGCATGAACTTTCAGTAAGTGTTACTCTGAATGAAGCAATTGAAAAAGTAAGAAATTAACTCCTCAATTGAGATTATTATCAATTTATCACTTAAAAGAGTATTATTGTAATTAGAACAGAAAGTTAACTATACATTTCTATATGTTAAGGTTCTAATTGCTAATAGAGGAGAGATAGCATGCAGAATTGTAAAGACGGCGAAGAAATTAGGAGTAAAAACTGTTGCAATTTATAGCGATGCTGATAGGAATTCAATGCACACTGATTTAGCTGATGAAGCATTTTATGTTGGACCATCTCCATCAGCTCAAAGTTATTTGAAACAACATGAAATTATTTCAATTGCCAAACGTACCAAGTGCCAGGCAATTCATCCAGGATATGGATTTTTATCAGAAAATATGGAATTCGCCCAACTTTGTCAGAAAGAAAAATTAATTTTTATAGGACCACCTGCAAGTGCTATAAGAGATATGGGAATTAAAAGCACCTCTAAAACTATCATGGACAAAGCTGGAGTTCCTATTATTCAAGGATACCATTCTAATGATCAATCTAACGACGTTTTATTAAAAGAAGCAATAAAAATTGGGTTTCCAATTATGATCAAAGCTGTTCGAGGTGGAGGCGGTAAGGGAATGAGAATTGTAAATGAAGAGAAATTTTTCTTTGAAGCTCTAGAGTCGGCTCGAACTGAGTCGCAAAAAGCTTTTGGTGATTCAGCAGTACTTTTAGAAAAGTATGTAAATAATCCAAGGCATGTTGAAGTACAAATTTTTGCTGATACTCATGGAAATGGTGTATATATGTTCGAGAGAGATTGTTCTGTACAAAGGCGACATCAAAAAATAATCGAAGAAGCGCCTGCTGTAATTTATTTTTTTATAATTATCAACCTTTTGCCCTAGTAATAGTTTATATTAATTTTAATTCTTTCTTTCAGCCAGGATTATCAAGTGATGTACGTAGAAAATTAGGTGAAGCAGCTGTAAGAGCTGCTAAAGCCGTGGGATATGTTGGTGCTGGGACTGTGGAATTTATCATGGATCAAAAGGATCAGAGTTTTTATTTCATGGAAATGAACACTAGACTTCAAGTAGAACATCCAGTTACTGAAGCAATTACGGGGTTAGATCTTGTTGAATGGCAATTGAAAGTTGCAGCAGGAGAAAAACTTCCTCTCCAACAAGAAGACATTCATATGAATGGACACGCTTTCGAAGCTAGAATTTATGCCGAAGTATTGAATTAGTTCTAACAATTTTATTATTTTAAAATATATTGGGTATAGATTTTATCTAAATAAATCTTTAGAACCCTCGAGGTGGATTTTTGCCTGGAGCTGGATCACTTTTACATCTCAATCCTCCTAGAGCATCTGAAGATGTCAGAGTTGAAACAGGAGTCAGACAAGGAGATGAAGTATCAGTTCATTATGATCCAATGATTGCCAAATTAGTTGTTTGGGGGCAAAATAGGGATGAAGCACTACGAAAATTAAAATCAAAACTTGCAGAATACGATGTAATTATCATCAATCATAATCATATAAGTTTTTTTTAAATTATACCGATCCAATGAATATCAATAATAATTTTATTATCGTAGATTGCTGGCGTAGAAACAAACATAGAATTTTTAAAGGATTTATGTAGCCATCCAAAATTTCAAGCTGGCGATGTACACACTGGATTTATTGATCAATGGAAGGATTCATTATTTCCATTTCTCCAAGTTCCTTCTCACGTTTTATGTCAAGGAACACTAGCTATGATTTTATGGGAAGACTTAAAATGTTTAAAAGCAGCTATAAAAACCGCAGATCCATTTAATCCATTTAATACGGAACTAGGATTTCGACTGAATCATTACTTGCAAAAAAGATTTTCATTTCATTTTTACGATCAAAAGTATGTAGTTGATGTAAAATATACTGAACCAGATGTTTATGAAATGAGAGTTAATGACATTGGTCCTTGGAGAAAAGTTACTGGGACATTGACACAGGGTGATAATATTTTAGAATTGAGATCTGAAGTAGAAAATAATATAACTAAATCTAGAATTGTGACCATGAATGATGAACTATATATTTTTACCACAGTAATACTTTTTTCTTTCTCTTCAAATACGCTTTGTAAATTTATTTTAATTAGTTGTCTATTTTTTTAGGATCGAATGTGGAAATTAAAATTGCCAAAACCAGAATTTTTAAATAAACTCGATCAATGGTCGGATTTAAAAGGATCAGAAGTCAGTCCTCTTCCAGGAATAGTTGATAAAATTTTAGTGAACCCGAATGATTCTGTGAAAAAAGGAGATTCTTTGATTGTAATTGTTGCAATGAAAATGGAGGTAATTTATTTCAAATTTATTAATAAAGCTTTGTCTTTATTGATAAGTAAGATTGGACTCTCAAAAATAAATAAACTGTTTTCAGCACGTTATTAGAGCATCTTCTGATGGAACAATTGAAGAAATTTTATGTAAAGTTGGAGAAACAGTACAAAAAAATCGATTACTTTTGAAGATAAAGGAATAAATAGACAACAAATTCATAATAGGTTTAAGTAAAAAATATAATTTTGTTATTGAATGTATTGAATATTTTTAAAAATTGTTAAAATAACTGTTATAAAGTGATTCAATTTCAAATCACTCCGAGTTCTTTTCCTATGTCAACAAAAGCATTTACAGTTCGATCAATATCCTCTGATGTGTGAACTGCACTTAATTGAACTCGGATTCGTGCTTTACCTTTTGGAACCACAGGATAACTAAATCCTATCACATAAATACCTCTTTCTGTAATGAAAAAATTCATTTCAATCTCTTATTGAAAAAACAATTGTTTTTTTCAACATACCCAACATTTTATCAGCAAATGTTGATGCCAATTTAGCATCTCCAAGCATTACAGGTGAAATAGGATGATTATCACCGCTAATTGTGAATCCAGCAGCTGTCATTGCCTTTCTGAAGCGTTGAGTATTTTCTTCTACACGGTTCATTAATGACGGATCACTCATCACCAACTTTATTGCTTTTATTCCAACAGCAGCCACTGCCGGTGGTATAGCATTAGAAAATAAATACGGACGACTTCTTTGTCTCAATAAATCAATCAATTCTTTCGAACTAGTTGTGTATCCTCCTGCAGCTCCTCCTAAAGCTTTTCCCAAAGTTGAATTTATAATATCAACTTGACCCAAGAGATTGTAATATTCTTCAGTTCCTCTAACAGTAAACAGACCAATGTATATTTTAAATATAAAAAAAATCATGATGAGATAAAAAGTTCATTTACCGGCCTGTTTTTCCTATAAATCCCGTTGCATGACAATCGTCAACAAAAGTAATTGCATTATATTTTCTTGCTAAATTAATTATTTCCGGAAGAGGTGCATAATTTCCATCCATAGAAAATACACCATCAGTCGCAATAAGTCTCATTCGGCATGATTGAGCTTCTTGAAGTTTAGATTCTAAATCTGCTAAATCTCGATGCTTATAACGGAACTTTTTTGCTTTACATAATCGAATACCATCAATAATTGAAGCATGATTTAATTCATCACTTATCACTGCATCCTCAGGTGTCAGTAGAATTTCAAAAAGACCAGCATTTGCATCAAAGCAAGAAATGTACGCAATAGCATCCTCACGACCATGAAATTCTGCAATTTTTGATTCTAATTGTTTATGAATATCTTGAGTCCCACAAATGAATCTCACTGAGCTCAATCCTGCTCCATATTTATCTAAAGCCTCTTTTGCAGCTTTTATTAACACCGGATTGTCCTGAATAAATAAAAGGTTGAAATATTATTAAAATAAAACACGCAAGAATTACTGACGATAAATATGAGTAAATAAATAATACCGATAGCCCGAGATAATTATTAGCACAGAAGTTGAGTACTTTTTGTCCATTATTTAATTTTATACTTGTATTTTGTGAAGATGAAATTATTCTTTCATTTTTCCAAGTTCCAGCATTTTTTATTTCAGTTAATTCAGGCTGTAATATCTCCGGAAATGCACTAAAATATCTTTTGACAGATGTCTGCGATACTCTACGGTCTGTTGATGATTATAAATATTATTAAAGAACAACAATTCTATGTAAAAAATAAATTATTTATGTAAATTATTTTTCTTGTCTACTCACGAATAGAAAACACTTGATACATATTGATCATATCTATTTTATACAACTCTATAAAGTAAACTAAAGTTAATATCAAAGTCTGTGGATTGATAACTGGTTCTTGTGGCTCGGTAAGAACTAGTTGACCTTGAACACAACGAACCTCCCTCTAAATTTTTAGAAAGTATAATTCGAAAACTAGACAGACTATTCATTTTTTTGTTTACTGCATATAAATATCTAGCTGTACAATACTTTTAAATATTATTTTACTGGAAATTGGGCTATCAAAAGTTCTTATTAGAAAGATTGATTATCATCTGGATACAAATGATCTAAAATAACAATAAAATTATCAATTTTGACTTTTGTATCTTAATAATACACAAAAAAACTATAATTATTTTAAGAAATACCTTCATTTTCAAGTGTTGAATAAGACATATCATCATCAATATCTATTACTAAATAAAAAAAACAAATTAATTATTCAATGAATTGTTTAAAGTAATAATTAAATCTGTAGTACAATTCTAACGATGTATATTTGCCTACATTCAATAATATGAAATGTAACAGTTGATAGATTTTATCAATACCTTCCTGTTTAATAATAATTTCTGTATTAATTTCTGAATCTGACTTGAAGATTTCTAGAATAAAATTTTTTATTTGAAAAAATTAATAATTACGCATGTAACGTGATTAAAACAATCGATATTACCTTCTTGTTTCACTGTTGAAAAAATTATAGGTTGATTGTCAAGAGTATCTAAAAAAATATTGATTTTATATATTGTTTACTCTTTTTGTTAATATAAAAATTTACACAAATTCAAATATACCTTTCATTTGAATTTTATCATTAGATGGTGTTTGAATCTCTACTCTGCAATAAATAAAATTATAGATATTATTTTGTAAATACTATCTTCAACTATTATAAATAAAAAGTAAATTTACTTTAACCAATTTTGAGCCGAAGCTAATTTTTCTTGGGCACGAGCTCGACGTCGCAATTCACGTTCTCTCTTCAGACGAATTTGTTTTTGATCGTATGATTGATGAGCACGAAATAACCGATGCATTTCCCGATCTTTTTGTCTTCGTAACATTTTTTGTTCTGGTGTTTCCTTGGCACGACTTAGACGTTTTGCTTCTCTGTCTCTAGCTCTTTGTATCTCCAACTCTTCTTCACTTAATTGAGATCTTCGTCGCTTTTGACGTTTACAATCTTTTTCTTCTTGAGTCTTGCTTTTAGCTCGCATTTTCATTTTGTTATAAAAATAACAAATATTTTGTGCTTAACTTTATTTATCAATCGTCTAAATTTTAAGATGAACATTCAATGTTCAATGCCTATATAACCAATATTCGAATTTTTAATAAAGATGGGTTGATAACACTCATTGCTATAATATAATTAGTAATGATTATTTGTATCAAGTAAAATGAATTTTCATATTACGGATAATTACGGATAAACATGAGTATTTTCACGACATTGAAAATATCAACATAACCTATAGTTTTCAAAGTATATACACACATGTTAAATAGCTTCAAACAAGTTAAATACAAATTTGTATAAATTACAATGTTTTTCAAAAAAAAATACTATTTTCTCCCAATAATGATAAAATATTTCATTAAAACTCTGGTGTCATTAATTGATTAAACATCAATTAATCAAAGGTCTATAAATTCGGAGTATTATTGAAGAGTTTATCAGACGTTACTGAGATATATGAGAACTATAAATGAAAGATCTCCAAGGGGAATGAATGATTGAACTTGAATTTATTTTCAAAAAAGTTTAGATATGAAAAACTACAAATATTTAAATGAAATCAATAACATATTTTTTTAGAATTTATTTAAATTCATAATCTTTGAATTTTCTTGAATGAAATTTTTTCAAGAAATGTAGAAAAGAAAATATTGGCAGATGATGATAAATGCTTTATTTTAGAGTAGTGTTAAAATAAAAATCTTCAAATTGATTTCTCAAGATATCTAATATTCGTTCAACTAAAGGCTATTGTTAAATATTTAATGTATCTTAGAGTAAAAAGAGAAACACATAGGAGCAAAGAAAAATATTCTTCTTATCCTTCTCCCTATGAATTTCATCTCGATGGGCGTAGTGTACCATTAGCTATCGATTTTTCACAAAGAATGCTGGAGCGCATTCGCAGAAGACAAACTGCAGTGATTCTTCTATTAGATCTCTTTCCGCTGTCTAAGCGTTTCAAATTATAAAACGGTTGCTGCTAGTTTTATGTACATTTTCTTAAATTTTTTCATGGATTATGTATTTAAAAAAATTGTTAGTTTTGTTCGTTATTTTCCACATAATTGACGCAAGTGGTAGGTGTTAATTTAAAGAAAAAAATGAAATTAAAATATCAGTGAACTATAAAAGTAAACAAATTCAAAAATTATCCAGTTTGTCAACTGTAAGAAATTAATTAATAATCATGAATTGTAGGCATAATACCGGGACCAAAAAATTATGAAGCAAATCCTGATGCTAAAAGATTATATGATGATTTATTATCAAATTATAACAGACTTATACGACCTGTGGTCAATAATACTGAAACCCTGACTATTTGGTTGGGTTTAAAATTATCACAGCTTATTGAAATGAACTTAAAGAATCAGGTGATGACCACCAATGTCTGGGTAGAACAAGTACGTAATTTTTTTCATTTACTCTGAATTATAAGCAAATTGTTTTGTGTCATCATTTCACGAGTTAAAGCAATCTTAGATTATTCAATCATTCAAATAAAGATTAACTTACTCATTAATTCTTATTATCACTAGAAATGGTATGATTATAAGTTACAATGGGATCCTGAAGAGTATGGAGGAGTGGAGATGTTATATGTTCCTTCAGAAAATTTGTGGCTGCCCGATATCGTTCTTTACAACAAGTATAAATAATTTATAAATAACTCTTAAATTTAAAAGTAGTTATTATAAATCATTTTTATAACTTTCAGTGCTGATGGGAATTATGAAGTAACTCTAATGACCAAAGCAACGTTAAAATACACTGGAGAAGTATCTTGGAAACCACCAGCAATCTACAAATCTTCATGTGAAATAAACGTTGAATATTTCCCATTTGATGAACAGTCATGTTTGATGAAGTTTGGTTCATGGACCTATAATGGAGCTCAAATAGATTTAAAACACATGTTGCAAGAACCAGGCTCTAATTTAGTAGCTACTGGAATTGATCTAAGTGATTTTTATCTATCTGTCGAATGGGATATCCTTGAAGTACCAGCTGCAAGGAATGAAGAATACTATCCCTGTTGTTTAGAGCCATATTCCGATATAACTTTCAATATTACAATGAGAAGAAAGACGTTATTTTATACAGTTAATCTTATCATTCCTTGTGTAGGAATTACTTTTTTGACCGTACTAGTGTTCTATTTGCCAAGTGATTCTGGGGAAAAGGTAAATTGAATCTAAAATAGAACTTCTCAAAGTTAATTAAATTAATTAAATAAAAAATAAATTATATCTTTGTTGTAGGTTTCATTGTGTTCATCAATTTTACTGTCTCTTACAGTGTTTTTCCTGCTTTTAGCAGAAATTATTCCCCCAACATCTCTAGCTATACCATTGCTTGGGAAATATTTACTATTTACAATGATTCTTGTCACATTATCTATATGGATTACTGTAGTGGTCTTAAATGTTCATTTTCGGTACGTAACTTAATTTTTTTACTTAATATTAAAAATCAAATAAATTATTATTGGTTATTATCAATTTTCTTAGATCACCTTCTACACATAAAATGTCAAATTGGGTTCGTCAAGTATTTTTAAATTGGATGCCACGTGTTTTAATGATGCAGCGTACACCTTACGCTACTCCTGAATACACTGATATATGTGTTGATAATGGATATTCTAATGATGTCGACTACAGGTTTGTTAATATTGAAAATTGATTAAAAATAATTGTAGAGTTGAAAAAAAAAATTTAAACGATTTGTACAGTTATGGTGATAACGGAAGTGAATATACAACGGATTTAAAAGAAAATCCTGACGAAATAGACCGAGTAACCTTGGGTTATAAAAATATGGATGATGAAGATGGACATGTACCTCATGGATCTAGCCAAGATAGCGATAACATAATGCTCAAAAATTTATCTCCGGATGTTCTTTCTGCCTTAAAGGGTGTCCGTTTTATTGCACAACACATTAAAGATGCTGACAAAGACAACGAAGTAATTAAAATAATAATTTTTTTTTTCGATTCATTTTTATTATTCTTCCAATCTAATGAATTAATGATCTATAGGTTATTGAAGACTGGAAATATGTTGCAATGGTTCTAGACAGATTATTCCTCTGGGTTTTTACATTTGCGTGTACTGGAGGTACAGCAGGAATAATTTTACAGGCACCGAGTCTGTACGACACACGAGTAGCGATCGATCATAATCGATCTCCAGGTATACCAATGCGTGGAGGTAGAGATATGAGGCATTTTGGAATTAGTGATTTTGATGGTATTTTTCATGAAAAATCACTTTGAAGTTAATGATGCTCAGTCTTTAAATATAATGAAATTATAATATTTAAAATGTACAAATAAACATATTGTTGCGGCCCTTATAAAATGGTATTAATGAATTCCAATGCTCTTTAAATATTTTTAATTAATTTTGTATGGATTTTTTTATTTTTATCTTTAAACACTGTACTTAATTACGTACAATAAATGAAAAAGAATATCGTACATTTATTTACTTGTCCTCAGGCTTATTAAATACCAGAGTGTAGCCACATTTGCCGCAATAGTGACGATCCTCCATTGCTGCCATGAATACTCCAGCACCGCATTGGTCTGTGGGACACTCTCGTCTTAGACGATGGATTTTTCCATTTTCGTCAACCTTTAATGTTAAAAAATTTTTTTTAATTAATTTTAGATTGAAAGAAAAAAATATATTGATGTTTTTAAATCATTGAAAAATATACAAACCTTATAAAATTTAAGAACAGCTAACTTGACCTTCTTCTTTTTGTGTTTGATTTTTTTAGGGGTAGAGTAATTCTTCTTCTTACGTTTCTTGGCTCCACCACGTAGTCTAAGGACAAGATGTAACGTAGATTCTTTTTGGATATTATAATCGGAAAGGGTTCTACCGTCTTCCAATTGTTTACCAGCGAAGATCAATCTTTGCTGATCCGGAGGAATTCCTGAAAATATTTCATAATATCATTCTATTCAAGATTTGTCTATTCTAGATAACTCAAATTACTAAAGATTTATTTAATTACCTTCTTTATCTTGGATTTTGGCTTTAACATTTTCAATAGTGTCAGAGGGTTCAACCTCAAGGGTGATGGTTTTCCCCGTTAGAGTTTTAACGAAAATCTGCATCTTTAATTATGAATTTGTAGACACAGTCTGTAAAATTAAAAATTTCATGTTTTTTAGAAACTGATTAGATCAAGCTAAATTTATAATTTTATTCCTTGGGATGAAAAAAAAAGAAAAAAGTACATAAGGTTTTGAGTGGAGACAATTTATTGAATTAATCAAAAGGTACAATTATAATTACAATTAATTTTCTTAGACTAATAAAACTGCATTGATGCATCCATCATTTTCAGGATTATTTGTTACTTGGGCATATTTTCCCCAAACAACTTTTCCTGATTGTGTTACTAAACCAAGCTCTGAAATATTAACTTCTATAATCGTTCCTTTTGTGATTACTCCTAATGAAGTGTACATAGTTGAACTGGGATTTTTCTTGACGCCAATGATAGGCAAGTAAAATGTAGCTTTAAGTTCAGGATGAGTTACATGTGCTTTCTTAAATCTCAATGCCATTGGCCTGATGAATCGTTCAAACTTTGGTGGTTTTCTTGTAAAGTTTTCCCCAACATAAGTGACTTTTGTCACCATTCTTTTCCATGACTTTCTCTTAGTTTTACCACTCCTGAGAACTTTGAAAACTTCTGATTCTGATTGTACTTTTACTTTTGGAATAGGAACATCCCATTTTCCTGCTTTTTCTTTTCGTTTTTGTTTTATCATATTTGAAAGAACTTTTGAACGTTGCGAAACATCTCGATCCAACAAGTAAACAGGCAATGCTCCTTCGGGTACATTGTCAGATTTCTGCTTGACTTTCTTTTCTTCATGAGCTTTAATTTTCTTTTTCATCTGAATCTTCTCATTTCTTCTTTCTTTATTGAAGATTTTGGCTTTGATACCACGTAGGCTACGCGCTCTTTCAGCACGTTTATGTGGTTCACGCGCCTCTCGTTTACGTTTTCGTTCTTCATAATCTAACCTTCGCCCATATAACTTCTGATGACGCTCTACGTACTCGTTCTGAGGCATTTTGGAAGTTTATTTTATTTCAATGCCTCGTATAAATTCTAAAAAAAATTTCATAAGTTAATTATCAAGTGACTAACTATATCTAATTTTTATTTTTAAATCACTTTAATATTAAATTTTAGTAGCTTCATTATACTTTTAAAAGTTAAGTCAACTTACCTCATTCGTAAGTTATGTTACTCGAATATTAATTCAAGTAAATACATCAATTTATGCAGATTTATCACCATATTTAAAACACTATTTTTCAACAATTACTTAAATCCCGATTATTTTATTTTGACACAAAGTAAATATTTTCTATTGTTTAAATAATTAAACATTCTTTTGTCGAATGATGTAAGTTAACTTTTTATGAAACTTAATTAAAAAGAGTATTAAGATTGACAAAAACAAATTAATCGGAAGAATTTAAGTAAAATTTTCTATAGAAATTGAGAACGAGAAGAAAACTAATCATCAAGCTTCACCTATTGCTAACAACTGATGCAGACCACATAACCTCTATTGTGAATTTTCGTAAAATTCTAGTTATTTAATAATTAGTAACAAAAAAAGCATTGTCACAATTTATTAAAAACAAATTTACAATTATTCATTGTAAAAAGTGATTAGTTTTTCTTCTAATATGATAATAATACATAAAATTAATCATCAATGACATTGCAACGTGAAAATATATTCTTGCCACATAAACACGATAATTCGGCAACTAAAGTACGCGTATTAAATTTTCGGCTTAGAAAAAAATTTGCTTGATCATATTCAAGCAAAAAATACACAAAAATAGTTACTATTTAGTTCTTTTTAATGTAAAATTAATAAAATTATTATTTCCATACCTTCAGCTACGCCATGCGGCAAAGAAAAGATCGTCTCGAACTATAGTAAATGTATAGATTGTGAGGCACAAAGAAAAAAATTTTTATTTTTTAAAAGGATTACCAGGGGGCACAACGATCGCTAACTTTATAAAAAACGTTTGCAAATGTGAGGAACCAATGAAAATGCTCAATCCAACAGAATAAACATTGCGTGAGGTTAGAAACGTCGCTGATTGGTCGATACAGAGAAAGGGGTGCGCGGTTCTCGTGACGGTTAATTTGTGAACTAAAACATCTATAAAATATTGCCTCATTCTTTCACGCTAGACTTGGACAGTTTGTGACTGGAAGCGCGCCAGTTCACTTCTGTTAATATAATAAAAAAGCATTAGCTTATTGCGTGATTAACCACATGATCTTATAAATTTACAATAAATAAAAACCTCCATGTAAGAGTGATAGTTTTCATAATTTTTTTTGGAGCATAAATGTGTTAATGGTAAGAAAATAGCAAACAATTATTGTCATGTATTGAGGTAGCATCAATTACTCAATAGTCTAATATTTTCTAGGAATAGAAAAAATCCAGAGTGTGCAAAGGTCATATGAGTGATCTAAAGAAGTTTACATCAAGATATAACGATTTTAGAAGTTTTAAAGTTTCACTACGGCTTCTAAAGCTTTACCCGCATCGTCTTTGACGGTGTTAGAGTCTTGGGTGGCCAGCAAAGAGTGTAGTGAATAGTGCGACCGTGAACTATACTGATTTATTTATCGTATCGAATATTCAGAAGCCATTTAAAAAGGTTGATTAAAAATAAACAATCCATGAGTTGCAGTGATAATATTTGAATGACCAGCACGAAAATTCTTGCCTTGGGAATTGATTATGCTGAAAGCCAAGTATCGTGGCAATAAAAAAAGCTCATTGAGTGTGTGAGTAAGTAAGCAGTGCGCAACGGCGCAATATGGAGGAGAGTCAGCTGTTGATGACCGAACTACCAGCGTTAACAACGGGAGCAACGCGTGGTGGTGCTTTGCTACACAGGTCTGGGCATTATTATCACCTGCATCAACCGCACCTGGCTATCTCGACACCTCAGCAAAACCAGTCTCGCCAAAATGCAGTCTGTGTACCGAGCTATATGAATGGAGCGACAAATTTAAGTAACTATGTACAGGGCATTTCCCGGCACTTAACAGAAACGCAAAATGAAGACGCCGCGCCCACAAGTACTCATATTTCATGTCTTTACCCGGAAATTTTGGCCCTTATATTCAGCTATTTAAGTGTAAGGGACAAAGGCCGGTCAGCGCAGGTATGCGTAGCATGGAGAGATGCCGCTTACCATCGTTCTGTTTGGAGAGGGGTGGAAGCCCGTCTGCACCTGAGGAAACAGGCGCCTGCCGTTTTTGCGAGTTTGGTGAGGCGGGGAGTGAAGAGGGTCCAAGTGCTCTCTTTGAGAAGAGGTCTCGGGGACGTTATTAAAGGCATACCAAATCTCGAGTCCCTCAATCTTTCTGGCTGCTATAATATTACGGATTCGGGCCTTACCAACGCCCTCTGCCAAGAAGTTTCTTCCCTTACGGAGTTAAACCTGTCTCTATGCAAACAAGTGACCGACGCTTCGCTCGGAAGAATTGCTCAGTATTTAAAAAATCTTGAATCCTTAGAATTAGGTGGATGCTGCAACATCACTAACACCGGATTACTTTTAATAGCCTGGGGATTAAAAAAGCTCAAGAAATTGGACCTGAGAAGCTGTTGGCATATTTCTGATCAGGGTATTGCTCATTTAGCAGGCCTCAATCCGGAGACTGCTGATGGTAATCTTGCTTTGGAGCATTTAGGACTTCAAGATTGCCAGCGTCTTAGTGACGAAGCATTGAGACATGTTTCTGCTGGGTTAGCTACTCTAAAGTCCATCAACCTTTCATTTTGTGTCTCTATAACTGACTCTGGGCTTAAGCATCTTGCAAAAATGTCTAGTTTAAGAGAATTAAATTTACGATCTTGTGATAATATCTCGGACATTGGTATGGCGTATCTTGCTGAAGGTGGTAGTAGAATTTCTTCCTTAGATGTTTCCTTCTGTGACAAAATAGGCGATCAAGCACTCGTGTATATATCACAAGGTCTTTTTAATTTAAAATCATTGTCATTGTCTGCGTGCCAAGTCAGTGATGAAGGAATATGTAAAATAGCGAAAACACTTCATGAATTAGAAACACTCAATATTGGCCAATGTAGTAGACTCACAGATAAAGGACTCTATACTATTGCAGAAAGCATGAAAAATTTAAAGTGCATTGATTTATATGGATGTACTCGAATAACAACAAGTGGATTAGAAAAGATTATGAAATTATCGCAGCTCAGCACACTAAATTTAGGCTTATGGCATGTGCGGTGATGAGTGCATTGAATTTTTTAGTGTTCAAACAAATATGTCATAATGACAAAAAGTTTCCAGACTTTTTTTTTACAAGACTTTATCTTTTAAACTAAAATTACTGTAAAATTATATGCAATTGAAGAATGGGAAAATGAAAAATGAGAGCAATTTAACATTTAAGATCATGCTGAATTAAAGTTAATTATTTGTTTAATTGATTCATAAAATTTTCAGCATTGTTTTTACCCAAACTTTTGTTAATTCTTTACGTTTCTGTGATGTAAACAATAATTGTTTTCATTGATAATTTCATGGATTAATCAATATGATTAATGAAATGAGTCAGAAAATAAGTAAATGCGCATTTTATGTGTACCAATTGACTCAAATTGTCATATTTGTCAGACTCCAAATGATGATTAACTTTTCGTATAATAACAATGTATATCTTTAACTCGGTAAAATTGTTATGACTTATATTATAAGTGTATTATAGCGTTCAATTGATGAACTTAAGCAAGTGAAAATGTCGTTTTTTTATCATTATCATTAATTATTACTATTATAAATATTATTATTAGACTAATCGCCCAATTGAATGAAATGTGAATGTAAAATTACATTCAATAATCCATGTTACGGCTTTATTGAATTTTTTCGTGGCAAAAAATTCTGATCGGTTGTTACTTAATTGATCTTTATTAGTTTTCATTGCATTTGGCCTCTTTTATAGATGAATTTGTATTGAATAGATGGTATACAATATAATTATCAAATATACCATCCGAAAGATGTTTTATACTATATTAAATGAAGATTATAAATTTAATCTTTGAGTATGGGTGCGATAATGATGAATTAAGCGTCAGTTTTATAAATAATATGTATAAAGATATTGATAACATTAAATTTCATTGTTTCTACCTCGTTTTATATATAAAATGAATCGTTAATATTCAAGTTTTCACTTTTTTTTAATACGTTTAAGTTTCGGATGAATTGTAACTGTATGAATGAATTGTGATAAACAATTTTGTTTGAAGCCAGAATCTTTTGTTATCACTGGCATTCTTTAATTTTTGTATCACAGTTTTCTGTTAATCATTTTTCTTGCTCAGTTTATGATAAACAAAAATATGTGATAAGTAGATATACTACGAATCTCGTTGATTCGAGGTTGGATTTTTGATAGTTTTATTATAGGAAAATTGTATTTGAGATTCGTAAATGATGATTTTTCTAAAATTTTAATACTTTAATTATTCAAAAAATTATCAATAAAAATTTTTTCTAAATTAATTCATAAGAATTTTATAAATTTTTTCTCACGTTGATAAATTTCGCTGATCTATTGATTTTATTACCAATGTTGATCTCGAAGTCGTTTTTTTGCTAAATATTTTTTTATGATTGATTGAAATGTAAATATGTTGATATGATCTCCAATACTTTATTGTGTGTCAGCACGTATCTAAAATAGAACAAATTCGCATTTGTAATTTTCAAAAAAAAAAAAATCACAGATTATATTTAAACCAAGGATAATGTCAAATTAATATATAAAATTGAATTTGATCATGTAGCTCGTTATTTCAAGTAAAGAACATGCTTCATAACATATACGTGTGTGAGTTGTACAATAATCATGATGAATACTATCAGCATGTACTGTAGAGTAGCATACGGAAGGAAGTACAGCTACAATAAACAGTTCAATGAAATCAAATTAATTATTAGTTAAGTAGGAGCGAATTAAGATTAATACAACCATAAAAGCAATTTTCAAAAACAAAGTTACATTATAACTACAGTATCTATTTGGTCGTTTCCATAGGCTTCTATATCATTTATTATACAAAAAAAAAAACAATGTTAAATTTTTTTTTTTTTCGTTTTTTACATGCACACGATTGATTTTTTTTCCACGTGAAGTCTGTGGATCTGACCTCGTGTGCAATTTATTACATTCAATCGTCCTTTAAATTCTGATTAAATGTTTAAAGTTATATTGCCATAATGTAAAGCTAATGAATTAATTTTTATGTATTCATTTTGTACCAATCATAATTTTAACATTTATATTAATAATTAAGTATAAATAATAGTGAAAAAAAAAAAAATAATGAAAAGAATAACAACCACGAATGTAATATCATCTAGAAAAGTGGCCTTATCGCATTAAATCAGCACGCATTTATTTACAAATACAATATTAAAAAAATACATAAGTTCAGGCTACAATATCATTATTGATTGACGTGAAAACTACGAATAAATTCTTACGTAATGAAAAATTGTCATCAAAACTTTTGCTGCCTGAACTCTAATGTCGCTTAAACGATATTCATGGTAATTGCCGAAATGTATCAGATAAGACAAAAAAAATTTGTTAGGGAAAAAAACGCCTTTAATGTACCGCTCATTAAAACAAGTATTGTATAATTGATCTACAAAAAAAGCTTGTATAAAAAACATTGCGATCAATATTATGAGCGGAATTGTATTGAGTGCATCGTCAAAATGCATAAAAATTAATCGTGTAATATTTTTTGTGTACAATTTCTTGTTGAAATATATTATTTTTATAAAACATATCTCTTTATGCAATTTACCTTTTTATTCAACACATTCATTTATTTTATTAATTTACTCATATTTATTATTATATTTTCACATAAATCTTATTAACTATAGTAAAAAATTCTGTAAAAAATAATAAAAAAAGCACATTAATTTTTTTATCTAAAAAATATATTTAATTATAACAAAATTCGTTGAATTTTATGAAAGTGTATTTGTTGTAAATTCATAGGTTCAAAAATTTTCGCGCTACATATCGACCAATCATTTTTATTTTCAATGGCCTGAAGTTAGAAACATGAAAAAATTAACTTTCTACTGGTCAGATACAAGAGAAAGGACTTTGAAACCTTTCTAAAGATGTCTTGAAGTGGTCACATGCAAGTTCAACCGATAAAAATGATCCAGTGGTTTGACTTGTCGAAGACAATAGTGAACAAAAAATTAATTAGTCAAACATAGTTTATATTTAAATAAATATTAGTTTAACTAGGTTAATAATGGATCAAAGTACGTACCGAGAAATGGAGGAACGAAGATCTATACGTGACATTAGTAAAAACTTAAAAAAATACGGTAGTACTTCTAAGCACGTAATTCGTAATGATAATTTAATAAAACACTTCGTTAGTAAAACGGACACACTTCCAGGAATTGCTTTAAAATATGGGACAACGGTACGTATAAATTTTTTTTTATTTTTATGAGTATTAGAATTAGTCATAAACCGTGAAAAATAATCTGTTTCAATGAATGACTTTCATCTATTTATATGTATTTTATTGCAGACTGAACAAATTAGGAGAATAAACAGATTATGGGCATCAGATAGTTTATTTTTACGTGAATATTTACTAGTTCCTGTAATTAATAATTCAACAGCAACAACGTCTCAACAAAATAATGAGACTGACAATTCTGTTGAAGCTAATACTTGCTCAGACCCAAGTGCTTCAGCAATGTCTTTATCAATGAATGACGACGGTTCAATCGATAATTTTTTAGCTAGGATGGATTCTTCAATAGCTACTGTCAAAAAAGATATTCAAAAAACCCAGGGAAATAGTGCGTAAGTCTCAAGCATTTTTTTATTTTTTTTAAACTCAAAACACTGAGATGACCTTATTTACATATTGGTTTTCATGACCCAAAGATAAAAAAATTGCTTATCATGAATAGTTTTATTATTTTAAATAAAAGTTTATAAAACTTGATTTATAGTGGTCGCTGAAATAATAATAGTCATAATTATTTTATTTCTAGATTTTGTCGAGATGATGACATATTTGTTCAAAGAAGGCCGAAAGACCGTCTACGTCACTCACATCCCCAATCATCACCATTGTTTTCATCATTATCATCACATACAGGACCAGTTAAGTCTTCATCAGAAGATGATGTTCATGATCTTCCATCCGCAGTTGTTATGACGCATGGAAAAAAATTAAAAACTTCGCTCCAGAAACTTCAGCAACAACAAGATGAAATATTTCAATTGTAGCGAAGATTGTAAATTATGTAAATGGCAAATTTATATTTTAAGGATAATTTTACGCAACAAATAGAACAAAAAATTATTGAGAGTATTATTATTATTATTATCTTGGAGATTATATTACGTTAATACTTAATGTATTATATGACAATTAATACATAAATATTGTTTTATTAATTTCACTTATGAACACACCACAATTTTCTAAAACTGCATTAGATAAATTTACTTTTTATTCTCTATCCATAGTTTTTTAATTGAGCCTCCTACACCTGGTCCGTTAAAAATTAATGCTCCAAGACCAGCAAGTGTTGCAATTGATATTGCGTACAATAAACCCATCAAAGCCTTTGGTAAAACTGGACCAACCACTGCTGGTCGAGCATAATCAACAATGATTGCTTCCAAGCCCCTAAACAAATTTGGAGCGTAATTACTCAATGATAATTATGAAAGTTTATTGATATTTAATAAATTTTTCGTACCAGTGAAAATGAACTACTGTTAGAACGGAGAAAATAAGATCCACCAGAGAATTTTGGAGTAAAATAACACTTGGAAAGACGACAATGAATGCTGCTGCTACAAGTCGTTCAAGCTGCCATAAACGCACGTGATCTGTACTTGATGCTCGAATTTGATTAGCAAATAAAGTTAGTGGACCTGCAAACTATTGAATTCTATCAGTTAGAAAAAACAACGTTATTAAATCGTATGAAGTAGACACATTACATATTTGGAAATTTTTATCCAGTTCATACCTTCTTTGATTGCTGGTTAATATTTTGTAAACAAACTTTCGATGCATTTTTAGTTAAAACTGATGATGCATAAGCTCTTATAGCTACGGGGACGATTGCCTTTTGGTTATAAGATGAAGAGGTAGATCTAAGAATATCTGTGAATAAATGAACAATTGAAATACAATAAAAAATTTTTTCTTATGTTGTAGTTTAGTTACGACTACTTTAATTTAATTCAGAATATATGAACACAATTTATATATTGTTTTTCTATAAAAGTTCAATGCAGTCGTATTATGTTTTTAAGATAAAAATATAATCTACATGTTCAAAAACTTGAACTATTTACTTGGCAATGTTGGAATTGTCCTCCCAATTAAACATCTTGATAAATAGGTCATTTTTATATACGTCCTCAAAGAAAATTTTATTTGATAAGTAAATATTATATAAAAGTAATTTTTAATTTCCAAGTCACCAGTCAGATTACAATGTAAGAAAAATATAGGTTGAAAGATAAAACAGAACTACAATATTTTTAGATTTATTACCAAATTTTATGTTAAATGAACGTAGCTACACATCAGATGGTGAAAATTGATTTGTCTATTCTGTTGTAACTGAAAGCTGATTGGTCAAAATGTTACAATGATACCAACTGATAATTAAATACACATAAAACACTACCAATAGTTGGTTTTTTGCACAAAAAAACACTTTTCATACTGTATGTACAATTGTATCTAAAGTCTGAACATTAGAATTATTTACTATTATCGCAATGAGTTTAAACAATAGATTATTAACAAATGATTGATCTTAAACGATTGAATAACAATACATTAGTAATTTCGAAACAGAGTAATTTGTAAAATTATAACCTGTGGTGAGTGTAAAGCTTCATTTTAAATGCATAACGTTTGAAAACCGAAGGTATTTTGTCGGTTTCTGATTCATAGTTGACCTTCTGATGATGCTATCTGGGAATAAATAATAAATTAAACATTATCGTGTTGTTAATCATAAGCTTGTCAATATCTTAGATAAGTGTAATCACTATTCAAATTTTTTAGAGAATTCTAATGATGATTTGGTTGCTGTTGCTCGAAATAAGATGTATTGTGAGAGAGAATCTCCTCATGATCATCCAATTATAAATATGTAAGCTTATTTTCTATGTAAAAAGTGTTAATCATGGGAAATCAATGCAGTTCTGTGTAATGGAATAATTAATTTTACTTTCTTCAGGAACAAATCGGTTGAGAATTTATTAATTTCAAGCCACGAGGTAATTTCTTCAATAAATTCATCATCTTTGGGCAGTGGAATTCCTTCAAAATCTGGTCATGATTATTTGACTGAGGACTATCATGATTCTGAATCAAAACATGACAGTAGTCATCATGGACGCAGCCCAAGTTCTTCACCTCAGTCAAGTCCAAAAATATTCAATAGAAAAGATTATTGGAAAAATTCTGGACATGGTTCAAGTTCTGGTGCTAAAGAAAATGATAATTTTAAAAATGATGATCAATCGTTGGTATGTAATAACTGGTATTTATGAAGTAATCAATCACTATCTTTATTAATTTATTAAAAATAAATTCAAAAAATTCTCTTAAGTTATTATAATTGGAAATTTTATTTTTTCAGTTATTTCCAATTGTGCATCTTTAATTATTAACATCGATAATTCTTATATTAATTAACATTGAAGCTGATAAATTTTTGTGACGAATCAGTTTTAGAAACCAATTTAAAGCGGTTTAAGCGGCCTTAATATAACATTACCTTAATAATTAAATTATAGGAACCAGCGAATCGTTCATCAGACTCTACAGAGGTCTCCCGAAGTTCAGCAGCTGAAACGAGAAAAGAAGGACGAAGTGATCGGGGTAAAAAAAAATCGTCTTGGTACAATGTTCTTTATCCAACATACAAATCCCGATCTGAAGATTTTAAACGCATTTTCAAAGACGTTCCCGATGATGAACGATTGGTAGTAGGTATGTAACTTTACTATTCAATATCATTAATAATATTATACTTTCACTTAATTACTGCAGTTATTAAATAAGTCATTAGTAGTCTAGTATCATTCATTAACCTTCTTATCATTCATTAAAGACGATTACCAAAGATTAAACTTCACCGTCTACAGCTTATATTCTTATTATAAATAGATTTTTTGATTTAAAAAAGAAACAACAACAACTAACAACATAAACATGGTTATTTAAAAAAACTCAATAATCGATAATAGGTTTCTCTACATTTTTTTCTACAGTAAGCTTAAATACTTTATCATAGACACATGGTTATTGGATGACTGTTAAGTTAATTCGTTGAAATATTTTTTGCTTCTGGAAAATAAATAAGATGGTATGATTCATAATACTAATGAATATTTACATATTAAATGATTAAACTACAGGAGGTATATAAATTGCTATTTTTAAAATTCGAATAAAGATATTATGTAAGTTATCATATTTGCAGATTACTCGTGTGCCTTACAAAGAGAAATACTGGTCCATGGACGACTGTACGTATCACAAAATTACGTTTGTTTTTACGCTAATATCTTTATGTGGGAAACTTTGGTTTCACTCCGGTGGAAGGACGTACAATCAATAACCAAAGAAAAAACTGCTCTCGTAATACCAAATGCTATATCAATTTGCACTAATAAGGATAAATTTTTTTTAACAACTTTTGGGGCAAGGGATAAAACTTACCTGATGCTCTTTAGAGTATGGCAAAATGCCCTTATCGGCCAGGTGCGTATTTTCAAATAAACAATAATAATAAACAATAAAGTAGTTTAACATTTAAATCAGAAAACGAATTTCAATCAAACAGCTTATCAATTATTTCTTTTATTCAATGTCATACACATTTAAGTTGTTATCTCTCACTATGATACTGGTTGTAATTTCAGCCAATGAGCAACTCTGAAATGTGGCAACTTGTCCACGCGTGTTATGGCGAAGAGTTGGGATTAACTTCCGATGATGAAGATTACGTTCCACCTATAACAGCTGCTGAAGAGGAAAAATTACCTTCTAGAGTATCAACAGAGTCTTTTTCTGAGGTATTTTTGATAATACATGAATTAAAAAATGCTCCAACTATTTATTTATGATGGAATTATATTTATTTATAGGCAGATGTATTAAGTGACGGAATACCAACAACGTCAGGTGCTGGAGTTACTACTGATATTCTTCTTGAAGCCAATGCTCATAATAATAACCCGATAATTACACTTGATTCTAAGCCAGACGTTTGCTTAGATCCGACTGACATGAGTGATACTACAGAAAGTGATGCTGAAAAAAGTGCATGTAAGCTGATAGTTTATTCACTTAACAAATAAATTAAATTATTTCATATAATTATATTTATTGAAATTAATTATTTTCAGTGTTAGGTGATAAAAACAGTACTATGTGCACTTCTGCTCATGAAGGACGACGACTTGTCAATGTTATATTACCCATCCACGTCGATCAATTGTTTACACTTCTTTTTACCAATTCCAAATTTTTCTTGGATTTTCACACAGCTAGAAAAACAACAAATTTGATTCAACCAGCATGGGCGCAGGATCCACAAACGAATCAAAAAATGAGGACTGTTTCTTTAACGATTTCTTTAACACAAGCTGTTGGACCAAGAACGTCTCAAGTTACTGAACATCAAACTATGCTTCCCTGCAGTAGACCAGGTCACAGATATAGCATAGATGTTGAGAGTATCAACTCGGGAATCCCTTATGCTGATTCGTTTAATGTTTTGAGCCATTTTTGTATTGCTGCAATCTCAGAAAATGAAACAAGTCTTGCAATATTCTCTCAAATACATTATAAAAAACATGTGTGGTCAGTGATGAAAAGTATTATTGAAAAAAACTGTTGGGCTGGTTTAGATGAGTATTTTAGTAGCTTAACAAAAGCTTTAAGTGTTGAGTGTGAAGAGACAGCTGTTGGTGATGGAATTAAAAGAAAAGTTCGAAGAAGACGGCGTGTTGCGTGTCCTCAGACATTACCAACTCCAGATATACCATCCACTTTATCTGCATCGGTTGTAGAACAACCTCATACAATAAAAAATATTCCTCAAATTCGAGAAGATCCTCCAACTTTAATGAATTGGGTTCTTCTAATTGCTGTTCTTTGTTTAGTAGTCATTAATGGATTACTTTATTATAAATTGTGGGGTTTAGAAGAAGCTGCTGCTTATACAGTAATGGATTTACATGTTCTTAGGAACACTCCAAAGTCTGAAGAAGATTGGGTGAATTTAATCCAACAACAAGAAAGCTTGCACAATGTTGAGATGCGTAAGTGGCAAAGAGTTTTACACACAGCTGCACAACTACTTAAACAGGTAAAAATAATTTAGAAATTTATTTAAAACAAATGATGATTATCGATAGTATGGTTTTTATCTCATATAATTACAGACCGAAGACTCTTTGATAGAGCTGCAAAGAAGTATGCATCCCACATCAACGGAAAAAGTTTTTTCTGTATTAAAACCGAATTTAAAAGGCTTTTACAATGAAGCAGATGACCAACGCCATAATGAAGATATGTAATTAAATATAGCGATCAATTTAATTCTGTAATTATGTAAGTAAAACAACAAATGCATTAATTAGGTAATTAATTCATCAACGTATTTCGCGAGTTCTGCAATGGACTCTGCCTCTTCCCGTAGATGACTTCTATAGAATTATTGTAAAAATTTATTTTTAACTATGTATAAAGAAAAGAACAATGTTAGTAAAAACTTTATGAATTCTAGATGAACAGCACAGTGTAATAGATATTAATCATTTTTTTTTATCAATTTATTCTTGTCAATCATTGTTATATTATTTTTATGATAATTTTTATTGTATAATTGTGAAGTTTCAATAATACTAAATGGAATTTAATTATTAAAATAAGCACAATGAATGCAATAGAAGCAGTAAATGTTACAATTGACAATGAAAATAAATTTATTTGGTTGCAGAAACTGCATACATTTATTTAATATACTTAATCTACATAATTTAAATAACTGCTATGTTAATTCTATTAAATTTGTTTCCTTATTTATTACGGATGATAATGAGCTTAATGATGATGTTGAACTTGTTAATGATTTTATATGAGATCGAAAACTCGATGAGGAATTCCACGCTTCGTCTCTAACAACTCCACGATTTCTTGGATAAATTAGGAGAGGATCTTTTCCAGTTTTTTGACAAAGTCTCTCTTGGAGCATAATTAATTGAGATCTCCAATATTCATAGCTTGCCCGTTTCAATGCAATCACCCATTGTTGTACTTGATTTTCAGATCGCCCAGTCAATACGTGACGTTTATCAAACTCATCTCTAAATACTATACTAAATGCAAAAGCTCCTTCTGTTGAAACGTCGGTATTAACATTGTAATTTTCCAGAACAATGATTCCAGCAGGCTGCTTTTCATCTACTTGGCCGAGTTCAGTGAAGTTAAAATAAAATAGTAGGTTGCTTTTTAATTTGAACCATCTTTCTTTGAATACTAAAAAAAAACATAATAGTAAATATTTTAATTTATTCATTCATTTAATTATATTTCACAAACTAAATAAACATATCAATACGTTTGTTGTTTTTTTTGATGTGTCAACTAAGTCACATATAACGTACTATTTAAGAATTTTTTATCATTTTAAATATTATTTACAATGATTATTAAAAAGTTTAGTATGTGAATAATAGCTGATATTTAATTATTAATAATTAAAATCAATTAAGCATAAAGAATTGATTGTGTAGGAAACTAACCTGATTTGTGAGCACGTTTGTGATTTAAACGACCTTCCAGTTCAGGAAGGCCTCGACTAGCGTCAATTAATTCTTTTTCATTGAATTTCATGATTTTTACACTACTTAGCACTTGAAATTTGTGGAAAATATTCGATTAATTTGATTAAAGTGACATTTTTCGACATTCCTTAACCTCTTTGACATGTTAACTATGAAGTCAGCTTCGATTGACAACTGAGTCATCTATTATAAAAGGAACACGTTCCATACATGCTATCAGATAGCTCGTAAAATTATCCCTCTCTCATTACGTTTGGAGCACAGTGATAAAATGGACAACGCTAAACAACAATTGTTTCTACCATTGAAGATGAAATTATAAATAATTGATCAAATAATTTTAATAATTATTTTTATGAATGAAGAATTCGCTCAATATTTCAACGTCGTACATTGTGTTAATTTAACAGTGGTGTTTTAACTAATAGATAATTGATAGTAATAGTCCTACATAATGCGGTGATAAAACGAGAACGTTTTTAATTCCTGTGAGACTTTTTATTAATGTGCTACTGGACAATTTTTATTAACAATTCAATTTTTGCTCAATTAAAATGCAATTCTATTTAGAGTAAAGATTATTTTTACTGTTAAGGTTCAAAGGTCTCTTCTACGTTACGCATATTATATACATTATTATATTTTATTGTTTTTATTTTAATTTCAAAGCTTAAAACGAGGTGTGTATTGATTTTTGTCGTAATTATAATTCCATTCCTTTTCAATAACTCTGACTTAATTTTAATATTTTTTTTTAGAAAAATGAGCCAGTTTCAAAGTACTCAAATGATAACCGTTGCTCTAGGAGCAACAATTGGAGTAATTGGTGCTGCTAGTTTATTTATTTATCAAAAAATTATGGAACACAGGGAACGAGAACAATTATTAGATAACATAGAAAGTGTTAATAAAAGGGTATCTGAACTTCAAATAGCATTGGAAAATTTAAGGTATCTATAGTTTCGGAGTAACATTAGGAAAGGTAACTTTGATTACGAATATTTTATAAATAACATCATTGTGAATTTATAGAGCCCAACAAGAACAAAAACGAAGTAGAAGATTAATCAGAAAAAGAGTGACTTCACAGAATAGTTTTTATGAATCTGCTGCCACAGATAATGAAGTGGATGCCATTTCTGCTACTGAAACTGATGTTGATGATGAATTTTATGATTGCTCAGATGATGAAGTTATTGCTGAAGATTTAGAGAATGGGTAAGTTTTTTGGATTATAATATTATTGAATGATTATTGATTTTGTTTATTTTGGTTTTTGATGCGTTAATAAATCGTGAAGAACGAAATAATATATTTATAGTGATGCAGGAAAGGAGTAATAATGCAATTGTCACGAGATCTCAATGCATTAGATGAGAAAATTGAGAATGGACAGTACGAAGAAGCTTTATCTGATCTTCGATCTTTAGTCACTTGGCATGAAAATAATATTGAAGTGGTTTGGAGATTAGCTAGAGCTTATGTTAAAAATGCTTCAGATTTAACTGATAATAAACGCCGAGAAGAATTGCTTCAAGAAGGTATTGAAAAGCTTCAGCTCTGTAAAAAGTATTAATCCCACTGAAACCAGTATTTATTAAAGATAATTACTACAAAAACTATCTTATTCTTAGATTAGGTTTTTTTTTAAAAATTAAAATATGCTTAGATAAATATTTTCTTGATGAATAAAATTATTCATTTGAATGTGCTCCTAAGAAAAATCTATTCATAGCTTAATGTTTGTATAAAGTTCATTGGTGTTATTTCAATACTCTTTTTATTATTTTTCTAAAAATAAGTTTAGATAGAGAAAAATGTGCATATAATTCAATACGATAAATTATAATTTACTTTTAAAATACAATAAATATTAATAAGTCTGTATTTCTAATAGGTATCAAAGCATGCGAACAATTTCTAGACGAAGAGCACGCAGATTTGCACAAATGGTATGCCATGTTAGTTGGTTCTCGTACGGAATACCTGCCTAACAAAGAGAAACTTTTAGCCGGAAAGACATTTGAAAAGCACGTACGATTAGCCCTAAAATTACGGCCTGAAGATCCAATCTTAAATCATCTATTAGGAAGATTTCAATATTCAGTATTAGAATTGAATTGGATTCAGCGAAAGGTATTGTAAAAACATAAACTTTCTCTTGTTTGGAAAGAAATAAATTTAACAATAAAATTATTACAACATTAATAAATTTTTTGCGTACAGATTTGCGAAACATTGTTTGGTGAAACGCCTAATGCTACCTTCGATGAAGCAATAGAGAATTTGGAGAAGGCAGAAATGTATGCAAAGAAACCTGATATTGAAAATAAATATTATCTAGGTCAATCTTACTTAAAAGTTAAGCAATACAAAAAAGGTGTTGAAGTTTTAAAAGAACTTTTAAACCTTCAGCCACGTAATAAAAAGGAAGAATCAATGCGATCTGAAGCAGCTAATCTCGTCTCAACGTATTCAAATTTCTCGTGATACTTATAAATGAATACTTAATTGATAAAAAAAAAAAAAACAAACAATATTAAAGTAAAAATAATAAAACTATAAGAATTTAGGAAGGCTTCCTGTCAGTTTAAAAATTTAGTAGTGCCAATTTATTCAATTTTTTTTTTTGGTGTAGATTGATAAAAATGTGGGTTATCTTCAATACACAACTATTTGAAATTTATTAGGTTAAAATATAACGTATATTGAAATTGGGTGAAATAAATATGAAATTTTAATTTAAAGTAATAATTTGAACATTCCTAATAGATATAAATTATTGTACTTTTTAAATAACAAGACCGTTTTTTATCGTTGTTATTTATTTGTTTACAATCGTGAATGTTGGTTTTATCTCATGAACTAAAATATGTTGTAGCGAATTTAAAATATTTTTTAAATAATCTCTGTTTTTATTGTATAATATATATTTATCAAAGTAATTGAATGAAAAAAATTTCTGATTAATATCTAAAGTACCATATAAAATTTATAAATGGAAAATTAGTAACAAAACCATGTACCCAAATTGATAATTAATACGCGCAAACATTTAGTACACTTTTTATATTTCAATAAAGTGCTAAATCATTTACATTATCTGTTGGTTTTCTTCTATTTTTATCTACGAATAATTTTTATTTATAAAAATAAACTCATTGGTGAGCTTTCGAATAGTTCATTTACCAAATGTACAATTATACATAGAACTATAGAATAAATCAATAATGGTCCAACACAGCATCCCTGGACGCCATGAGATTTTAGTAGTGGAGTGGAGGGTAAGAATGCAACGGTTAGGGGTTTAAGTATGAAGAAGCCCCTCCAATAATGCTGGAGGGAAGCCAGAGGAAAAATGGTGTAACTTTATTAGTTGTCGTTTGATTGTCGTGAAATGTGGACCCATTTCTCTCCCATATCCGAGTAAGTTTATTTATAATTCTTAGAAAAATATAGACCCTTCTCATTTAATGTTTCCATTGCTTGAAAATAGCCTTCAATCATTCATTAAAAATTTTTTTTTATTAATTTACAAACTGTAATGTGTATATTTATGTGATGTTTGATTAATGTAAATAATTGTTATTCAGTACATTAACAATTAAAGTGCAATGCGTGGTCTTGTATATGGTATAATATACTGTGCCCTATGGTATGGAAGCATAGTGGCAGGTTTTCTCTTCATTGCTTGTCCACTTCTACCACTATTATTATTGAGTCCACCTAAATTTCGAAAATGTGGAGATCTACTCTTTTCTTGTTGGGAACTATACCCTACAGTTAGTATTTTTGTTCATTATCATTTATTAAAATATCTTTTTTTATCACGACATTTTATTGTGCCCTTTTAATGGTTGTAGGCGCTTTTGGAGCTAATTGGAGTGAAGATAATTATTTCAGGGGATCATATATGCCCCAATGAATCGGCAATTTTAATCATGAATCATCGAACAAGAGTTGATTGGAATTTTCTCTGGGCTGCTATGTATCAAGCTTGCATGCCCTATATTGCAACACATAAATTAAAATTTATTTTAAAGGATCCAATTCGTCATATTCCTGGTCCAGGTTTGTAAAAAAAATTTAACGAATGATTCGGCTATAAATATTAGCTTAGCTTTTGTTGCTTTGATAATTTTATGCATTTATTATATTGCTGAATCTAAATCTGAGCTTAGCTTTTGTTAGTCAATTTAGATTGTTCACTATGACAGCTTCTAATCTATTAGAATTAAATATAATTGATTAGAAAATAATAAAAAAGTCAATTATTATAAAACTGTCTTATTTAATTACATGTTTAATCTATTATTATAGGATGGATAATGCAAATGAACGGTTTCCTTTACATAACACGACGTTGGGAAGAAGACAAAGGTCGACTATCACGTACGTTAGATTATTTAGTTGCCCTGAAAAGACGTACACAATTGTTGATTTTTCCTGAAGGAACAGATTTTACTGTAAATAGTAAAGAAAAGTCTGATAAATTTGCAAAGAAAAATGGACTTCCTTTTTATGAATATACTCTTCATCCAAAAACCACAGGATTCTCTTACTTAGCCCAACATCTTCAAAGATCTGGTTATTTGGATGCAATTTATGATTTAACTATTGGTTACCCTGATTATGTACCTCAATCAGAAGTTGATTTAATAACTGGAAAAATGCCTAGAGAAGTACATTTTAATATCAAGAAAATTCCATCAACAGAAGTGCCTGGAGAAGAGAACGAGCTACGAACATGGTTGGAAACACGGTGGTTACAAAAAGAAGAAATGTTGAAAAAGTTTGATAGGAATAAAACATTTAATCCTCAAGATAAAATTTGGCCAATGCCAAGTGGAATTGCTTTGAGTATTGCTTTTGGATTCTGGACACTTTTAACAGGTGTTACAGTAATAATGCTCATCACATCATCTCTCTTTCAACTATGGGCACTTGCTCATGCTCTCTTGTTTGTAATATTATCGTTCTTCAGCACTGGTTTTAATCAAGTTGAAATGAGCTGGTATTGGAAATGGAAGAACATGCCATTCTGGTCTAAGTCCAGTTAATGAAACTTCTCCATTACAAATTTTACCCTATTCGGTGTAGTTCTGTGATATTGATATAAATAGATAAGTAATTTTAAATTAAACCTATAGACTTATGAAGATAATCTAAACAAAAAATCTGCACATTCCATCGTATCAATCAAAAATTTTTTTTTGTAGATTTTTTTTAATAGAAAAACAATGATTGATTCTGTTGGATATTATTATTACATGTGTGTATAACATTTTGAAGATTCCATTTTGGATGTTATATATTTAATAATTGATTGTACTTCCCTTTAGTAATCACTTTACAAATACATTATTCTAATAAGATGTATATTGGGCAAAATTATTAATTGGCTAATCTTGAGCAAGTGGTCTTAAAAGATAGAAATTTTAAAAATACATCTTCCTGATGAAGTAATTAATTATTAAATTGTTTTGTAAATATTGAGCAGACCATTTTGACTCAAATTTGGCTAATTGTATAATAGTGCAATTTTTTCGTGAATTATTAAATGTAAATTATCATAATATTACAGCAAACATAAGAAACTATATCATGTGTGAGAAAAAAAAATATATTTTTCTGTATATCTAAATACTATGTTCATTATGAAAAAGTGAATTCACGTGCCAAAATATTAAGATAATCTCAGTTGCAGATACTTCCTGTCATAGGAAGATTCCAATGAGAAATAAAATATATATAAATTTATCTTATATTTATTGTAAATAAAGAAAAATCTATATCTTTGAGTCATTTACAAAACTAGTAATCGTCTTTATTGATGTAAATTTTTTGTGTACCTTAATTTTCTGTATAGATTCTATAATCATGTGTGAAGCTTTGTAAAAATTAAGAAGAAATATAAGAATTTAGATGAAAAAGTGTATTTATTTAAAATTGATTATTACAATTAATTAATTATCTTTATGAATCATAAAAATTACAATTACTTACAATTATATTTTTTTTAGAAATTTAACTAAATTCAATAGTTAGCTATTTCTTATAAAAAGGATTAATTGGACTTGAAATAGGGCTCGGCTTCAAGACTCCATTTAAAGGTTTTCGGTTAGCATCAAAAGGAATTGCTGGACTCGAACGGATTTGTTGAATATATTCCGATGTATGTTGAGCGGTATTGCGGTTCAACATTATTTTGACACGCTTTTTTATACTTGAGTCGATATTTAATTTCTTTGGAGAGGTGATTGTTTTCTGAAATAATTTATTCATTTTAGAGTTAAATATTCAGCTAACCTTCAACTACTTATAATTGAAAGCTCTTTTCCATTTAAATTATTTACTTAATTTATTGTACTTACCGATACTACTCCATTCTCCAGTTTCTCCAATTTAGGAGAGTGAGATACTTTCTGAGGAGATGTTTTTATCTTAGGCGTATTAACTTCAGATAATGTTTCTTTAGCTTTTACTTTTTTCTCAGGTGAACTAGATCCGTTGGTCATTGGTATTGCGGCAACGGTTGACGTAGATGAACACTCAGTATTTAAGAAATTACCACTATTTTCGAGATCCTGTTTAACTTTTTTCTTTTTCTTCTTTTTAATTTCAGCTGATTGCTTGAAATGAACAAAGTCTTCCATTCCATCGAAAATTAAATTTTTTAAACTCTTTTTTTTATTTTTAAGTTTTTTTGTTTTAATTTTTTTTTCTTTCGGAGACTCATCCTTCATGAGTTTTTGTTTTAACTTTGATTTTTTAATGATCTTGGTATCATTAACTTCTTCGACTTCTTCTATAGCTTTATTTTTTTTTCTTTTTTGTTTAATGATTTTTTCATCATGAAATTCATTTTCAGTATCATTTTCTTCAACAGTAAAATTATTTTCCACTATAAGTTTTTGTTTCTTCTTTTTTTTCTTAAGAGGTGGACCAACTTCTGGTTCAATGTCATCTTCATTATCATTTATGTCATTTTCAACACTATTTTCACTATTTACAATTGGTTTATTTTTCTTTTTTCTTTTCATACGTTTATGAGAATCATTATATAGTTTCTCCTCAAAATTCAATAATTTCAATGCTGCAGTTTTGGCTATTCCTTTTTTTTTACCAGTCAATACATCGACTTTTTTTACACCAAGAGGCATATTACCTTTAGCTAATTCGTCAAACTCATCGATTAATTTCTTAATTTGACGACGGTTTTTTGTAGTTGATGATTCGTGAAATTTATAAGTTTTCAATAAGTTTGCTATTTGTTCTGCATCAAACGGTACCTGAGGTAATTCAACATCAACTCTACCAGCTCGTGGATCTAAAGCTTTTTGCCTAAACTGATCTATACTATCATCACCATCATCATTGTTACTATCACTTTCATAGTCACTTTCTTTTTCTTCATTTTCACTGTTTTCATCAGCAATTGGTATTTTTTCCATCACACTAATATCCCCTTTTGGAAAACCAGCCTAGAAAAAATTTTTAATTGAAATTGTATTCTCAAAACATTACGGAATCTTTTTCAATTGAATTTTGCTTACCTTTCGCCAAGCTTCAAATTTTTCGGCGTATTCTAAACCCGCATCTGATTGAAAAATCAAATACCTGAAGATATGTTTCATAACGTGTCTAATTTGTCTATCATCAGTCATTGTTGCTAAATAAACAGCAAATGGTCGGAGAAATTCTGTTACAATTTCATTTGCTATTTTACCTTCACTGATCTAATCGTAATAAAAAAAAGTAATCAATACAAAATTAGGAATTCTAATTTTTATCGTTCATGTTGTATAATGAATTAGAAAACTTACTTTTGCTAATTCTTCTATGAAAATTTCAGTAATATGAAATTTGAATCCCATTGAACCTTTTGGATCTAAGAGAATATCTTCAATGATTTTACTAACTCCTTTTACCCATTCTTCATCCCATGATGATTTTTTACACATAACAAATGATTGTCTCATAATTCTTCTTGCTAACATTTCGAATTTATCCATTCTATACCAATCTAATCCAAACCATTCACTCGAAAGTGTTCTTAAAGTACATTTTGTATACAACAAAGCCATTTCCATTGATTCAATCGAATGTACTAAATTACTAATTGATTCTGCCAATTCTTCTTGCACCAATGGTTTATCTGACAGCCACATACAGTAGAATAAACCTTTCCACAGTCTCATGAAATCGGCTTCTGTGAATGCTGTAATGATTTATTAGTAAATTATACCTATAAATATATTTTTATATAGTTTAAATAAGTTTCTTACCAAAAGAACTTTTGGAGCGAATATTAATCCAGTTTCGGAGTTTTTTCAACATTTTCATCCTTGCTCTCTTGTCATTGCTAGATAGAACTCTAGCAAATTTTATTTCTTGAGCAATGAGAAGATTTTTCTGTGATTTATCTTTTGCCATAGTTGTTAAAATAATTAACAAAATATTACATAAAAAATATGCACCACGTATACTAATTATAATTTTATTGGTCTTTAAATAATTTCAATATCAAATATTTAAAAACATAAAATTTATGTTTGTTTATGTAAAAACTCGTAAGATGTAGAGTACATGTGACTTATGACTCTTCTAGAACATAACCTCTACAGAACAGGCACATCAACTTAGGAATTGTTCAGTCGTGACGCTAGTGAGTTTTTCCTGAATTACTGCACAACAGCTCTGAACAGTCGATAAAATAGAGCAACATGTAATAAATAAACAAAATAATTTTTATATATAAAAATCAATTTATATCATTTATAGCAAAAACATATTATTATATAAAAAGTTTAATTTTAAAGTACGTGTATTTAAATGTTAAAAAATGCCAGTTTTTATGGTTTCAATGGCAATGTTTATGTATCATAAAATTTGTTTTAAATGACGCAATAAAATTGAATTGCTGGATAACTCTTTTTTAATGTTTTATTTTTTACTTTTAATTAATAATAAAAATTTTACTACTTTTTATATCAGTAAATAATGACGTCACAAACAATGGCGTAGCGTTCTATTATCATATTTATCTGGAAAAATAAACTGTATACAAGGTATATTCGAGTTTTATGCTGTACAAATAAGCGTAGAGCCAAGTATAACATTCTATCAACGTATAGCAATCCCAATGATACGGACGGCATATTTTAGTTGGAGTAGTGCAAGTAATAGGTGTGCTTAGCCCAAATTATAATTTTTAAATTATAAAATCGCACTGTTTTAATTATCAGAACATTATTTAAAACTTGAAACTCCACTAATTAATCGAACAACTCTACTATTATAATTAGAGCAAGTAGTTTATATGACATTTAAATTCACCAAGTTTGATCAAACGGTTTTAAAAGTATTCAATTAAAATTATAAAATTTTGATTATTTTTTTATTTATAAAGTTATCAATTGAAACATGACAATTAAAAAAATTTGTGGCATTGGTGCAGGATACGTAGGAGGACCTACATGTAGTGTTATAGCTCTGAAATGTCCTCATATCAAAGTAACTGTCGTTGATAAAAGCAAAGAAAAGATAGCTCAATGGAATTCGAATAAACTTCCAATATATGAGCCACATTTAAATGAAGTGGTTGAAAAATGTCGTGGAAAAAATTTATTTTTCTCTACTGATATTGAATCTGCTATCCAAGAAGCTGATTTAATTTTTATTTCTGTTAATACTCCTACTAAAACATTTGGAAATGGCAAGGGACGAGCTGCTGACTTAAAATATGTAGAAAATACTGCCAGAATGATTGCGGAAGTTGCTACAAAAGATAAAATAGTGGTAGAGAAAAGTACAGTACCAGTAAGAGCTGCTGAAAGTATTATGCATATTTTACGTGCAAACCATAAACCTGGAGTCTCCTTTCAGGTAAAATATTCAATTAAAATTAATCTTATTCATCAATTAAATGATATGATTGATTTTAGATTCTCTCTAATCCAGAATTTTTAGCTGAAGGAACAGCAATTGAGAATCTCATTGATCCTGATCGTGTTTTAATTGGTGGTGAAGATTCACCTGAAGGCCAGATAGCTATTGAAAAATTATGTAAAATATATGAACATTGGATTCCTCGTGATAAAATATTAACAACAAATACATGGAGCTCAGAATTATCAAAATTAGTAAGTTTATTATTTAAATAAATTAGTAAAAGAATTGATAATGTTATTATATGATTATTTTATTTTATCATGTAGGCTGCCAATGCATTTTTAGCTCAACGAATATCAAGTATTAATTCATTGTCAGCAGTATGTGAGGCAACAGGTGCTGATGTATCAGAAGTAGCAAGAGCTGTAGGATTAGATTCCCGAATAGGTTCAAAATTTCTGCAAGCATCAGTGGGTTTTGGAGGATCCTGTTTCCAGAAAGATTTACTTAATTTAGTTTATATTTGTGAGTGCTTAAATCTCCCGGAAGTTGCAGCCTATTGGCAGCAAGTTATCAATATGAATGAACATCAAAAGTCTCGATTTTCATCAAAAATTATTGAATCTCTTTTTAATACTGTGTCTGACAAGCACATATCCATATTAGGATTTGCTTTTAAAAAAAATACTGGTGATACCAGAGAGTCTCCTGCCATTCACGTAGCCAAGACTCTTCTTGATGAAGGTGCAATTCTACATATTTATGATCCAAAGGTTATTTTATGATCAATTATTATTAACAGAAAAATGTATACTATTAAGATGATGAAAATAATTGAATGTACTAAATTTTCTAATTTTTTATAGGTTGAAGAGGCTCAAGTTATTCAGGATCTAGCAAGTTTAGATATTCTGAATGTAAAAAATCGTATTAGTATCTATCCAGATGCTTATAGTGCAACTAAAAATACACATGCTGTTGTTATCTGTACTGAATGGGATGAATTTAATGTAAGTGCTCCAAAAATTTTTATCTGAATATCTATTCAATATAGATATGTAATTTTTTTATATTTTTCTAGGAATTGGATTATAAACGTATTTATACAGAAATGATAAAGCCAGCTTATATATTTGACGGAAGAAAAATTTTGAATCATGAAGAACTACAAAAAATTGGATTTATTGTTCAAACAATAGGTAAAAGATTAAATAGAATCGCCGTATCTAGAACATGGGGAAGTCCTAATCACGTGTGAAGTAATAAAAAAAATACTCAATTTTTTTTTATTCTATACGGCAGTATTTTAATACTCTGCATTTATTATTCATTAATAAGTAAAAAAATTTTTTACAAAGATTACACATATTTAACAAATGACATTTGTAATAAACTATTTTTATAATTCTTTATCAGTATGAAAAATATTATAGTCAAAAGTATTATCAAACTTTTTAACTCATTCTCGACGTCTATTATCAAATCATGTATATACAAAGCACGAAATAAAAAAATTATAAAATTTATATTATTATAAATTCTCTGAAATTGGAGTATATATTTTAGCGGTTTTATTTTAATATTTCTTGGAATTCATTTTTTTTTGTTGAGCTATTAGAAGATAATGAGAGAGATTAAATTCATGCAATTTGGAGTCTAATTTTACTGGTGCAGCGGAATTTCCAGGTAAAATATGAATATGTAACGTGAACTTTTGCACCTAACATCAATCGTCATCAGTTATATTTTTTTGAGCATTTACCGCGTGTGGCACCACAATCGCCCCCGTTTATATTCGGCCTGAGCCACCTGACACCGACTATCATGGCGCCTTGTGACAAATCATCGGTAGTGCACCAGCAGTGATCAGCAGGTATAGTGTGAATTGTGATTGTTGAGATGAATTCAATCAAGTATAAAATCAAGAGTTAAGTGTCAAAGAATAAATAGGAGTGCCTAATAATGTAACGAATATATATTGAATGGAATATTATATAGATCATAGACAGCTTTTCACCGGTGATGTAGTCTACTGCTTATTCGCGAATTGGTTTATTGAGCTCTAGGCAGTGCCTATCTTTGCAGAAAATGGCCGCGAATCGTATACATAAAAAAGCTCAACGCAAATTAAAATTTTTGCCATGCTATTTGTCAAAGGTTTTCTAAAATTATCTTCAATTAATTTTGTGTTAATTCATTTATTTTGAGGAATTTCAATAAGAAGGCCTATATTGCAAAGTATCCTCATGTTTCCCGGTCATCGACCGGAGGTTTAGGAATATCAAGATGTGACTCGCGGATGCGCCACCGACGACGTTATTATCATTAATAATAACAAGTTTGACGAGTGTTTGAGAGCAAAAGAGACGTGAAATTTTTCAATAAAAAGCTATGTGGATCAGTGAAGTTTGTAATTGCTTTTTTATCAACGATAAAAAAAGTTCTTCGAAGTGATGTAATTTTAGAATGTCAAGATCAAGGAGTTCCAATGTTTACCTATACCGAATGAAAAGTTTTTGATTTTTTTTTCACGAAAAAGAAAGCGGTAAAACGATGGGAAAAAATATTGCGACGTTTGGCAGTACCGCTGGTACTTTAGCTCTTGTGCTAATTTTCGTTATTCACATGTCATCTATCGCAACCGGTGAGTGGAATATTCAATTTAATGAAAGACTCTTATGATTTATATATATGTGAGGTCTGAAATGATGTATTATATAATTAATAAATTTATCAAATATATTCAGTTAGAGAATGAAATGCACTTATTGCTATCAAAATATATTTACTGCTAGTTATCATCAGTAAAAGTTGAATGTGTTTATATTAAATAAATTCTAGATTTTATCAAATATTATTTTGTGTAACAAAATAATCAGAAGTTGATTAAAAGTACATCGAAATGAAGTAAGATTTCAATTACAATTTACACTTTTATGAGAATAGTATTTTTTGCAGTGATATTTTTACAAATAAATTGAATAAAAAAATTAATGAATGATTGAATTAATTAAATTACTTGATAGGATATTGATCAGTTTATAAGAAATTTTATTAGAGCATAAGGTTATCAATATTTTATGCAATAATAATAATCACTTGTGAATGATACATTAGCAGTTTTTATATAATTTTATGCACTTTATAAACTTTTTACATTTATATGCAGAATTTTCATTTCATTCATTGATTCAAATAAAGTTTTTGTTAATTCTTATTACGACAATGCCTGAAAAAATAAAAACATCTACATCATTCATACTGATAATCATAATTAATAGTTTTCATAAATTATGTATTTTTTGTATCATTATTATCCATTTTCAATTATCAGTACTAATACATATTGATTTAATGATAAAAAATATTTGTTTATTGTAAGAAACAAAAATTAAATGTTATATATTTTTCAGGATTGAAATGTTATTGCGACATTTGCACAGACACGAATCATACTTGTGAGACCGATGGCTATTGTTTTGCAAGTACGGGTCGTGAAAACGATGTCATCACACACGCCTACAGGTAATATAAATTGAAATATTTTATTTCTCTTCAATAACAGTGTTTTTTTTTCTAAATTATTTAAATGGATAATTATAACGCATACTTGAGATAGAATTTTTTTATTGAATTAATGATATCAACTACATATTGATTGGAACAATTTTCATGATAAAAAATAGAAAAGGTATCAATGCGTATAATTGTCAGAAAACAAATAAGTTATACCGGTTTTCCGAGTTAATGAGACAAAATAAAAATGAACAGTAAAAAAATAACACGTTTGTTGACATATCATATTCATAAATCATTTTAATTCTCGAGATTTCTATAAGGAAGAGAGACGTTCTTGGTTAATTTTTTTATTAAAATGAAAATAAAAGTTGACCTTAAATTATACATAGCAACAAAGTTTTTTTTTTCAAGTGTATAATAAACTATCTAACAACAAATAAATGTTGTTGGAATGGAATTAACATTGATTTATTGTTTATTTATTAAATAATAAACAAATTTATATTATTCATACTAAATTAATAATTTGCAAATTTTATAAATTATTAAATAGATACTTGAAAATTAAAAAAAAAAAAATTAACAGCATAATTTTTCGTGGAAATCGATTGATATTTTAATCATAACAAATTATTAACTTCAATATAAAGGAGTCGACCTCATATAGTCGTAGCCTTATTTCGTTCTTCAAATTATTTATTGATTGTCAGGGAGTTTATAGCTAAATTTTCTATTAAAGCTTAATAAAATAATCAAGCAGTACAATGTTCAATAATATCATTCAATAAAATATAAATTAAGAATATTGACTTTTTGAGTACTCTAATGTTTTGAAGAACAAAAAAATTATTGCAATAATGAAACAAAAGCCATGATAATAATAATATATTACAAAAGGTGTCTCGATCGAATAAATTGGTTTCCACCAGAAGAGCCTCGTGTCTGCAATTCGAGCTACTATCATTCTGGAGTCTGCTGTAATAAAGAATACTGCAACCTCAATTTATATCCGGTTTTAGTACCTTCTGACGTACCCGAATTACCTAAAGGTATACTGCAGAATTACGGGAAATTTTCGCCACGATTGTGTGTGTACGATATTTCAAAAATAACAACGTTTTTTATTTCCATGAAAATCATTTGTCATTAAACATAAATAGTTTGTGGCTCCAATATTAGAATTAACTAACAATAATTAATTACCAAAAGGAAATTAATTTTAACTGCATTTACAATTTCAAGTTTTTTTTTTCATGATTTTTTATTGATTAATTTTTTTCCTCTTAATTTACAAATATTTTTTTTCGTAGAGAAATACGAGGAATAATGATTTATTTTAAATTTAATCATTACTTTCAATATTTAAATAATAGTTATTGATGAAACAGAAATATTATTCATAGAGTCCTCGAATTTCTTAAAGACAAAAACTTGATCTTTTATCAATCAAAACTTCATTTTGTTATCTGAATATTTTTGTGTTTCTTTTTGCACCTTTAACAAAAACAAACTTGGCATTTTTTTTCTAACAAAACATTTGATATATGTTTTTTGTTTTTTTTTTTATTTATTTTTCCTTTCGAGTAATATAATTGGAGTCTTTATAAATGATGAAATCTAGCAGACAATTAAATAAATAATCAAGATGCAGATTGATTGGTGAGTTAAAAACAGAACATCAGACCAGGTATATTGCTGAGTGTTGAATTGCACGGTGTTACCCTGTTTTATTTATTTGAATCCGCCATTGTTACCGAATAATAATACAAAAATTGTACCAAATATATAATTCATTAAAAAGAAATAGAAAAATATATTCTAAAACAATGAAATAAGCGCGGGTATTTAATCGGGAAATTTTTGACAAAAGTAATCATCAATAGCAAAAAGTTATTGCGATAATAATTAGGTAAAGAAGAAAAACAAAATAAAGAATAGATTTTTCTACAATACATCATATAAAATATGGACTTAAAGGTGTGTACGAAAGCAACTGTCATCGTCGCAGCCCGAACCGTTTATCTTCTGCATGACGAGCAATTTGGTAAATACGACTTTTGTCATCGAGTGCTGCAACAAAGAAGATTTTTGTAATCGAGATCTAAAACCTATGCTGCACCCTATCACCAGAGAAGGTATAGTTGATAACCCACCAGAGACATGAACAAGGCAAAAACTTATTTAATGTACTCTGATATAATTCCAACGTTCTGTAACACGGTGGCGTAGATTCGTAGCACAGTTTTGTGCATATTTTTTTTCTCACTCACTCGCCTTTTTACTCGCTCTTCTCTCACTTTATTGCGCGCGTTTATTGCACACAATATCCCTTTTTTAATCTTCCTTTTTTCACTCGAATGTTTTAAATCGTATATCACGATCAATTATTTGCTTATCTAATATAAATATGTATTATATCAATTTATATATGTACTTCAATGTTTTGTACTCTTGCTTTTAATGTAGTATAAAATACTTTTTATTTTTAAATTTCAGTATTTTCAATAATATAGTAGTTAACTTTTTGTTTTATATCCTTGCACATTCTTATTAATATTAGCTTGAAGTACTGCACGTTTGATAAATTAAACAAAATCTTAACTTATTATATTTAATACTTTCTGCCTCTGTTTTTCAATTTTTTATCATTGCCTGTGGTGATACTTCAATTAAATTGATATATTTGTGATACTAAATTATTATTACTATTATCACTGTACTGTAATAAGATATTAGAACAACAACCAATAAATGTTAAGGCTTAAAGAGATGATATTAAACGTCAACATGTGATACAAATTAATTCTGCTGCACATACTTTGGTAGATGTAATTAATAAAAATGATTACACTTAAACAGGCACTCTAGTAGGATTCAGATAAATATAAATAAAAAGAAAAGTACTTAGTGCACAAGCTTGTCGATGAGAAGTGTCAGTTTTGGTATCTTTTTAGCATACCGAAAATAAAAAAAAAAATTTCTGGCCATGCTGTTCTCAGGTGTTACGATAAAACAAGGTTCTTTCCGGCGCCAGAGTATTCAGTTTGGTGTACCACTAACGGGACTTTTCGAGGCCTAGGAAATGAAGAATTTGTGATTGCTTGTTGTAATCACGCTAACTACTGCAATCGTGATCTTCAGCCTTCTTTTCCTCTCTACATTATGGCTAATTCCACTCGAGGTGTATATAGATTTGATAGAGGTATACCAAAATCGAAAAACAAACATTGACGATCGAATTTCTCACATGTTGCTTCTTGTCACTCGTTGAAGCTTTTCGTTTTCATATAATTGTTTACAGAATTGGGGATGAAATATTCCAAATCTTTAAGATTGTGTATGTCAAGTATTTGAAGTCATTAAGGGGTCATGTTAGAGGAAAGAATAAAGTTGATTAAATTTTTTTTTTTAATTAAAACCAATATTTCTCAAGCATGTTGATTTCCATTGAATTTCATCTAAATTTATAAGCTTCATTAATCATCAATTTAAAATCATGATATATACGTTTTAAAAATGGTTAAATAGTTAGCTGATCTATTAGAAGCAATTTTTAAATTATCAATAATATTTTAGTTTATAAAAATTGAAGCTGAATATCAAATAATAAATATTTCAAATGACAAAAGAATATTTTTAGTATTATTATTTTCATAATAATTTAAATGTTTGAATTGCAAAATATTTTTTTATATTTACAGTAGATTAAACTTGATATAAAATCGTTTCTGGTCAGCAAACTGTGTAAACATATTTATTATCCATTGAGTGTACGTTTGTCATTGAATTTTATCGGCGAAAGTTATTCATCATGTGGGTTGTATTTTCTGAATATATTGAATATGTTATTTTTCTCATATAATCATTGTTTATTCATCAGTGAGAAATTCGCATGAGAATAAAATTTATTGTATTCTATGATGACAACTTGTGAATGTTTCGCATTGGATTGTTTGAAGAAAAAAAAAATATAAAAAATAAATCGAGCATGATATAGATTTCTTATTTCATCTAATATATTCCTTCAGGACAATCATTACATTCTATCCTTACTAATGGATGGATACCATTTGTGTTATCATCTTTTTATAGACATCCAGTCTGTACGTTATTAATGCTTTGGCAAATTTGATTTATCTGGGCCTCTTCGTTCGTATATATTTCACCGAAATAGATTTGAACGTAAGTTTTTGCTGATCCAAATTTATATTCATGAGTCATCGACAGATCATTATTCGAAACTTGATCAACTGAATCAAAAAAACTTTTTTTTCAAAAGCATGTTAAATAATAAACATTGTGATGTACACTTGACATTTAAAAAACATGATACTCGTTCAAGTACGTAATTAACGTTGTACCACAAGCAGAAATATTTCATATCTCTCAAAAAATAATTTTTTTTTATGTAAAAAATCAAGTGATAATTACATAAATGTTCTTAACAACAAACTAATTATATCTTTTTCTTTTGCATTGGCCTCTAACAATTTAAAAGCATCATTTGTATTGACATAATATTTTTTGCCAAAGGAACAGATTGTTTGCAGGTAAGATCGAGAAGCAGAAAAAATAAATGAATAAATGATGGACAGTAGGTATAGACACATAAACCTATCGAGGATGTTTTTTTGTTCAACAGATATTTTTTTTTTTTGGTTTCTTTTATGAGCTTTGGGTGCATGCTAGCTGTCTTGATGCTTGCTTTTGTTATCTAATTTTTAATTTCATTTTTATGCTGCTGTTGTTTAACCTTTTGTATTCTGCTTTGCATATTTTTTTCTTCCAAGTATTATAATAATTGTGAAATTATTATGACGTGTTACATTGACGATATAATTCTAAATAAGTTATTTTTTTGATAAAGTAACGTCCGCTGCTGATGGTATGGCTGCGTGGGCTACCTGGAAAATGGCATTAACGATAGCTCTTCCAATTTGTGGAATTTGCGTGATCATCTTAATTATTTATCACATTCACGTCAGTCGGCAAAGGCCTGCCAGGCATTTTCCAGATGATTCTATGGAAGCACCTGATCGACCAATACTTGGCGGTGTTACGATCAGGGATATGCTGGAAATGACGACCAGTGGAAGTGGTTCAGGTAACTAGAGTTTAATAATTTCGATCAATACAGTTAAAAACAACTATAAAACTATAATTGTTAAATATTCTAATATCTATAAATATGTGTATTAATTGAATAAAAAAATTTTCAATTAAGTAGGTTTGCCATTATTGGTTCAACGGAGCATAGCCCGTCAAATTCAGTTAGTTGAAACGATAGGAAAGGGAAGATTTGGTGAAGTTTGGCGAGGCCGATGGCGTGGAGAAAATGTTGCAGTAAAAATTTTTAGTTCAAGAGAGGAGAGATCGTGGTTTAGAGAAGCGGAAATTTATCAGACAGTGATGCTCAGGCATGACAATATTTTAGGATTTATTGCAGCAGATAATAAAGGTAAGTGTAATTTATCAAAAAATATTAACTGGTACATAAATTAAATTCTCATTAGTAATTGACAGTTATTTCATTGTAATTTTGATGATTTACAGATAATGGAACTTGGACACAGCTGTGGCTGATAACTGACTATCATGAAAAAGGCTCACTGTTTGATTATCTGAATCGTTCTACAGTTGATATAAAAGGGATGATGAGAATGGCTCTTTCGATGGCCACAGGACTTGCTCATCTCCACATGGAGATAGTTGGTACCCAAGGTAAACCGGCCATCGCTCATCGAGATTTGAAGTCAAAGAATATTCTTGTCAAAACGAATGGTACTTGTGCTATTGGTGATTTAGGTCTTGCTGTCAGGCATGACGTTATCACTGACACAGTAGACATTCAATTGAATAACAGGGTTGGAACTAAACGTTATATGGCTCCTGAGGTAACTATTTATTCTTTCAATTAAATAGAAGAGTCGGTTTATGATAAATAAAATTATGTGGTTAAATTATTTGAATCATTATTATAGGTTCTTGAAGAGACGATAAACATGAATCACTTTGATGCATTTAAGAGAGCAGATGTCTATGCTCTTGGTTTAATTTTATGGGAAATTGCAAGAAGATGCAATGTTGGAGGTATACATGATGAATACCAACTACCTTTTTATGATTTGGTGCCTTCAGATCCAACTATTGAAGAAATGCGAAAAGTTGTTTGTGTTGATCGTCAGAGGCCTTCAATTCCAAATAGATGGCAGTCTATTGAGGTTAGTATTGATATAATTATTGATATACAATTAAATAAATAATTAATATATTGCTGCTTCTAGGCGCTTCAAGTAATGTCAAAAGTGATGAAAGAATGTTGGTATCATAATGCTGCAGCAAGACTCACTGCTCTCAGGATTAAAAAATCACTTGCCAATTATGGTTCGATGGCAGATTTAAAGTAAGTACAACATCGATTATTTCAAGTTGAATAACTTGAACAACGAAAAAATGAGACAACAGTTATATTTAGAAGATGTAAACAGGATTGTTATATGCAAGTTGAAATGATATTTCTCTATGAATTACAATTTTTATAAAATTACTCCTGTTTACTAATCGGGTAAACTTGAGCTATGGAAACGATTTACCTGATAATACAAAAAAAAAAAACGATTGGATATATGATTAAAAATATTTTACTTTATGCAGTAAAAATTTGGAAGTGGGTTTTTAAGATTTTTTAAACGCTGGCAAGAATTTTTTAAAAATTTTCTATACGATTTTAATTAATCTTAACATTTTTTAAGTTTTTTATATTGTGATAGCGATTTTATAAACTCTCTTTTTATTGGACTAGTAGCAGCTTTTAGTTGATATTTTTTTACAGAAATAGATGAAAATATTCTAGTTAATTGTATCATATATGCATTAACGATTGGATTATAAAAGAAAATCTAGCACTATTATCACCTCAGTGAATGCCTCCGTAACAAAATGCTGTGAGCCAAGTATTGATACAGTAAATTATTTTCGAAAATTGAAGTAGTTGTGGGCTAAAACAAAAATAAAAGAACAAATGTATATATAGCTACAGTGAAACTTGTTTTTGTAGCACTAGAATAACAACTGAATATTTTTGCTCAAATTAAATCTTTACAAAAAAGCACGTATGTGAGTTATGCAATTATAATTCGCAATAATAATAAATGATAGCAAAAAGAAAAAACAGATTTTTCATGCTACGGAAAGGCTGAGGTACAAGGGTGCTAATAAATGAGTTATCATTAGGCTGTCAGGCTATAAGCAAATATGAAAATGAGTACAGAGTAAATAATGCTAAGTGAAGGAAGTATAAAATTGGACAAGTAACCAAAATTACAAAGATTCTATTTTCGGGAATTTTATTTATAGATTCGTGATAATGAAAACAGAGAAAAAAATAAATAAATTAAAATTAAAAAAAACGATAACATTATAGTAAACATTAACTATTGTTAGGATTGAGATATGATTAAAAAAAAAAAGGAATGTGTGTGTTATTCAAATGTTGTAATTTGATTCTAATGAAAATAAGTAAAAACAAAAAAATAATAATAATAAAAAAAATCAGCAATTATAAATAAATGTCAAAAATAATCACGCTGAACTAATTTATAATTTGCAAAAGTGGTATAGATGATAAAAGAGGAATTTGATTTATCAAAAGTATTAAGCGATTGTTGAAAGAATTAATGAAAAACTGAGAGTTGAATTAAGATAGATTCTATAATTAAACGAACAAAGATAAAATGATTAAAAGTACACCTTATTAACAAATGAAAAAAAAAAGCAGAATCTCTGTCATCCAATATATCTAAAAGTAATAAGACTTAGATATTTAAAAAGTTGCAGTTTTACGTGCACTACCAAAAGACATAAGAATACGCAATCGTATTTTTATATTGTTTTTATTAACCTCACAGCACCTGAATGCCTAATAATCAAGTTTTTCTTTTTGAAAATTATATATTTGAACTTTTAATAAGGGCTCAACTGACTTAATTTGAAGAACATATTAACTAATATTCTACCATTGCGTTTATACATACACATATATAATTTTTAGATTCGCAAGTATGGAATCGTTATCTATTAGGTGCCATCGTGAATCGCAATTCACTGAAAGACTGAAATACATATTTATAATAGAACATTTATCCTAAAGATTTACACTAAAAAATAATAAGAAAAAAAAAACATACAAGTTCTTATATACAATTGTTGAATACTTGAGCAAACTGAACAAATAAACAGCTGTTCATTTAATGATTGATGTGTATCATTAATTATGGACACTTGTTAAATAATCTTGGCACTGAGATAAAAAATTACTTTCAAAATAGTTCAAATAATTATTTCTTTATATTTATAACAATAATTACTCCGCAGTTTTTGAATTGTAATTTTTTTCCAGTGTATAATAACATTCCTCTAACATTTAAGTTAATTTAAATAGATACGTAATTAAAGATAATTTTTTCTCGAAGTAAATACAGAAATACAAATATTTCTCATAGCTCTGAAATCCCGGATATTAATCACAAATAATAAGCTTCTGAACCTGCAGTTATAATATACCACTAGTACAATGTTGTGCCAATATATCATTAACAGAAAAATGGCTAAAATTTATCCAAGTAATAGAGATTATTAGAAATAGTAGCTCATTTGCTTAAATTCTACATGTACATGGAAGATTCATCGTATCTTTAATTATGTTCTTTATATATAATACGTAATATATTATAATAATAATAAGTAGAACTTTTACTGCTTCCGAATTGTCTTGATCATTTGTGGAACTCCATTTTTAGCCACTAAATAAAATGAATGAAATTTAAGACAGTTGGGCTCTTTAAAATGAAATAGTTTAATTATATCCGACAAATAATGAAACTGCCAATTATATATTTTATTTTTATTTTCAGTAATTTTTTTTTGTTTATTATCTGTTCAATACTGTAAAGTTGAACTATACTCTATGTGTTATCGTCATAAAAAAAATTTGACTTTAGCGAATATAAATTCAAAAAAATATTTGCTATATGAAATACGTAATTTTATCTCGTTACTTTCTGTTTAAAGTAAAAATATGATAAAAAATCTATAAAAATGATAAAATCATCAAACTTTAGATATTTTTTGGGCTTTATGTTATTAGATTGAATTTTAATCGTATATATTTCGACTAAATATAACAAAAAAAAATATATAATGGTTTGAAAAAAGGATAGACACATGTTATTATTTAATTATATTAAAAATAACAGAGTTGTTTGAAAATAAGAATGATCATAAAAATTAAAGATCTCGTTATGTGCTAATTTGAATTTATGTAAATAATAGAAATTTTTTTCACGCGTTTATTTATTTATTGCAATCGTATATTCACATACACTCTATAATTATTGTTAGTATAGACATATTTTAATTCCGTACTATATATTTATATTTATAAATATTGTGAACGCTCTTTTTTCAAACCATCACTAAAAACACCAGCGAAAGTACAATTTTTCTTACAACGTTATTATTATTACAATTTAATTTATAATTTTTTGAATTAATTGATGAAACAGATTTCATATTAGTAACAATTATTAAATGATGAGAGAATATTTTATTCTCTTCCAAGTTCATGAACTATGATCCGTACAATCAATATTTTTTTTTTTCACTTTCAATCTCAATTCATCCTGTTAATTAACAATGATATTAATTTTTTTTTTTCTATTGCAATTGAATATAGAAATGATTTTTTAAAATAAAGGTACCAATTACAGTTAAATAAAGAGAAATTTTTGACGTATAAACTGTAAATAAATATTTCGGAATAAGTAAAAAAGAAAATACAAAAAAAAAATACCTGAAAAAATTTCATAATACATAATTACTAAATTTTAGGTCAATGATAGAATAATCATTTATCTTGATGAAATTATTTTCTGTAGATATTTGATTTACTTGGCTCCTATTATTTATTGGCTAATATTAATTAATTGTCAATACCTTTATTAGGTAAAAGTTACTAATTGAGTTTTATCTTATTGTATAATATCCTGTATATAATGATGTAAATGTTTGTGAACAATAATGTGAGTTATGATGAACACTTGTAATTTCTTATCAACTATATAAATAGGTGGATGGGTGATTTATTTGATTTCTTGTAAATTACTTGAGTAAAAGAAAAATAGATATTATACATTTCTTTTTCCCACATATTTGAATGTTATATCAAATTAAAAAATTTCGAAGCAACAAGTGATTATTTAAATTTATGGGAAAAATCAATTGAACTTGATTTAATTTATTTCATTAAAAAACAATATATAATAATGTTGAAATTTCATGTATATTGACAAGTAAAGGAAATTATTAAATAGACATTTTTATAAAATATCTGATAATAATGAATTAGTTACTCAATCCCAAGTGAAAAATTTTTAATGAATCAAAATGCACTGTTATCAATTGTTAATCAATTATTTATTTTAATATTTTTTTACTAAGCTCCAGTTTTTTATCAAATTTTTAATATATCAACATCACAATAGTACCATAATTTCTCCTGATTCATATACAAATTTGTCATTTGGGATTAAATATTTCAGTTATCAAGTTTTTGGAAATAGTTACCGTTATCTTATCATCAGATTATTAAACTTTTTGTATCAATTTCATTTATATTAAGCACAAAAAAATTATACATACACTTGTATGCATACCTCCTCATGATTGATTTACGATGATCCATGCAATAAACAATATTGAATAATAAATGACATTTTATAATATTCTATTTTAGTTATATCATTGATATTTCATGTTTTCAGACTTATTTATAATAATTTTTATAATAAAATTCCACGTTCGGAATTGAAAGTATCGAATATTTTATTTTATGTCGATACGAAAAACTTTTAAATTGGAAAAAAGAACAGATTTTCGTGAAAATATTTTCGTATGTACGTGTTTATTATTAAATTACATGTTGTGTACACAGATTATTGTGTTTTAATAAAGTACAATGATTTGTTTGTGTACTTATACAGAATTATTAATTAAATACAATAACATTATGAATAGTAGATGTATCTCATAATTAATTAATCTCAACAAATTCAATTAAATATATATTTCTAAGTATTTATATATATATATTTAATTATTTTGTTTATTTTTCTATTTATAAATATATGGCGGATTTCTCATGAAGTAAGTTTTATTATAATGTTAAATTTTTTTTGCATAAATCTTATTTTTGGCAAAATATTTCCTTATTTTACTACAAGAAATTGTATACAATTATTTGTATTTATGTGTTTTCTCATTTCTTCTATATCTCATTGTTTTTTCAATTTTTTATAAAAATAAAATAGTTTTTATAAATTCGAGGGACGATCATAATAGGTTAGTGCGTTTATGTATTAATTTATCTGACAATGATGGAAATAAAACAGGGCTATTGTTATAAATAAAATATATACCGATCGACCCAAATTTAGCTATTGCATATTCAAAAAGAGCTTTGACATTATTTATGATTCATTTTGTATAACTGACTGATTAAGTGCATTTTTTGTATTGATGATTTTTACTATTATTCTTATTGTTCTCGATATCTAGGTAATAATGAAATAATTATCAATATCTTAATAAATTATTTAAGTATATAACGCGGGTTTCGAGAACGAAAAAAAAAAAATATTTTAATTAAAGTGATGTTGATAAATGGACGCTTTTATTGTGGAAACTAGGTTGTTGATGAAAAGTTAGTTTAGATATCCTGCCTCGTTTCCTGTACTAAGTAAACTTGGGATCCGGGGACTGTAGAAGTGGTGACAAAGCTACGGTGTTTTGCACGGATCAATGTAAGATTACTTTCAGCAGTGTCAGCACGATCTTCAGCAGCTTCAAGTTCTCTTTGGAATCGTCGAACTCGGGTCACACTTTGTTGAGACATGCCCTCTTGTTCTTGAAGCTGTCTTTTATAAATATTGACCTTCTGAGTAGCTTTGTCAAGAGACTCTTGCAATAAAGCAATATTTTTCGAGTCTTCTTCAACCTGGATCATTACTTCTTTGATACTTCTTTCCTTCTTACGCAAAATTTTCACGGTTTCAGCATGTCGACGTTTCTCTTCGTCAAGTTCCAGTTCCAAATCACGAATCTGTAATCAACAAAAACCGCAGGTTTATTAAAGTATTAAATTTCAGGATAGTAACAAGTTTATAAGAAGTAATTTAATAAATTTTATCTTACTCGAGCTTCAAGTTTGCTAATGATACGTTTTCCACCAACGATGGCATTGGCTTCAACTTCTTCAAGACGAACAGACAAATTCTTAACTTCAATTTCCAAAGATTTCTTGATAGATTCAATCTTGACAATACGTTCTTGTTCTTCATGAAGAATTTCCACAGTATGCTTGAGTTCGTTTTGTACACGTTGATATCTTTCATCGCTAACTCTGAGTTCCTTGGTAACTTCTTCATAATCACCAGCAAGTGTAGCCAATTCTTGTTCAACTTTAGCCTTAGATGAAGCTATATTGACATTAATCGTAGTGAGTTCGTTGATACGGCTAACCGACTCTTCATACTGTTGCTCGACATTTCTCTTAGCACGGAGTGCCTGTGTGATTGATAAAATACTCAGTTATTTATTACAATTTAAAAACATACTTTTTCTATTAGAAAAAAATGATTATTAATCAATAACTTACGGATTCATAGTTGCCACGAACTTCTTCGAGTTCAGCAGTCAAGGATTGAAGTCGGCGTTGGCTAATACCCAATTGATCCAAGGTAACTTGCAGTTGACGTTGAACTTCATCATAATGAGCTTGTAATTCCTATTATCATATTCAATTAAATTTAACATCAAGTATTTATATTATTAGCATCCTAAATTAGCAATCCTAATCTATTATTACACATCTACTTACAGTCAGAGTGAGCGATTGTTTTTTGATGGTCTTTTGTAAATCAAGATTATTCTTATTGGCAACGTCCAAAGAGAGTTCAAGCTCTGTGATTTGAATTTGTAGCTTCTTCTTGATACGTTGAACTTCCGTCTTTAATTTTGTTTCAGCTTCTACGACGCGGGCGTTCAGTTGCTCAATTTCGATGCTTGTCTGCTTGCTATTTAAATTTAAACATTTATTTAATGATATGTTTGAAAATAAATAGAGCAAAAATAATAACTTTAAATTAACAACAATGACTATATAATACTTCAATATTCTATATTATTATATATAAAACCTCAATATTAATTCGTTTTAAAAACTATTTACAACATCATCATCATCACTATTAATATCATCATACATATAATACTGTTATTAACAAAATACCTTTTATCAGCAAAATAATTGCTAGATCGTATTTCGAGTTCTTTTAATTCATGACTAATATCATCTAAAGGTTCAACAAGTCTACGTTCTTCTTCTTGCACAATTTTAGCTCTATCCTCCATCAATCTTTGATGATCCCTTTCATCCCACATCGACTGCATCATTTCTCTTTGATACTTTCTAATATCCGCCAACTCGGTACTCTCAGATAAATTTTTTGCAGTCTCGGCTCTAAGCTCGAATTCAATAGCTCTAGCAGATTTACCTCTTAAACTACGACCATGTTCTAACGCTTGTTTAACGTGCTTCATTTTTTCATTATTTCTGATGGACTGAACCATAAGATCAGCCATTGTCACTTCTTCGGGGAGAGGACGCTCTTTTAATTTAGATTTCGACTCGTCAATATTTGAAGGTAGGATCTCTTTAGTAACGTGGGTTGCTTCGACAGCCTTTTTTAAACTGAAGTCTGATCGTTTTGCTATCTTAAAAATAATATTTAATAAGATATTGATTTATCACTGAATAATTTGCAAATTAATTTATGATGTAAAATTAAAAAGAAAGAACTTTCGTTTGGAAATTCTGCACTAGTGGTTTAAACACTGACCACGCGTATACTAATAGAGCACTTGAGGATAGCTGGCCTCTTCCCGGGTACCCCGAATTAGATATCAAAAAGGTCAGCCGTCGCCAAGTTGCCCGCACCAATCATCATCGAATTTTGTCTAGTATCCTATTCTCATTTGTTTTCTCCCACTTTACCTTCTGATTTTTTGAATTTATTTATCATTGTTTATTATTTTTAACATACCTTAAAATTTGAAATATGCTCTTTAGCATTATTTTCAGCTTCAATTGCATGTTGAATTAATTCGTCATCAGTGTACGGCACTATTCTTCGTTTTTCCCAAATTAATCTACCATCAGCCCATGGTAATTCAGGATATTGAGGATTACTCACAATTCTTCTACTTTTTTGATCAATATAATCAATCATCGGTTGATAATAATTTATTCCATAGTGATAATTTTGATTATAAACTGTTGTTGGATTATGTTTCCATTTGGATTCCAATGGCATTTGTGATAGAGGAACGTCTCCAGACATTTCGAATATTAAAACAACTATCCAATTTTTTAAATTAAACTAAATTTATTATATCAACTAATTATCATGAAAATGCACTCAAATTTTTAATCACAAATGAAAATTATCACAGCCTGACACCCCGAGAATAACGCGAGAAATCAATCAGTCGAATATAATTGATGCTTAATCATCGGCTGTCGAATCTTTTGTAGCTTTTTCTCAGGTTGCCCCATCAACTAATTGTAATGAGAACGACCAATCAGCAGTGCTAATAAGTAGATCGAACTTGTGGATTGTATTATTATTAGAGACGAATCGGTGTACTAGATATGCGAGGTGTCGAAGATTGGTGAGGGAAACTGTCGAAAATCACCGATGAGTGTCGATTGATTAATCAACTTCGACAAAGTTCGTACCAGAAGCTTCATCAAACGCTCATTTCATTATTACACCTTCAATTTAGTAAATTTATCGAATATTAATTTATGTTTAATCCTGTGGTTACATGATGACCCTGAATTTATTTTAAATGCATCAATCATATGAAGAAATTGATGATAGACATATGAGTAACTGGTAGGGTATACTGATGATTGCAGTTTCGAAATGTAATTAATTGCATCATTTTGATTACTGTCAGTTGTATATGATGATAATAATTATAATGATGATGGTAATTGAATTGAATTCAATAATTCAACAGTTTTATAAATTGTGGAAAATAATATAACTTACCGAATAGATTCGATCTCTTCATCCTTCTCAGCAAGACGACGTTCCGTCTCATGTCGAAGTTGACTCAACTCGGCAGATAATCTTTGAGATCGTTGCTCTTCAACTTTACGTCCCTAAAAAAATAAATATAACAACATTAAAAAATATATCATGGCATAATATTTTTAAATTTGATTAATATTTAATTACAGCTTCAGCTTCTTTGTAAGCAGCTGCTAATTCTTCACGTTCATTCTCCAAACGACGAAGTTCTAATTCTAACTCATGAAGTCTACGGTTCATGTCAGCCAATTGGTTCTTAGCTTCATTCAAGTCATCTGCAATAATAAATATTTATTTAAATATTTTTTCATTTTTATCAATCAAGTTGTTACTTTATTAAGTCTAAATGAAAAATTAATCTCTTAAGAGTGTTTTAAAATTTAATATTTTAATAATATAAATTGGTATCAGTAGCTGAATTTTTGAGACAGTAAGAATTTCATTTATCATAGGATAAACGTTGAAAAATGATTCAATTTACCTCCAAGTTTCTTATTTTCACGTGCAAGCTGTTCTTTCAAGTCACGAGTCTTCTCCAGTTCAGCATTACATCTCATAAGTTCTTGTTGTTTATTACGAAGATCACGTTGGCTTTGTTCATACATAGCAATTGTTTCATCTAATCGTGATTTTAATTCAATATTAACCTTCTCAAGGTGCTCTACACGTTTTTGTAGCTCCCGAGCAGTTCCATTAGCTTTTTCAAGATCAATGATGAGTACTTCCACTTCTGATTGAAGGCGGGATTTTTGTTTTTCAAGATTATTGATCTTGACAAGAAGAGTTTCAATCTGCTCTTCCTGCTCTTGGATGCGAGCAGTGAATTTACGACGAAGCTCTTCAACTTCCTCAACACGAGCATTAGCTTCGGTTTCATACTTGGATCTCCATATAGAAACTTCGCCACTGGCCTTGACCAGCTGACGCTCGAGATCCAAGCGAGCTTCAGACTCCTCTTCAAGTTGAACACGTACAGATTCGAGTTCATTTTCAACTTGATGTAATGAAGATTCGATTAAAGACCTGCGACGATCTTCATCCTCGAGACGACGACGAGCATCTTCTAATTGACTTGCAAGTTGAGTTTTAGTGTAAACGATACTTTCCATGTTTACTTTCAGATCTTGAATTTCCTTCGTTAATTCAATATTCTCTTGAGAAAGTCGGGTCTTGTGGCTAGTAATATCAACGATAGTACGATTAAGTTCTTCAATCTTGACATTGAGTTCAGAAACATGAATCTCAAGCTTCTCAACTGTTTTGATTGATAAAACCTTTTCCTTTGTTACACTGTCTAGCTGGGCCAACAGTTCATATACCTCTTGTTGGAATTTTGCTTTTTCTTTATCCGCCCTAAAAAAAATTATTTTAGAAATTATTTATCATAGCTATTATCATCAAATAAAATTAATTATTTTTCTGAAACAAGAAATTGAATCTCCAGTTTTATTGAAATATAATTGTCTTGGAGAAATAGTTTTTTTTTTCAAGAATATTGTAAGAGATAAACCTGTAGTCATTATTTTTAACAGGAAAGAAGTCAGATCTTTCATCTCGTCTTTGATCTCATTGAAATGGATATTATGTAATTGATGTTCTACTGTTAAAATCAGTGACAGAGATTTTATGAAGCACATAATACGTAGATATGTCTGAATATACATTATTTTAAAATATTTGTTGTTGGAGTATATCCACCCACACTATTATAAAATATCGTATATTATAAAGGTGTCGTCCGGTTAGTTTTATAACATAGTGGGGATATTCAGGCTGGTTCCGTGTACTAATATGGCGCGCCAACAGTGGGGTTGAGCATTGCTTTGCAGACTCGTACAGTGTTAAAAATAGTTATAAGCCAAGTAACTTGGTATACGATGCAAAGGGATGGCAGTAAAGAGCAATGAAAGAGAGTGAGCATGTGGAAAGCGTCAACACATCAAACGCGACATAATTTTCGAAAAACTATATTTTTTTTTAGACCATTTTCCCTTTCTCTTCTTGCTCTTGTTTCGACATAGAACTTTTCTATTTTCTATTCTAATGAATACAAGAGAAATGTCATCTCATTCAGACATGTTTTTTTTTTCTTTTTTCTAAAGTTGATAATTATTTTTTAACAGAATTATGAAATGTAGGAACAAAAAATATGACATCTTGGACTATGTTTAGAGATAAGTTTTTGGCACATCAGTCCATTTCTGTATTTCAGGTACATATGAGTTATTTCCCCTACTCATTCTTTCTCCACTCAACAGATTAAGTACTTGGATAGCTGCCAGTTCCGCAAGCATAATCATCTCGAAAAAATTTTTTTTATATTTTGTTTTTTAACGAATATGCTATAATTATGTGACAAATCATATCTACACTCTGGAGATTCATTTCAATAAATAGCTCACAAGTATGTATACTATATCAAACTGACCTGGCACGAGCTTTTGAGAGTTGATCAATTTGATCCTGAAAATCAACGACAATTTCTTGATGCTTTTTACGAAGATGGTGTGCTGTCTCTTCACTTTCAAGATGTACATCTTCAAGTAATTTACGTAGTTTCAACAATTCCGTATCTCGTTTCTTGTTGATCTCAAACTAAACATTTTAAATGTTATTTTAAGAATTTTATCATCAGAGTTTTAACTATTCAATTGTATTACTTTAAAATCTAAATTTACCTGTGACTCAGCACCACCCTCAGCTTCTTCTAGACGTTCTGACAATTGAATCACTTGGACGCTGAGATCAGCACGTTCTCGTTCAATCTGGAAAACATTAATAATTGATTGTTCAAATAAACACAAACAATGGGCTTGATTTTTTAATTTTAGATCAGTATATTCTATTTTTGTGACTTCTAAACCCCTCTAATTTCAGACTACTGTTTCTATAAGTGGATCTTTCTTCATATTACAGATGAGACATTTACTTCACAAATAGTCTGATGATTAACATGTTATTATAACTGTAAATATTCAGCTTTTGTCAAATTTTCAACTATTTGTTTTTGACACAAAATATATATTTTTTTTATAAATTTATTCCAAGGCTAATTTTTCGAGGTTGTAAATTTTTTATGCATTCCAATCTTAGAGAGATAAATAGTGTAAGACGGTGGAATGTAAGGACTCAAAGAGCTTGCTGAAAAGTTTCATTTGAGGTAGCCTAAAAATAGAGACGACGTATTAGCTGGATTTTTCGACCTAATCGTGTTATCCCCACTCAATTATTTGTTTCTAATTCTTCTTCTTTTATTCATTCAAATACTCGTTTTTTATTTCCTGAATATTTACTATTAATTATATTGTTATTTAATTTTTTTTCTTTCCTTAATATATTTAAATACCAAATAAAATTGAAGCTTTTAATAATGAAAAAAAAAAAAACAAAACATGATGAAACTTACCCTTTGACGTAATTCTCTCTCAGATTCAAGATCTTCTTGAAGAAGACGAATCTTGTCCTGAAATAAAAACGAAAGAAAATCGATTTTCAATCATGTATTGAAACAGAAAGAAGTAATTTTTGTTCGGATAAACTTAGATTTGTAGATCTGGGCTTTTACGTAATCGACGTAATGACGAAAATATCTTTGTTACAAGTCACTTTATAGTTAGACGTGAAGCTAAAAATTCGTCATTTAATATATCCTCAACACCATCATAGAAAAAGAGTTTTTCTTAACAGTTTATTTATCTCAAACTATAAATAATTAATAAATCACATAAAATAATTTTTTCACGGTTTTGTAGCTGGTGATATCAATGAAAATAAAAAGATGACTTGGTAAAGACATGTCTAGTTAACAATTATAATTATTCACTTTGGCTTCTCAAATATGGTTGGCACTACTATCCATCATGGTCACTGAACTCTAAATGGTCACTTTTGTTTTATTTATTATTTAGCATAAATATTCATTACTTGATGATTCGCGAGAGATGAACATTCATAAACACTTATCTTCATATTTCGAGCACTTGTGAACTTTTTATCATCACCACTTAGCGAGTGTTAGATGGTGGTTTAGTTAGAAGATAAGGATTAAGATGATGGATATAAAAATGGGTTACTTTGGAAGAAATATTATTGAATAAAGTTTAAAAATGAAAACAAACCTCAAGTCTAGAGAGAGCACTAAGATCAGCGCTGTATTCGATGCTCACATCAGCTGTACCACCTCCAGAGCTACGATAAGTGTACTTGGAAGTTTTTGCTATTGCCGAAGACATTTTGAGTTGATTAGCTTGTTTCTTCGTTCGGTTAAATAAGCCGTAACTCGTTTATTCTCAGAGGTATACCTGCCTCTGTCGACGCTTTCCGTGCACGCTATATAAATTAATTAAATAAATAATTAATAAACAAGTTTGAAGTTTGATAAACAATGATTAATAGCTTATATGAGGCGTTTAAATCCAAATGATTTCGAGCACAAAGCTGACAAATTAGACACCGTTAAAGGATAAGTGATGCTGGTAGATGGTCGTGATAATATCTGCCAACGAGTCGTATCTTTCACTCTGTGGGTTTCGGAGTCGACCAGCGCCCTACTCGTAGTGCACGTATCGTCGTCGTTCGTATGCTGTGTCTGCCATTTCATGACCCCTTCATAATGATCAACCACGCAAGCGCACTAGATCCCACGTTTCTTTACCGCCACCTCCACCAGAATATACCCTGATCGTCGACGCAAAATCCAGACACTTTCAGAAGTGTTTTATTTCTTTATAACATCATTTACTGCAACGAACTAACTCTTGGATTTCCAAAAACATTATGCCAATATTGTGTAATCATTGCTGACACTGCTGTTGAGAAATTGGAGGTGGATTTTCCATTGTCTCCTTACTATATTTGACACATTTGGCTTTTGCTTGCATATCCCATCAATTAATGTGTGACATTTTCCTCTAACATAGCCTTATTATACCGTCACCGTGTCTAATTTATTTCCTAGTAATTCATCATGTTTTCATTTATTTTAATCTAACTGTCTTGTTGGTGAATTAAAATACCATTTTATTTTTTCTGGTAAATCAAGGTGCTTTTTTCAGCCTACTTAAGTTAATTCTAGAAAATGATGAAAAATTATTATGATATTTTTCATGCTCTTGAATGTATTTTACCCTACTACTATTGAGTGTCTATAAAAGGTTGCCAGAGAGTGGTGGGCCAGAGATTCTTGACGGCCTAGCTAAAGCTCGCTGCGTAATTTGAGATTAGCCTCCTCTGATTCTTCTCCTCTTCATCATCATCATCGTTCATGTCGTTTTCTTCCGCACGAAACTTGGTTGTAGTTTGCACTCCTGTATATATAACAACCACTAGCTCGCTCTGCTGTTGAATTCCAAACAGCATTTGGTACAAGAATAACTCAGGACATCTCTGTTTTGTAGATCTTAAAAAGTTTGACTATACAGCTCAAACTGGTTGAGCTTGGGCTATGGCATTGCATCTTTCAATTTTAGTTTTTAAATTAAAACTTTCATCTGATCATCTCTTTTCTTTCTTTCTTTACTTCCCTCTAGCATCTATTTTTAATACATCTCTGTTGTGTATTTTTGGCTACCTCATAGAGAATTATTTGATTCATTAATTTCACTTTATTCGTTAAACATACAGTGAAATAAGGATTTTATGGATCCATGATAATTATATCGAGTGTCTGGAATGGTATTTGAAGGAATAGGAGATAAATAAATAATATAATAGCAGTTAAGTGTATATTTTTAATTTAAAAAGTTAAAAAAGATAGGTAAATTAGCTCCGGCATGTTTCTTATTGAAGACATGCTGTCCTAATTCTCTAAATATACCACTATTTGACTTCTTAGCAGTAGACTTTTTGTTCCAAGGTACTTGAAGAATCATTTAAAATCACGGTCGAATGTTTATAAACAGTTCAATAAAATAATGCTCTTAAAAGTTTTTTGGATATTTATTTTTATGATAAAACATATTTATGGAATGTGAAATATTCAAAATAAAAGGATAAATCAAACTTATTAGTATGAGTCAACATCTAAAATAGTTGTAAAACTTGACACGGAATGTTAAGATGATTACTTGGAATATAATAATGTCTTAGAGGCAGCAGAGTAATTCTATTTTGATTCGTTATATGAGATGTTGGGAAATATGTCTTACAGGTATTATTCATAATAATATTCGTAATGTCGTTGACTCAATAATATCATTTTAAATCAAAGTATTCATTGTATTTACCAAGTACTGTGTGAAAAGAGAACATACAGAAGCACCAACTGTTGCTTATTGATATTTTTATTGCATACCACCGGATATTTATACGAACGTTGGATCTATAAAAAGATGAAAAATATTTTGACTTCAATTTCATAGTTTTAAACAATTAAACTCCATTTTTCTTTCATTTGTTAAAATTTCATATATTTTTTATTAAAATGTTTTGATAAAAACATGAAAAAAATAATAAATAATTCCATGCTTCTTTGATAAAAAAAATTTTATAAAATTTGACTAAAGAATAAATATTTGATGGAAACACAATGGTTATATTTTAAATGATATTTTATAAAAACCTTTTCTATAAATTTATAAATAATAGGCAGATGACATTTTAAAAAATTGGATATTTTTCAAGAATTAAAAGCAAACGATTCCAATTTATTTTCAGTTGAAGTAAATATAAATATATGTAACACTAGTGTATTGATGAAAATTTTCAAAAAACTGGCGCTATCTCATGAAAAGCTCTTGAATTTCAGCGCCGCGCATTATGTCTGACTGTTTAAGTATATTACTACTGCGGTAAGTTGAAACAGTCGTTCATTCAGAAATCATACTTATCATTAGTCTTCCCTTGCAGCTGCACTTCTTGAGCTAATGACGACAACTTGAAAAGCTCTCATTCATTATATCTTTATTTCTTTACTTAGCTGATACAACAGTCACGTTTTAGTCCTATTAAAACATTTATTCTCTGATTAATTTTTCAACTAAACATTTGCAAGCTTTCTCAGAATAATAATGATTAACTTTACATTCTCAAACAATTATTTATCAATTAAAAAAAAAATATTCCATTAATCTATAAACAATCTTTATAATTAAATTAAATTTATAAAGTTTCAAAAATATTATTTGTTTAAATGGATACAAAGGTTCAGGTGTAATATTAAATGTTACTATACTGACGTTGATATTAATTATAAAGATGTTAAAATCATTCCCAACGAGTATGTGCATTTAGTGAAATTGAAGAAATGTCTTGAGAGATGAAAGTAAAAAATCTGGAGGGGATATAAGAAAGAGATTAAAGCTATTCTTAAAATAGGGCTGGTGGAAACAAACAGGCTAATGTGTGAGTGAAGAAGACAACATTACACGTATAAATGTAAGAAAAAGAGATGAAAAGAGAAGTGAGAATGAAATAGATAAAGAGAGGGCAGAGCTTTAGCGTATCTTGCAGACGCCGGGTTCTTTAGGCTTTGAGCTTTGTTTCAAACGGTATTTCATGGTCTTACATACTTCTTTGTAGTAATCTTTCGTTTTCGGAAATGTTTAAACAAATTGATATTTGATGTGAATTTACTTAAGACTTCATGTGGAAATTATATTTGATGAATATTTCTAAATCGATGTGTGAACTCTGGAGTTGATGAAAAATAGTGTTCTAATTTTTTTTTAAATTTAAAATGTCATCGTTTAGAAATTATGTAAGTTATTAGTGATAATGGATAATTAAAATTAAATTATGATATCATGTTGATAAAGTTAAATATTTATTTAATCTATTTTTGATAAAATAATTATTACTAATAGTATTAGTTGGGATGATATAAAATTTGAAAATGTAATATCCTATTAAGATAATATTTCGTATAAACAATTCGTTAATTATTTCGGATGAATACTTTGTAACATATCCCCAAAGTTGATTCCTCTGAAAGTCGGTGTAGTGGCTAATTGATCCTTTTGCTATAGCTTTGAAAGGCCACAGGGGTCACTTCAATTGGAGGATTACGCGAGATATAACATGGCTTTCGACGCTAGAGAGAAGAAAAGTTATATACGATATGCAAATGAATAGATTAATTCTGCCATCCGGTATCACCACACTGTGTTGCAGTTTTAAGACCAGTAAATGGTTTACAGAAAATTACTAGAATATTTAGTCACTTCCCCGACTCAAAATCAAGTTACAAAAATTCATGATAAATTTACAACTTCTCATTTAATATTACTGCATTAAACAGTGCATGCTAATAAGCTTCACAAGCTATTCTTAACTGTTGTTTATATTTCTATTTATATTTTTAAAAATTTATACTTGAGATTTAATCAAGTTAATTAATTTATTTTTAATTAATTAAATTATTTGCTAACATCTTCGTTCTCGATACATTTATATAAGAAGAGGAAGAAGTTAGAATATAGAACGAATACAGACAGTATATAAGATCGTCCAAATAGCAAAATTAGCTGGGCTTTTCCAAGTCATCGTCTGGTTGTCTCGTTTAAAGCAAACCTTTCAATTTAATCATCGATTGTTATATTTATATTGTGCTAGATATTTCCTCGTTAAAATATAACCAAGATTATGAGAAAGAATATTTATTTAAGACTCCATAATTGGTTTTAAAATAATTATTCTTTCTTTGATTGATGAAAAAAATACCTTGCATTTGATTTTTCTACATAAAAATGATAACAGCTAGGAATAAAATCGATTTCATCTTGAAGAAATGTTTTTCTTTCGAGATATCAAAGAAAATATTTATGAAAATATATATTTATCTTCATTTCTCTGTATAAAACCTTGTTGCCTAAGAAAAATGCAAATATCTTGAGCGTTTCTCGAAGCGAACGAAGATGTGACATTGGTTGCAAAAGGTTTCATTGAAGCAGCAATTGAGGGGATATAACAAGATAAGGAAGAAGAGGATGTCAGAAATATCTTTTGATTAACTTGAACCTCGATGGTATAAAGTTTATTTTAAATATAATTTATATTCATATTTTCATTATTACCATCATTATCATTGCTCTTAAGTTTTAACGAATGCCGAGGAAAAAAGAAAAATAAATTTATCTTGATTGAATTTCCACACATATTTATTTCATATTTTTTCATTGTAGAAATAATTAAAATAATTTTATTCCCCTCAAATTAATAATAAAAAAAAAACATTGCATATCCATTAGAGTTTATTTAATACAAACTGCACAACAATACATCCACTCAATATCATAAAATTGTTATCATTATTATTGGAAATTTATCCACCACATTAACGATTTACAATGATACCATCAAACGCGACAAAAAAAACTCCTGTCACGTAGAGCTGTTAATTTAATTTTTTATTTCACTAAAATGATCATAGTTGGAGTTAATTGATTATCAGAAGCTTTTTTATTTTAATAATAAAAAAAAATTAAAGCTCATTTATATAACCTGTGATTGTTATTTAATAAAATATTTACAAATTAAAAATTGCTGCAGAGAATATCTTGCAGAAAATGGTAGTCTCCATGAAGTAATGTCTTAATTAGTATCACTGAATCTTCTTCACAGCCACAAACAGTACGTCTACCCTAACGAAAATATCTGTTTCTTGAGCGTAGTAGAAAATAAGGTTGAGGGAAATTGGTATACGTGGTGAAGCAAATGTGGCTTGGAGCCGTCGACGAAGGAACCATCATCTCCGCAATGCCTGGCTAGAAACCACTGTTAGACTTGCGGCGACGAATGCAGTGCTTTAACCTTCCTCGTCTGCTGTATATATATATATTCTTTAGTCTATATAACATGTATACATAATATATAGAGGTTCTTTCTTATCGTTGTATCGATCGATGCGGCTAGCGAGAATTATCTCGTGGGGATAAAAAAAAATATCATAATAATTTAACTAATAACATCGTTTAATGTCATTTATAATGGCTTTCTCGAACGATTGTGTTCATCTAGAAGTTTTACGAGCTGTAGAATCTCAAATTTCCTATAGTGTTGCAGTATTTTATTTTTACTCTTAATGCGCGTCTCTCTGCATTTTCTATATATGCTTTTCAGTTTATGAGAATTGTTTTTACGATCCAGTGACTGATGTTTAAAAATCTATTTTTAAAAGTTCCATCAATCCGGCTATTCGTTCTCGTTTCAATGATGACATTCATATCTGGAGGTTAAAAAAATCAAATAAAACAAAAGACATGACAGACAGTGAAGGAAGTAAATCTGTATTTGAAATTGATTATTATTTTACGTAAATGTATCAAGAATTCTTTTTTTTTTGTTTACTTGTTGTTGGCACAAGCATGGAAGATTTTAACTTGGTAACATTTAAACAGTTTTAGTATATATTACAGAGAAACACTCAAGTAACAAGCAAAATAACAAATGACCGATACGGAAAGTTGCATGAAGTTGGCAAGAAGATTTTGGAGTTCTCGTGTAGCATGCATTAGTTTCCTTTAGTTGCGCTACTTATTTACTTGACTGGATCAATGTAGTGAATACCGCACGATAAATGTCTTGCTACGAATTATATTATTTTAATCATTTTACTGTTTGATAAATTACATCGATAAGCTAAAAGTAAAATTAAATTGCATTAAAAGTATTTCAATTTAATCCCAAATCTTTTTTTATTTAAAACAATTTTGTTTGTTATTTAATTCAATTATTTATTAAACTAAAAAAAAAAAGTTAAAAAATGTATACATAAGAAAAGCTGTAGGTATTGTTTAAATTATTGTTGTCCTAGTGTATGTAGTCATCATGGTTAAATATTAAAGACGGTTCTGTGTAGCATTTATTATTAAAGCTGGATAAAGAGTATTATTCGGTATTTTTCTTTAATTTTTTCTGTAGTTAAGTGAATAAATAATTCACGATGTAACAAAACTCTGTAAGCCAGCTATCAATAATGTTTAAAATTTAATAACCACCTCGATTATTTTTGTAGCAATTTTACTTCATAATTAACCAACCATTTTTCCAAGTAGAATAACTTGTTTTTGTGCCGACATGATAATTATCCTCTGCAATCAATTAATTAACAAAACAAAGGATTAACAATACAAAATAATCAGTGTGTAAACAAACATCATCCTTGTTTTTTAGCTTCTTCAGCTTTTAATTTTCCCAACCATTGTTTGAAATGTCTATATATATACATGAGTGTATCTACAGAGTGAAGCAAGAGAGGACGACGCTTATCGCTTCGAATCGCGTGCCACTACCTCGCGAAAGATATAGAGCAACGACTCGAGGCGAAGGGTTTTCAAGGCACTACTGTCCCAATTCCATTATCGCCACGAATAGCATTACCATAATAACGAGCGCTGCACGGAAACTCAACGCTCAGAGCAAACGAGGCCGGGGATGAAATTGGTAGAGTGGGACGAGGTCTAGAGTTTAGAGTATTCAGCAACGACTCATTCGTGGATAACGGTTTCACGCGCGTGAATCTTTTGTAGAATAGTAAGAACTGTTTAATCAGATGTTACAAGTAGGTTTACCCATCATCCATTTCATCCTTTTTTTCTTTTATCGTGTAATTCATTTTGGAGTAGAACATGAGTATTATTGGTGTGAGCTTGCTGAAGGAATACACGTGTTTGGCACTGGAAATGATGCTGAATGGACTAATAGACATGAATTTGAGTGAATTATTATTTAAATAATCATCATACATTTTTATTGATATTTTTATTCTCACTTACATGCAAGGAATTTCTTTTTAATGGTATCCTGCATAAAAAGAGTTTATGCTCCAAAGATATTTTACAAAATGTATGAAGAATTATTTAGAAAGTAAACAGACTAGTAAATGAATAGTAAACTCAGATATATTTTTCTTTAATTAGTATTTTTAATTTAACATTCAAACAAAAATCTCTGCTAAAAGCATACTTGTTTGTCAAGTTTCACTTAAATTATTAAACAGGATTTATTAAAATTTGTAATCAATTTTTTTTATTGTTAATTATTTTATTTATTGAAGTTTAATAAATATTTAGATGGTATTTTGTAGAGATTTCTGATGATATAATATTGAAATGTGTTTATTATTCATGCTGGAATATTTTTGGAATATAGAATCTTTCTATGCAGGTCATATTTACACATTATTAACACATTTTATAAAGTTTCATATCCACAGATATGTATACATTATTGAAATTTCGATAAAATTACAGTTCTTAAACTCGTAATTCACCCGTTAGAATATAGTACGAAAACACAGAGGCTAATACTCCCTACAGGCGAACTCCGGTCATCTATTTATGACACAGGGCACTGCGCCAAGCTTATGTTAATTGAATCAGATAGACAGTTTTTTGTCATGGCATAATATTCAATAAGTTCCATTTTTATCATTGGAAAAATAACAATAAACCATTATCATATCTATAAAAACTTTTCACTTGCTGATCAAATAAATCAAGAAGATATTTTAATTGGTATATTCATTTGAGTCATCAGTGTTATCAAAGATTGAGTAATTCTATTTGTTTACAGAACGATTTGATTACGTATAGACCTAAAAGCAGCAGTACAAGCGTTAATATTTCATTGCTTCGAAATCATACTGCTGCAGGAACAAGTTCTAACAGTACTGGAGCAGGCTATCGACTCAATTATTCAAATATTGGCTCTAGCAGTCGATCATCAGTGACTTCTGCAGTTAGTAAAGACAGAATCATAACTGGATCCACTTCATCTGTTTACCGAAACTCTTTTTTAAAACGTGATCATAGCAACGAGGATAAGTCGCTTTACAAATATTCCAGTGTGCATTGAAATCATGTTTCTTATTGACATTATTAATTTACATAAATATATTATTCAATCAAGATAATGTAATGGTTGTTTGTATTTTTTTTAGATTTAAAATCAAACAGTAGAAGCCGTTTAAACTTTGGAAAAAGTAATTGTGATGATAGTGTTCAAGGAAAAAGTAGTGAAAAATCGTCACTTGTTGATAAATACTCTTATCCTGAAAGAAAATCAAATGAAAGAGTTTCTTCAGTTCTCAATAAATATGGTAATAGAATTACTTTGGGAGAAAAGAGTAGAGAGCCTGAAATAACAACTAGGTATGGCTTGGACACGAATCGAAGATCAATGTTAAGGGAGAACCATGAGAATGAAACGAAAGTTGAAGAAACGAAGAAAGAGCACACAGATCACTCGGTAGTTTCTTGCAAGCCTTTGCCTACCTCTGAAACAACTCCATCCAGAAGTTCTCGTGAGCCAAGTCCCGAAATTAACAGGACAAAGGCGAGTTCCTGCAAAGTTCATAGTAGAATTTCGGATTATGGAAGGAGTGCAACTCCAAGTAAGGAATCGTAAAATACAAATATATCTGATCAGAGTGTTTTTTTCTTTCTATCTTTTTTATTTGTTTTTGTTTTTTTTTCTCTTTAAATCTATTTTATAAAATTAATTTCGTTGTTTGATCATTGAAGCTGAAATTCCGACAACTTTAAAGTTTACCAACTCCTCTCCACTTGCATCATCCGTCAATAGCGCGACATCACAAAAAACAGAATCATCTTCTGGCCACTTTACATCAGAAAGACTGTCTTCATTCGACACAAAAACTATTGCACTTAATCCTGATGAAAAATGTAACAAGACAACTACTGATGAGGTAAACATCAGTGAGCTAAATTTGGATGTAAAAACGACAGAAATTGAAGACAAAAAGAATAATAAAAAGATAAAGGATCAAGAGAATGTCAAACAAATTACTGTGACTGTCGTTTCGCGAGCAACTTCGCCAAGTCCTCCGGCATCTTCATCCTTCATTCGAACTAGACGTGCTGATGTTGCTCGAACAATTCAGAAAGAGATTACAAAGGTTAATAAAAGGATTGAAACAAAGAACGTTGAAGTGCAAAGCGATAGAATGGATGATACCGCGAGATATTCAAGGTTTGCTAGTGGAACAAGAATGTCACCTTGGCCTTCATACCTCGATAAATTTCAAACTTCCGGATCTTACTCACGAAGTTATGATTCTTCTAGTAAAACCAACAATTTTGGCTACAATCGACGTAGTGATGACAGATCAAGTTTATCACGTCATGAAACTACTACTACTACTGCTACTACCATCAGCCAATCTAATAAAAATATTCATTCAAACCTTGAACCGTCAGACACTCTAGTGAGTTTAACACAAAATGACATTAAAACAGAAAATGTGGTTGATCATAGAATATCTCCTAGTGAGAAAGAAAATAGTTTACAAAAAAAAGAAAATTCTATATCAATATCATCAGCATCATCTTCGTCATCACCATCATTATCGTTGTGCAGACAGTTTTCTTCACGTTCAGATGGCGTAACAACTCCCAACGAGAGTAAATCTATAACTCGTAATAGTTCTATGAAAAGCTTAAAGCAGCAACGTCAAATAACACGGACCAGCTCATCCAGTAGTTCCGCTGTCACTATGCCAAGTGGCAAATCTAAGTCAGCGTCAGCTGGTTCGTTGACGAATCAAAGTATAAAAATAAAAACAACGCCATCTCCATCGTCGCAGCAGTTGCACTCGAAAGTCGCCAGTGATGGTGGCACTTCGTCATCAATATCTGTTAATACGAAACAGTGTAGTTCATTAAACGCACGTGGAAAGCCTCCTGTACCGAAGACTAGTGATTGCAATTCAACCATGAAGACTGCACCGGTTACAAAATACGTTAATAAAGACTTTAGAAAGTCAGCTTTAAATATGTCTGATGCCGGGGATATTACGAGAACAAAGTACCATAGAAAGCGAACAAAAAGTAGTCAAAGAAGTTTGTCTGTAAGTTCACAAGAGTCTGAATCAAAAGATAATGAATTAAGTTCTGCAAGAACATCGTCAAATACTTGTAAATCTAGTCATATACCTAGAATGTCTAATAATTCACCTAAAAGTAGATCTAATAATAATCTTTCAATATCAAATTTAGTTAATTTTCAAGCATCTAGAAGTAATTCAGAATCTCCACCTCGAAGAAAAAATAGTGCATGTTCAACAGCGTCAGCGTCAGAAAAAAGCAGTGAACTAAGCACTTCTGATTCCTCTACAAGTGAAAACGGAGACGAAATGAGATTAGAAAAAAATAGACAACGACGTCGAAGAAGAAGAAAATGCAGTAAAATATCAACTTCTCCAAGAGTTGAAAGAAAAAGAGAAATAAGTCTAAGCTCGTCAAGAACTAGTGTTTTTGCTTTATCTACTGATGAATTATCTTTAATGACTGACAAATCACATCAAACTTATTTTAATCCTCATAATTCGCCAAGTGATAAATTAACTCAATCAGAAGAGGCTAAACTGATGATGATAAAAACCTCAACTCCATCGAGTCTCAAATCTAGTGATCATGAAATAAAATCAAACAATCGATTAAATCAAAGTAATTGTTCTATTTCTAAAAAGTCTGGATTGTCTCCTAATTCGTCAAAAAAATTGGTGAAAAATAATTCCAATTCTAGTATGTATAAAGAGTGTGAGGTTCCAAAACGTCAATTTTCCGGAGACAGGTCGTGGTTGGCGGATTCAAACTCAGATAATCCTTCAAAAGAGATGGAGCAGGGATATATTTACCAAGATGAGATCAGTCAAGAGACAACAGTTAGTGTTAATCTTCCAGATGATGGTAAGTAGTAGTAAGCTTAGATAAAAAATTAAAAATAATTTTTTATCAGGATTAAAGAAATAACAGTTTTTTTTTATTTTTTCAGGGAAATATAGCGCTAAATTATGTAGACAAGACTCTGGGGAACAAGCGTGGTGGTTGAACCAAGATGACACATCTAAAAGAGAGCCTTTAAGCTCTTCTGTTTCTAAGAAAAAAAATTCAAGCAAAACGAGTTGTGTAACGAACGATCATAAAAATCGTTTGAAACATCAGCAATCTGGTGAACGTGCTTGGTGGATGAGTGAAGATCCAAGTCAAGTACCTGAAGGCATTGAGGTTTACTCTCCTACTAGTTTAGTGTCACCAATAGATTTGAGCCATGACAACATTGACATCTCTAAAGGGTTCACCGAAGACGAGACATTTGTGAGACGTGCCAATAGAATAAGACACATAGAGTCGGGTGAGAGGGCTTGGTGGATGGACAGTAATTCCAATATACCAGAGGGCATTGAGAATATAACCCAAGATAGAGAGTCAAGCAATTCTGATGATTCGTCAGAGTCGTTCGAGCAACTAGACATTCATGGAATTTCAGCGAATGCATCGACATTACAGCCAGATAAATCCATATCAAAATTCCCTATTGAATATCCTAGGTCACCAATAGAAAAATATCCTCTCGGTGATCGCATCAGTCCTGAAGGGGTAATTATCAGTTCTTTTTCATCTTCTCTCAATTATATCATTCTATAATTTATTCCATTTCTTTTTCAGATTGAAAATTCTTCCAGTCTGAGAGAATGTTATGACGTTCGTATATTACCATACGATAACGTTCATTCAACTCATCACTCTGAATCAAGTAAATCAACCAAATCAGTGTCATACAAACGGCCTCCAACAGCGATCCGTTATATTGGCAACATGACCAATATTGATGATCTTTTGGGCGAAATTACAGCTGATTATAATAACCCTATGATATATAAGTCTTCACGTAAACATGAGAGCAGATTAGGTGAGTGAGTTATGGAATAGGAACGTAGGTATTTATTTTCAATAACCAATAGGAGGTATTTCATATTCAAGAGAATGTCAGGATATGAAATATTCTAGAATTATGAATTTACTTATAAATTGCGGTGGACATTTTTTAAATAACTTTTCTATACGCTCGTAATTAAACATCAACAAAATATTTTTTTTTTTACCTTGAGCTTCTTTTGAAGATTTAATGAAAGTCCAAGTGATTAAACAATGTGTAGGTTTTTTATTTTTATGAACACTTTAATAAATAAAAATATCAGATAAAAAATACTGTCATTGGATTCAGGCAGTGTATTTGCTGATATTAATAAAAGATGTAAATTATAGGACACCTAATTTATGTAAAAATATCTCTAAGCAGTTTATAGCATTTGAATAGAAATCCACTATCGGAGTAGAGTAGAGTATAAATAATGTTGCGAGCATAAAGAACATTTTGTATTCATAGTCGATGTATATACGAATAATATGCATATTTTGAATTGTAGAAACTTCGGACGAGAATTCGGAATGTGAGGAGATAGATGTTGCCAAAGTTATAATCCATGACAGCACACCGAAAACTCCAGTAATTCAGCGACGAGGAAGGTACGTTTAACCGTAACTAAATTGCCTGTGTCCTACTCACGAGAGAAGAGAATGAGAAGAATACTTCCACTATAGTATTGCAGCCTTGTCAAGTTGGTTGCAGACTAAAGTTGTATCTAAATCCTGACCAAATGCATTTCTATATCTCTGTTACAGAGACAAAGAGAGACCACAACCAGACGGCTACATTCCAGTAAGTACTCTTTGTAAACGTTATCATTTTCATTTTCTTTGATATCTTACTGCTCTTATATACTGCAATTGCGATTCAAATAAATATCCTCCAATGTTGTTGCTGCTTGTTCTAAATGAACATTTTAATTCTGTTAAGCTCGAACTTTATTCAAAAAGTTATTACATAGATTTTTCGAATTATTTTTTTCTTTATGTCACTTTGGAATGTCTTACATATTTTGTTGAAAATACAACTGTCTGCTGTTACCTGAACATAATGATTACAAAGAAAACGAAGAATCTCACTTGAAATCCAAAAACAAAAGCCGATTCGCGTGGGGAACAAAGTCGACAGGCTGAAGAGAGTGGTGGGTGTGTAAGCTAGGTAGTATTATTATTGTTTATCGGGGCAGAAAAGAAAGGAGAGAAAAGTGCAAACGGCTTTAGTTTCCTCCTCTGTTTAATTTTTTTTTTCTAATAGACGAGTTTTGCAAACAAAAGCGATTCATGAGCTGCCAGACGTGGTTCTATTCTCCCCTTATTTTATTTCTATTTTTTTTTTTTACTCGAATTAATATGCTATGTTTGTATTCTCCAGCTTAGTAAAGACAATAGGGACATCAGGGTGAGTTACGCAATAACTACATCGTTTCATCTCGCCTACTGTACAATCATTAGAATAGTATATGTGCACATTGAATCATTTAATTATTATTATTTTTCGTTTTTAAATAGTCATTTTTTTTGTCTTTATTAAAAAAAATGTAATTTATTTATATTTTTAAAATTATTTTTATATTTCGTAGACAATGTAATATTTAATAAATTTTATTTCATATAGTTTTAACTTTCCACTTAACGACAAAAGTACTTTTATACTCATACGAGTCTTCGTATCATGAAAGAGATGCGAATTTCCGTCGTTGAAGGTTCTCTTGCACGTGTGTTGACTATGGTACACATATAATAGAAATAGGACAAAAAAGAGATAAACTTTTCCCCGAGGACCGAGTCGAAGTGTTTTCGACAAAAGAATTTTCTACTTTGTAAAGTGAACAGAGTATATTAACCGTGTCTGATGCTACACATTTTTATTTTTACCTTTGTATAAAGGCACGTACTTATTATTATGATTTCATACAATGAAAAATTTTTAATTTATCCCACAATAATAGCAGTAAAAAAATAATTAACAATTCGCACTCCAAATGACAATATATAACCTCCAAAAAGACTTGACACATTGTGGATTGTAAATACGTGAAAAAGTAATCAAAATGTTTGCGAAAGTGTTTTAAAATAAACAGTAGAAAATTTTGGAGCAAGAATGATGTAAATGAGTAATAGATTGTTTGTAGGAAATAAGATATAACTGCTTTCAATAAAACCGCGTGGGATTGTTCAAAAAATACTTAAGGGTGGGGGAGTAGTGGTGGCGCTGTAATCGGTGGAGTCGACAGGTGTCTGCAAGGCTCAGTGTCGCGGCAGCCGCTCGCGAAGTTGGGTATAGTGTAGTAATATTGATTCTCATTTGCGCTGTGTATTTTTTAACTCAAAAATAGTGATATTAACAAACGTTAGAATTAATTGACGATATTAGTTTTAGTTAAATAGTGATACTTAAATCAGGAAATACATGAATTTACCCGAGTTTTTATTTCAACGAGCACGTGACCTTCATAGTGGTTCATTGGGAGAGGACCAATACAAAGCGCAGTCTCCGAATAAACTTAACTGGTATACGCATGCACTAAACTTGTTTATGAATATCAGTTGATGCACAGTGAATCTGGATTATTTAACTTAAAAAAAACAAAGTTTGGAATTCAAGTGTATAAATATTCCGGGGATTATTTTTATTCAAGTTGAGATTGTTTTCCGGCCGTTTTCTTCATTTGGGTTAGATAAATATCATCAGCAAGCGGAAACATTAGAGTCAGGTGTTTCAACAATGTAAATAAAGATGTTTTTTCTAAACAATTCTAGGTAATACAAAAGAAACGATAACAATGCTGTTAAAGATAATCAAAGAAGTGTTTTATTCCATTCAATTGATAAAAAGAACACAACAGGAACATGATAATAATGATTAGAGAATTGATTTAATTAATCATTGAATAAATTGATCTTTTAAATCATTTCAACATAAAAATTACTAGTTAGAGTAATTGTGAATGATTAGAAAGGGTTAAATATTAAAGTCATTTAAAAAGTAATAATCTTTGGACTTGTCTCGATTTGATCATCAGCAACCATAGGTATTTTGATCGTGCTACAGCGCAGACTCGTTTCCCCTTCTTTGATGCCGACATTCTTTCTCTTTTCTTCTTTCTTCTCTGTTTACCGGTCTCCGATTGTCTGGAGTCGGTAGCCGCCTAGCCTGGTACTTCCACTGAGAGCCTACTTGAAGTATAAAGCTTGGATCGACTCTCGTAGGCACAGGACAGGAACAATGCGAATACATAACATCCAACGAATGACGTGCCTCACACGTGTATTAGTATACTCACATATAATAGCTAGAGAAGTCAAGGAACGAGAAACCTGCTGAGCTTGCATCAATATATGAACACTTTATTTGTAAAAGTTTTCAAATATTTCTCATGATAATTGTCGTCGAGAAGAAAATTTCAAAGTAGTTATACAAGTTGTAGAGTGTTGGAAAATGTATGTATGCTGATTTATTATGAAGGGTTTGTGATTTTTATTACAGAATAATTAGTGATGAATTTACAATGTCAAAAAACAAATAATAATCATAGGTCAAGGCTGATACTTATGAAACAATCTCAATGAAACCTTACATGATTGCGTATTAAAAGCTTGTTAAATAATTTGATTGATTTTTTTTACATAATGATCCATGATTCCTAGCATCAACTGCACAACTTCTATGACACAAAAGTCATTAAAAGCTTGGCCGTTGTAGGGAAAGGCTTCACGTGTTAATCGGTACACTGTACTAGCAACATACTAGTATCAGCAACGTTGCTAAAGTGAGAGTAGTAAGGAAAAAAGCACAAAAAAGGAAAGACAAGTAAAATCGCGATAAAATACAGAGGGAGTTACGAGCGGTCGAATATAAAGAGAGCTCACGACGGGGACTCGAGCTGGCCCGCGCGGATGAAAATAAAGCAGCAACGGAGCACCTCCGCTATACGTGCCACTGTGAACCGGTTCGAGAGAAGAAGAAGAAGAACAAAATAACGCGTACGACACTTAACGTTCTTCTTCAAGAAGACGTTGTTATCCGTTGGCTTGGTTTCATCAGTTGACGACAAAACCAACGGGTATTGAGGTCGTTCGGTTTGTGGATACCGGAATGTCGTTAACTTGTAGGGTACAATACTTAAACGATGTTGATCCCTTTGCGTACGCGAGCTCATATCCAGAACCACCAAGACCGCCAGTGCACACCTTCAGTGCGACCTTGCCACTTATCAACCAGTTAGCGGCAGTGCATCGACTTCTACGAGCACCTCATAGGGTGAGTTTGCCGGTTCATTTTTCATTTAACACTTTTATCGTGGATTATTATTTTAAAATGTTATTATTTAAGTTGAGAGGATAGAAAAAAAATAAATTGGAGAAATGCAATCAGGTTAATTAGGTGAATTTAACTAAGAGAACTGGTATTGCTTCTTTTATTGGTATTTGTACAAAAATTTCATTTATTTTTTGTTTTCTTGTATCCAGTTTTTTCCTTTTTTTTCTAATCTTCTCGACTTGGGCTCTGCTGATGAGCTTGTTCGTTTAACGACAACGCCACGACCATCCGGCGTCTTCCCTCATTTCAGTGGCTAACTAATGAAATTATTTTGTCGCAAACTTGAGTCACTTAATTGAATTAAACCACTTCCGCAGATATGTCGACAAACATACATCACATATATATATATATATATATATATATATATATATATACATAAATAGCTTGTGATTTTTTTTTTCAACAAAAAAATAGATCAAAGTAAAAAGAAATTGTTGATGGAGGATTTGTGATGAATTTAATAATTTTAAAGTTTTTAAAATAAACTCATCAGTGCAACACACAAAAGAGATTACACTGCAGTATTTTATGCATACAGATTAGCAAATTTGCGGCAGGTGTACTGTACATGTAGCTGTGTATGTACACTCATGTGGAAGGAGTTGCTCCAAGGTTAATAAAGGGACCATGCTCGCTTGATATTAGGCTAACCTTGGCCAGCCTTGGCCCCTTTGTATTTCCCTTATGCAGAATATAAATACATCCAGGAAAATTTAATGTCGTCGTTGGCATTAAAAATTACATAAAATTTAGCTGAGAATTTAATTAAAGACAAAAGAGAAAAAGAAATTTTATGGTAAAAATATTTAATAAAGTATACTTTAAAAAATAATAACAAAATAAGTATGAGATATTTTCTATAAATAAATTAGTTATTTATTTCTGTTTCAATAAATGAGTATTTAGTAAAAAGATTCTTTGATAAATTTATTCTGTTTAATAAAATATCATTAAATATAATATTTACATAAAATGAACTCTCTGCAATTAGTTGAGAGCCATTTTCAATTTTAAATTGATGAGTAATGCTACTTCAATTATAAAATTCTTTCATTTCTAAAACTTGCTATTTACTTATTACATCATGCTTTACCATGGTACATGATTATTAAATTAAATATTAAAAAATTATTGGGTGAATATTAATAAATATACAGCTAGAGTATCAATTAAATTACAATTTAAAAAATTCTTTATTTCAATAAAAAAATTTTTTTACATTGTCTACTTCTCATGGACAATCATCTCATCAATTAAAAAACTTTAAGAAATAAATTTGATAAAAAAAAACTTCTCTTCTTATTACTTAAAGATGATAATTACTCGTAAAATGTTTTATTAATTTCCCATGAATTATTTCAGAGACATTTAAATTATTTTTATCAAAGTGTCTTCATTTTCACTTCTAGGTTAATTCTTCTCTATAACTTCCTTGGTGTTAGGACATATTAAGACTATCAGATACTTTGTTGTTGTACAGATGATGAAAATAGAAGAGATGAGTTATAATACATCAATTAAAACAGTAGTAATTATAGCGATGCATAATTAACGAATGAGACCAGTGAGAATAGAATATAATTTTCTGGTATCTCTGCATTGAACTAGAATGTATGTGTAATATGTTGGAAGGATCATAGATGCCGAGTACGTGTGAATACAAGGTGATAACGAGAAAAGAGGCATAAATCTGCTCCACCTCTGGTCCTGCTCTCACACACTTCATTCTGATGGCCCGTTGTGTGTGCGCACGATCATCGTGTCTAGTAAATATTTTTACAATATTTTTTTACATTACCCGGGACATATCACACCATATGCAAAAGGATCTTTTCAGCAGAAAGTATTGCTGATAAAGTCTCGTCGTGCAAATATATCCGACTCTTTCTATTAAATGTGCACTAGCTTGAAGGGAAAAATACAAACATATACATAAAATATAGGTGTATATATGTTAAATCTACTTTCGTGACTGCTTGATATTGCATTTTATTCTCGCAATAATTTGCTGGTTGGAGTTATTTTATTTATTCATTGAAAAATTTCTGCAAATGACAAGGAATAGGGTTGCAATGTCAAACAAATGTTTCGTTGTGTAAATTTTAGTCTCAATGATTTAACGATTTGTTTTTTATGCTGTTCATACACATGAGGAAGTAATTTTTTTTTTATTTCTAAAAAGTATTAGAGAAGAATATAAATATGGAATATGACCCAACCATAGGTCATCAATTCGTCAACTCTGACAACATTCTTACATGGATAATTAATTAGAAAAAAATAAATTTTATTGGTCCAATTAATAGTTCTCTGAGTAAGAATTATTTTTAGAATGAAACTGATTAGTTTTTTTTTTATCAAAGTAAATGAATTATTAAAAAGATGCTTGAAGAATGTAGATAGGATCCTTTTGTCTTTCATGATTGCGCATTTGAAGGAACAAAAAAATAGTGACTTTAAAGGAAAGGTAATTGGGAACTGCAAGGGAAATTTTGTAATTTGAAAGATTGTATTTTCTCCGAAAAGTTACCGCATGATTGATCACAAGTCGTAGGATGACCACAAGGCATCTTTACAATTTTATTACTTGAATAGACATAAGGATATCGCGAAAAGCTGACAAGATAAAAATGAGAGAGACAGGAAGGTTTGAAGTAAACTTCAGAGACAAGAAATTCTTGCTTCTACTAGGAGGGCCTTAAGTCGTTTAGTTGTTCTTCCTTTCTCTTTGTTCACTTCTGATGTCCTTTGTCTTGGACAGACTAAAACTATGTAACCGGATCTTCTGCTATTCAGAGATTTATCCAGCTCGTTAAGATTGAGGGCATACGAGGGTCGACCACTCTCTCGAGAGCAGTAGAGTCAATTGTGCGAGCCGAGAGTCAGAAACAATTTTTCTTTAACTGTTTTTATCAATCAATTTGTTCGCATCTTGAACACCGTTCACTCAATATTACTTTGAGAATTGTTTTTTATTCGATATCGTTCGATTTCAGTGTCTCAAGCAATTGTCTTTTCTCGCCAAAGTTAACTGAAGAGTACAAAAAATTTAAAAAGTAATTAAACTCAAACTTTCGTTATCTTTAACTTGAATTTTTCTACCATGAAAATATAGTAGATGTAATTTGAATTTTTATTAAGTAAAATTTTTTTGTTAAACTTTTATTTTATTTTTTTTTATTCGTTAAAGAAAATAACTGGAGAAGAAAAAAATAAATACAATATAAATAACATCTTTTTCTTCGAATAAATGTTCTACGCTCGGCTAATCTTTACTGTTCTCAAATCTATACAGCCGTCCTCTCGGATGCTGAGGATGTTTTATTTCCGCGTTGTTTCCTTGTTTTTGTAGTATTTTATTACGTGCAAAATGCCGACATTCACCCTTCCATGACCATGTCATTTTGAAAATAATATTTGACCATAAAAAAACTAGACAGGTGAAGAGATTTCACCTCCATGAAAGAAAAGTATCATTGAACACGAAATTGGATGACACTTGCCATTGTGATGAACAAATTTCCCGTAAAATGATCGTGCTACTGAAGAATACTCTCTGTTAAATTTTATCGAATATTTCTCGACTTTTAAAGAGCTACATAATATAAAAAAATTTTACAAAAAAAAAAAATGAAATAATTAGAACAAAAAAAAAGAAAAAAGTTGTCTAGTGTAAATGAGAATTTTTCAAAGCATCTGATGAAGCTTTGTAAAGCTTTCAAAAAAATTCTGTGTAGAATGAAAATTATTCCTGGATGTTGAATAAAAGTATATTATGAAGAATAAAAATGGGCATAATAGTGAAGACGATTATGCCAGTCAATCATTGAAGCTTAACATGAAAAAGAAAAGTGGAAGAATGAAACGTCGATGGCAAAGTTAGCATTGACGTCACAGGCCAATAAAACTGTTGTCCCGTTAAATGCCAACACCAGATGTGAGCTTCTCATCCCAAGGGGACCTTTCCACTCTTCTCATCATCAACATTCGACCCAGAATGACCTCTTTTATTTATTTATTTTTTTCGTATTATTCTATCGAATACTAGTTCACCAGCTGAAGCAAAAAGCTCTCCATATTCTGTTATTTAAAACAAAATCTTCAATTTTGTGATTTTAATACGTTGAATTAATTATATGTCTTTCTTTTTTGTCGTTTAAAATAACTTTAAAAATTTTTTTTTGAACCAGACTTAATGAATGGTAACAGTCTTAAAATTTGCATTGTATACTTAATATGACAGTAAATCAAGAAGTCGTGCAGGGCTTTGAAATGTGTCAAGCAACGTCACAGGAAGTTAGTAGTTAATCTCCAACTGTAATCTTATTTCTACTAATTGGCTGATAGGAAATTGCGATAATATTTTAAATGTATCCAAGTCATTTAAACAAGAAATTGTATATTATTAAAAAATATTTATTACTTCTGTAATTTATCTGTCTATGCTGCTTAAAAAAAATACATACAAAGACTCGAGTACATATAGACTCGTTAAATCTGCACAAAATAATTTTTTGCTACTTTCTTTCTTTTCTGCAGTGGTTTTTTTTTTTTTACCAATTAAACAATAATCATGCCCGTAATTTCACTGAATTGTATTAAAAAAATCAAGTGTAGTAAATAAGTTAAAATCTTTTCGTTGTTTTTTTTGTTTTCTCTGGAGATTTACTCCAGGCTCTCGTTCCCATTCTCTTCTATTATTAAAGATAAAAAAATGAAATTAAAAGGAAAAAATATTCATCGTATTATTTCATTTAAATAAACAATTTTCAAATATTAGTTTAAATGAAAAAAAAAGAACAATAATGAAGATAGTATCAGTTTAAATTCAAAAAAAAAAAAAGTAAATTGGGTTTCACTCGTAAAACGAATACAACACGTGTGGCTACAATCTCACGTGTTTCAAGTTTATTTATTGAAGTGACCTGGTTTAAAGT